TATTGTTACACAAGGTGTAAAATGTTTGAGTGAGTTTATTTAATATTCAAATGGAAGGTGAAATAAATTGAATTAATGAAGAATGGTTTATACAATGAATTCATTTACTATTATTGAATGAATAATATCAAAATGCTCCCTTGAGTTGGGATTTGACATAATCGGTGAATCTTGGTTGGTTTAATAAGTCCAAGGCTTAATGGGCAGCATTCAATTCCTTATTGTATTCTGAAACGGTGGCATTGTAGACATCAGTTGCAAAGGCGTAGTCGTCGTTTTCTGCTTACAATTATCCATTCAAAGTATCCAAATCAGCATGTAAGACATCGATCAAATCAAGGGTTTACTCAATCTTGTCTAGAAGTCAATAGTAAGATGTGCTTACTTGCATTAGCCTCGATTTCAGCAGTCTTGACAACAACAGCTCTTTGGAATTCAGCGTGTTCTTGGTTTAATTAGATAACTCTTGCTTCGAAGTCTTTTTAAGCTTCAGCTTCGTCAGCAGTGAGTTGATTGAGGGAGTCAACCAATTGGACTCTCAAATTATTGAATGCAGTAAGAATCTAGGGCGAGTTAATAAGGATTGGTTACTTCTCTAAGAGCACCTTGATCAGCGAAGTTTGCTTCAACAGCGATTTCTAAGAGAGTCTTGATGAAGGTTTAGAAGGTGCTGTGTCTCTTGAGGGATTGTTGGATTTTGGTCAAATTCTTTTAGACCTTTTGGATTTGGACAAGGGATGGTGATTCCAATTGACTGAGCAATTATAAGGATTCATCGATGGCACTGATGGCTTCATTGTGTTCAGCAACTTGAGATTCAAACTCAGCATGATCATTAGCTCTTTAGACTGTAGCCTCGTTAAGTGTTCTTCTGTTTTAAGCGATGTTTTCTTATAATTATTCAAGTTGAGCAGCAAATCTGTCTCTTTATGGGATTAAGACATTATCATAGAAATCGTGAGCATTGAAGACCTCTAGAAGGGAATAGAGTTTATAGGGTTACCTCTTTCTTTGTCTTGGATTTCTTATTCAAGTCTTGATACTTCTCTGTTGTGAACATCTGTTCTTCTTGCATATTAGTGATGGACTTCTGCTAATTCCTCATCCAATTCATCAATCTAGAGGAATTAATGAAAAAAGGCATTACAAGTTTGGCAATTTCGGTGTTTAATTCTGCAAGGATACCTCCTGTTTATAAATGGAGTTCACCAAAGTTCAAAATGAAGTTTCCCCAACCGGATTACTTGATTTGGGCAAAGGCTTTTTGGTCATGACTTGTCCAAACTGAGTTGGTGACATCAATTGCTGTAACGCTAAGGATAAGCAATGTGCAGACTGCTAATTTATACATTTATTGTTATTAATAATGAAGGCAACACCAGATAATTAGTGTTAAAAATTCCAAAAACGAATTTTATTTTTATATTATTAATTTAATTATTATATATACTCTTTCTCAGTACAGATCAAATGTTTAAATTTGATAAATATATATAAAAAATCAAGTCAGAGAATGCGTATCTTTTCGATCAGCAATGTTTAGTTGTATTGATTCAAAAATGTAATGGTTTACAGATTCTTCTTCTTAAGATTCTAATCGGTAATATCTGTCTTTTTCATCTCCTGAAACTAAAAAACTCAATAAACAATATACCTGTCCAATTAATTAAAGTCCATTATTGTTATTGTAATTACCGAATCCTCTAATTAATCCTTTATGAAATTGACCTGAGTAGTAACTACCGTCACTCCATGTAAATATTCCGTCTCCTTCAAATTTATTATTTTGAAAGAATCCTTCATATCTGAAAAAATTTTTAAAAGATTTTATACTTGCATCTGTCAGCAAACATTTATATGCCTCTCCCTTCCTTCCTACCAGCCCAAAATTATCCTTAATAAGTAGTACCGTCACTCCTTAACTCTTATCCCTCTCCCTGAAGCTGATTATTGATCCAGATTCCTTAAATAGATTACCCAAGTTTATACCTTTTACAACCTTTTTCTCAGATTTAAACATACCATAACCAATCGTCGTCCCTTATGAGAAATAAGCTTCAAAACTACTATATTATTACAATAAATACACGTCTCCGTTAGCATAAAACATGGTGCACACACCTTCCAGTAAGTCATTTTACCAAGTCCTAAGAAAACTTAAATCTTCATTTATACCCTTTTAATAAATTTCCAATTTTAGGCCACAGCTAAATTCCTTCTCCATGTTTTAGGCTTCCCTCCATCAAACCAAAGTATATGCTTTCATCATTTTATTTCGAAAGTTAGAAGTTTGAGCTGGGTTTGAAATTTTCTAATTTTTTATTTTATATGAACTGGCAATCCACTCAAAAGCTCCTTCAAACGAGAATCTAAAAGTGGACTTTGACTTCTTGAAGTATCATCGTCAGCTACCATTCATTTTATACTCTTACTCTCACTCAAATGTAAAGATGCGAATTTCTAAATGAAATATTCCGATGGTATCTATTAATTCATGTATATGTTATTATTGAGATATTATAATTAATGAAAAAAAGAAAAAACATTCTTTTAGTTTAATTTAATACAATAGAAATGTCACAAAAAAAGTATTTCAAAAATTCTGATCCTTCCATTTTCTAGTACTGTAATCATTTAAAAATATTCCCATCATTCCATCCATGCAAAATTCCTAACCTCCCCCAATTTTTGAACTTCATCCAAAGCCAGTTTTCTCTGCCCATTATTTATTAGATTAACTTCTCACTTTGATTAACCAGAATTTTTCATTATTAATAAATAAATAAATAATTTTCTTCTGTAGAAACTTCTAAGCAACGATTCCAAAAACAAAAGTTTATAATTCATCATGATCCCATTTAAAAAAACTTCTTCTGTCTCACATGTTTGCTAATTAAATATTTAGGATTAGTTTTAAAAAAATAAATATTATTATATTTAAGTTACAAATTCATCGCTAAAATTTATCATTAATTGATATTTTTCAAAAAACCAATACAAAATTTAATAATTCGTATATTTTGAAATTATTTCAGAAAATTTAAGAATTTTTAATCAAAAAATCCTCAAAATATAACTCTTATTTTGATTTTTCTTGTGAAAAAATTATGATAATTAAGTTTTCGGCTAAGATAATCCAAAAAATGGGATTATTCTCAAGAAAGGAAGCAACCCCAGAAATGCGAGAATTATTTGTATTGTGAAAAATAGAAAAATATTCATTTTCTTCTTTCTAAAATTCAAATTGTAGCATCAAAAAGCAGCTACAAATGGAAAGAACTCAAATTGAAGTGCTTTAAAATATCCTGTATTGATAATTAATCATCATTTGGAAAGTAATGTGGCATTCTAGAACATTATAAATTTATTCTAATATAAAAATGTTATTTTATATTTATGTACCTGAAGTAAGAAAAATAATAAAACTCATATTAAAATCAATACACTTTAAATTCACATAGCATTGTAGGGTCTATTTCACAGAGGTGGAAACTTTACAAGCTTTAACATAAATTAAAATAAATAGATAAACAATATTAAGAAATTCTTAATCATTCTGGAGTTAATAATAATTTTTCTTGATTTATCTTATGATTCATTCGATGCCTCGAGTAATCCTGTTTTAATTTTTCCGTTTAATTATTATTCGGCAAGGCTTTGTAAAATCTTTCACATTCCTCGCATTAATGGGCATCCATTTATTATCTTTCTTTTCTATTTTTAACGACTTCTCTAAACACCTTCTCCTTTGGAAGTTCGACCTCAGTCTAAATAGAAAACTTCTTCTATTCTTCATTAGTTTTTTATAATTTATGGGTTTTGGATGATTGAGTTTACCTATCTTCGAATATTTCAAAAAAATTTGGTTATAAAATTTTAGCTGATTTTGGTTGATTATCGATAAGAAGTAAATCATTAAGTTTTTACTATTTATTTTATTCGACCAAACTACCCATCATTTTCATAAGAGCTTAAAAAACAGTGGCTTGGGTATTGTGTAGAATGGATATATGGCAGAATAGTTGAAACACAGAATGATATGTGAAATCTAATTGATCAGCCTATTTAAGTAAATTAGTGTACTAATATTATATCAAGATGTTTTTACAAAGAGGAGTAGATGGATTTTTCTTTTTCCATGAACTCTTGAAATTGAGGAGCGAAAAACATTTGGTTGATTTAAATTATATATATATTTATTCAATATTCAAAGTAAAAATCTAAGAGCTATTAAGCCATTTCTTTGAGTTACTTGTTGGCATCTAGAGAGTACCTTTCCAAAGTTGATTTATATTATTCATTGCAAATAATTGAAAAAAGTTATATGTTTGAACAACGAGCGATTGAATTAGAAATGCATTTCAGGGCTAAATAATTTATAATGATTTAAATATTAGATCCTAAGAGATTAAACAATTATTCAATAATATATTGGGATTTGATTGCCAACCTTACTATGCTTTCATCCCTAAGAAGCAAATCCAAAATTTTGAGCACTTCAATTTACCCCTCGATAGAAATATTGTATAGTAACTTCACTAAATCCTCAACCACATATGAAAAATAAGTATTATCTCTCTCAAAAATTGAAATACACAGTTAAGCAGAGACCACCAATGTCTTTTCATGTCTATTCATATTTATCAATAAAATAGACATTAATTCCTGGTTTACAATTTGATAAAACTTATAATCTTCTTAGTTATCACTAATTTATTTGATAAAATAGTAAATAGTTAGTAACAGATATTGGCATGAAATATGATCTACTCCTTATTGTTTCAGGAAATATAGGATACATTTCCAGGGTCTTCTTCCTTCATCATCTAATTAATTAATGGTATCCCAATAAAACTAAAAATTTTCAGGAAATTTTTGGATGATTTATGGGAAAATCCTAGCTGATTATGATAGTGTGCTATTTCGAGATTCTATGACTTCCTTACAACATAGAACATAAATCTACTTAAGACAAAGAAAGGGAGTATGTTATGACACGGATAGGATGTAAAGGAACTCCCAAAACATAATAATATTGGCATCCATTAATTTGTCATTGAGGTAATTTATGAATTACATTAATCTATCAGTTTAGGTTTGATCGCTAAAGATGTGATTAACAATTATTGGTTCGCTGAATAGATTATACATCACTAGCAAAGTCAAGTTGAGGTCCAAGTTGGGAGATTTAAGCAATTCATACACATTTTTATTGATTAGTGTGATTTTATTCTGGACATCAAGTTCTTGAATTAAGGAGAGTAGCATTTCAATTTTGGAGTTGGTTGGGTTATGAAGAATTTGTTGGATCTAATTTTCAATTTGATGTGTAAAATTGAGCTCAAATTGGATGGAGTTATTTTGTGTTGATGATTGTTAGTTTTGAGGGATAGTAAAAGCTCTTTTGAGTTTAAATTACTTCTCTAAGTTTTGTTTACGAATTTCGATTCTAAATTGTTCTCGTCTGGTTATAATAATGTCATTCATTATATTAATAATGTCATATTCACAAGTTCATTTTAGTGATATGTAATCAACCTTCATTAGCAACTATATGGAGATGGAGGAGCCAGTCTAGGAGAAGGAATAGTAACTGAATTGGTGCTAACGTACCTTTGGTCCTCTGAAAAAGGGGGGAATAAGAATGAGTATTATCAGTTTGTTGGCTCCGTGTTTGGGTGTTGGTATGTTGGGTTTGCCATGTATAAAAATTGAGTTGTATTTAAGATAGAGCAAAGGAATAAGGACTCATAACTGAATTGCTGTTGATTGCACTTTGTGGAATAATCTCATGTGTATCGATGCATATTTTAAGTTGGAGTGCAGGTGATTTGCAATGTTCATCATTTAGTGAACTAATTCAGATGAGTTTGGGGAACAAGATGAAGAGATTATTTGAAATATTAACTATCTGTTATTGTCTATTGGGAATTACATAACTCTAGATCTCTTTTCAATTATTTATATATGAACTTTTCAGATATTTTGAGATTGCTGTTGATCAAAGAGAATTGGCAATAATAGTCCAATTGATATTCATAATACCGAACCTTTTGATATCTTTTCAGAAGACTCTATTCAAATTAAGATACTTCTCGTTGGTAGGCGTAATATCTGTGATATACATAACCTTCCTTACCTCACTTGATTACTTTGTTAGAGGTTCATACAGTGATGATATTAAAATCAAATTGATAGACGTGGATTTCAAGATATTCACTACTTTTGCAATGACATTCTTCTGTTACATATGTCATCTGTTTATATTCCCAATAAGAAAGGAATTGCATAACCCAACAATCTCTCGTTAGTCCAAAATATGGAAAAGACAAACTCTAATTTGTTATATAGTTTATTCGATAATTTGCATATGTGGCTACTTAAGATTTGGGGATGACACAAAAGCATGGGTTATCAATAATTATCATGGAGATCTCTTTTTTATGGGTAAGTTGGGAATGTCTTTTGCTTTATTCTTCGCGGTCCCTTTGAACATTTTGGCATGCAGATAAATTATACATGATATGTTGCTATCAGATGAAATGGAATACCAAATCAAACATAAGAGTCTGAGGATTTAAGCCCAAGATGGGAAGATTACTTTTGAAGTTGATAGTGTTGATTCTTTCAGATCCAAGATTCATATCTACTCAACCTTGTTACTGCAATTTGGTAGTGCTATTCTTGCTCTGATTTTACCCAATATCAAGTAGTTTCATATTGTATTATTGCAAGTCGCTATGTCACAGTGTTAGGAGGACTCTTGGGTACAACTATGGTTTGTCTTATTCCTGTTCTGATCTACTTAAGGGAATATAGGGATAAGTTGAATTACTACATAGTCATTTTAGAAATCACAGGAGTTGTGTTTGGTTGGATTGGAGCTGTTTATGGTTAATTTTGATAGGAAATAGTTTTATACAATTTTTCATCGCTTATCATCGTAAAATTATTCATTTAAGTTCGATTTCATTTTTATTAATTGTATAATTAACCCAATGATTTATGATGCCAAAATCATCGGGGTTGAGACCCATTCTGATAATGTTTTGTACAAAATGCGTATAATAAATTCGCAGACTCTAGAGTATAGGGAAATTCGAGTTAGGTATGGTTTCTTATCAGAATTGCATTCCCAATTGCAAGATTTAAACCAAGATTATCAAGTATGTTTAGGTTTCAATTTAAGTTACCCCAATTTCCGAAGAAGGAGTTCTTATATTCCATCTTTAGAGAAAATGCATTTATTAAACAAAGTGAACAAATGATTGCCGAATATCTATCTTAATTGATAAAAGCACCACCTCCCATATGTAAGCCATTGTTGGAGTTCTTAAGAGAGGGAGTAGATGCTGTTAGATAGAAGGAATTGTCAAGAGAAATATCGTCTAAGTCAGAACTCTTAAAATTGATTAAACCTGAAAAAGTCCTTAAGAAATCATGTTTTGGTAAAACTACACTTTGCTCACTCTAAGGAAAGAAGGTGATTTTGCATAAATTCTATGTTCTTAGACATTAAAGCGAATAATTTTTTGGACATTATTTTGATACGCATTTATATTTCACAGATTTCACTTTCATTTGCAAAGTTATTCATATCTTCTTTTTGCATTAAAAACTCAATTTTATGGATAGTATGTTTGGATCAACTAAACAGCCAAGGTCCTGTAAGTCATAGCATTTTGCACATTTCTTCTCATCCTAATATAAATAGGATGTAGTTAAATTGCACTCTATTGAAGTTTATGAAGGTCAAAACTTGGAGGAGATTATCAAAGAGAAAAGAATCAAAAAAACTCCATTCACCAATATTGAACTTGGCAATTTAATCCAAAAATTATTGGATGCATTAGTGTTCTTACACAATAACCAATGCTATGGTAATAGAGTAACTGCAACCTCCATCATTATCAATCAAGACAATCTCAAATTAACTGGAATTCAAGAACCCAACGAAAGATACAAGGATAAATACTTAATTGATGGACTCGCCTTTAGAACTGAATAAGAATATGACACCATATACTTTCCACCTGAGAAACTGAATTAAACCCAATATAATTCAAAAATGGCTGATACTTGGCAATTTGGAGTCTGTATTGTCAAGGCAGCTCTCCTTTGCACTAATCGAGAATTGGAAGGGATTCATTAACCTAACATAGTCCATGATCTGATTTCAGAAATCAAAAGTCAATATGGGTAATGAAACTTATTTTTAATTTAGATAAGTGATGAAATAGCCAATATCTTAATGTTAAGTCTGAAAAATTCCATTCAACAACGAGCATCAATCAAAGACCTCCATTCCTTGGCTTCCCAAAGTTCTGTTATCCCATTTTAGAAGTTATTCTTGAATCAAAATCAAGATCCACCTATTACCTTCATAAGACTCAATTCTTTAAACAATGAAGAACAACAAAGACTCACAGATTAACTCTCAAAATCAACTATGTTATCAATCAAAATTAACTTATACGATCAGGAAGTCGATAATAAGGAATTTGATAAATTGATGTAATTATTGGGTGATTTCGCAATAATTAGAGACATCGAAATAATATTGAATAAGTACTTATATGATTTGATATATCTTAGGACAAGGAAGGCTAATGTAAGTAGTATTCTCAGCAGTTTGGCATCGATAAAATCATTGATAAATTTGAACTTAGATTTAAAGGGATTGGAGATAGATTAGAATGACATCATCTATGGAATCTCAATATTGAAATAAATGACAATGATGTAACGGTTTACTCTGGATTGTTCTAGCATGGACTTTATCAATTTTTTAAGAGCGGAATTGGATGAAAAGACGAAAATGATTTTTTATCATGAATCATAATTAATTTGATAATTTCATAGCAGTTCAACTGATTTGATAGCATTATGTCTGGATTACTTTCTATTTTTAATTTAATTCAGCATTTGGTTAACTGATTACATCTATTCCATAACATTCGACATCTAAAATATAAAGAAATAAACATACATCTGTAGACAGTCTTTCTATTCTTTTCGAGTCCTCTTCTTCTTCTGATTTAAGACCTTACAATTCTCTAGCTTTGTTGAATGGGAACCAAGTCAAGTCCTTGGTCTAAATCTTCTCCCACACGTACTATTCAATTCCTGTGTAATCTGTGGGATCCTTGTATTTCAAGTACGCCATGAAGAATACATAATTCCACATGTAATGATTCACTTTGATGTGATGATCGAATCCTCCACCCATAGATGAACTATCCTGTAATCTATCGAAGGTAGTCTTCAGATTGCCGCAAATAAAACATTTATCTTCAATGTCTCGAATCTTATTGCTTTCTTCCTCTCTCAAAGATCCAAAGGTATCAATGATAATACCTGCAACTATATTCACCATAATAATCACTAAGAATATATTAGATGTATTGTCAAACACAAATCTTCCCAACTGATATTTATCGATTTTGTTCTCGTCCTCCAAACCTGATAAATATCCTCCAACACCACCATTGGCTTTAAATGTCCAATCAAATGTGAAAAGGAAGCAGAAGAGAGTTGATTGGCATTTGCCTTTGTAATCCTCAAAGAAGAAAGTGTAGGCGATGAGACCATACACGTATACTAAAATGATAAACAGAACCAATGTGAGACCCAATTATTATTTGGGTTCCCATACTGATCTTATCACATTTTTCAAAGTTGGATACCTAATCAAAATCTCAGTTAAGTGGAAACTAAAGAAGAAGGGATGCAACACTGTCCCAATAACAGCCAAGGCTCCATATGCTAAGTAATACACCACTTCTATTTCTTTCAAAATGTAAAAGAGAACTGCCAACAACTTGAAGATCTTGTAAATCAATTGAATTGGCCAATAAGTAAATTTATCCTCAAATGGTAATTTCGTCTTCCAAGCCTTTCTAATGATTAAAGGGGCATTCTTAAACAAAAAGAAGGATACAACAAATATCGAACAACAAGCCATTATAGTTCCACATATGAGAAAGATATTTCTGGTCTATTATGGAGAATATCTCTCGTCTCGAAATAATCTGAAATCTGTTAGTCTATTACCAGAATCATTCTTGGCAAATGATCCGATTATGAAAAGATTTAACAGTAAAGTAAATAAGAAAGCCAAGTCTTTCCATAATTTCACATAATTAGCAAACAAAGCCAAGAATTTCTATCTCTAGAAAATGCGTCTCAATTATTCCTCATGTTCACAAATCTCTATCAATCTCTCCGATTCTTAAACTAAAAATTACACCTTTGATTTTGTCGATGATCTATCCACATTCTCATGAAATTCAACCTTCTATTCTTTCGGTAAATTATTGGTGTAAGGAAGCAAAATAAAATACACTATCTCAATTTCATTGTTTCTAACTACCTCTATTGAAGCACTATTTTTATAGAAGAAATCAAATGCCCTCTTAATATACTTTTGTTTCTCTGCCTTCTTTTCTTCCTTCTACTCTGCATATTTCTCTTTGTTCAACTTGTCCAACTAATCGGGTCCTTGATTCTAATTGGCAATTTGTTTCTAAGCCTCCTTCTTGATTTGATTCATTAGATCAATCCAACTATTCGCAAATGACATTACAAAACTAACCAATTAGCCTATTATATTATCACCAAACAGCAAATCCTCCAAGGCTCCTTTGTCTTATTTTAACTTCTTCCTAGTGTTTGCTCTGTACATCTAAACAAATTGATTTTCAGCATTCTTATCTGATTCCATATAATAGCACATCAAGAAATAAATATAAAATCCTTTTTGCAAAATCAATTCATCTCTGGTATCGTCATTCTCCTTTGTATTTTCAGGATCCTCCTTTATATGATCCAGAACCTCAATCTAATATCCTTCCTTACACTGCTTCTCATATTTATCAAACGACTTCACCAAATGTTTTTAGAGAAGTGAAGGCGTAAGATGTCTCATGATTCTTTTGATAATTGGATTGGAATCTGAGATCTCTCTCATTTCAATCAATGATAGAATTAAGATCAAACACTTTGTCTGCATTCTCTCGATTTACCATGGTTTCAAATCTGATCCATTCTATTGCTTTTAAAATCTGCTACTCTTGTACTTGTTGTTTTAAGTCTTAATAGTCCTGAAATTCGAACCCATGGTTTAAGCCTTGCCTGCGGATTTCTTATCTTTCCTGGAACCAAATAAATCTGAAGCGATTTCAAAAAATTTAGAATCAGCAACTGCCACCTAATTCTCAGGACACGGACCCTATACCAATTCATTGAGAGTGTCCAAACACAACACCATATTATCGTATTATGCTTTGTCCTTATAATAATAGGTGAGCAACAATTCAGCAACCTAATTGATCATGTTATAGGAATTTCTAGAATTGGATTGTTGACGAATGTAATTTTGTAAATCCAAATAATGTCCCTCACAACAATTTTGAAGAAACTTCAACACTTGAGTCAGCAATAATTCAAGTTCCTGCTCTTATTACAATTCTTGGATGTTTGGTTCATCTGTTTACAACTATAGATTTTACAGCTAGTCCTCATTCTTTTTATCCTTAGCCTTTATCGTAATCTGTTTGATTTAGGCTTGAATAACATTATTCAATCTACTGAAAATGACTTCACTTTTAGGATAGGTTTTCATAAATTCAGAAATGGTCTTCTGAACTTTATTGTTACCTCCAGAAAGAAGAGTATTTATAAACATAAGAAAGTGTCTCAACATTTCACTATCTAGAGTGGTCGATTCACTTAGCACTGTCAATACCATTCTTGTAGCTCCCAATTTATTGAAGAGATTTTGCATTTCTTCCATTTCATTGTTTTCTCCTTCTACTTCAAGTTCTCCTTGATTCTCTTCTTTAGATTTCCCCTCAATCAATTTTCTTAAGACACTGAGCAATGTTATGATAGTTTTGTTATTCTGATTATTATTCAATGCATAACTTAGAAAATTAATAAATTTCTTTATCAGTGTAGTCCTTTCCACTTTCAATATCTTCTCGTTCTTTTCATTCTTATTTTCGTTTTATCCTCCAAAGTACAACTCAAATTTAAGGATAGCCTCTGATAATTTCTGTGTTTCAGCTTGAATTTCGATTTTGCTTTTATCTGCCAAACATAAATGACTAATGAATTCATCCCAAGCCAATGCAATCTTTTCTACATCTTCGGTTTTCACTTCCATTTCAATAATTGGCTACTCTTCTTTCTATTTTTTGTTTTATTTTTGCCAAAATTACATTCCCACAACATCTGGCTTTGCAAAATTATTATTATTTTAGAAGATAGTTTTTGGTACAGGATTGTCTCCATGACTTTATTGAATGGCATTTTAATTAAACATTAGAATGGGTTCTTATTATTCAGTTAAGAAATTGTCATTCTCACCTGATTCTATATTAGACATAACTAACCTCAGATTGTAATACTCCCCTAGATCTTCCCATTTTTATTATTGATTCTCCAATGAGGAACAACATCTACCCATTTCTGTGGTCTAATAAAATGAAAAAAATCCAGTCAAACTTTGAACATGTCTCTTCCTAGTAATGTACTTCCCTAACTATATCATTGTCTGTGATAATAGTTTAGCAAAACAAAGTAATTGCGCAATGTCCTTTTATTCATGATCATGTGCTTCCTCATCCTCTTCAGAACGAGTGGGCACATTTTTTCGATTTAGATAATTAGTAAACAGTGGCAAGACTGCATCTGTTAGAAAGTCAAAATATTTAGAGTAGGATTAGTCCATTGACAATTACTCTAATCTCTTGATCTCGAAATCTGTTATTCTCAATATGTCATTCTGAATATCCTTAGCCACATTATGACTCTTTTCACTTGTGATATGCACATTCATCAAGAATATCCATAGTTATTTCTTAATTAAACCGAATCCCTAATCTTGAATTGATGGATTCTTCGATGTAAGTGAGTCTTATTTGCATATTAGAGAAACCAAATATTACAAACTGAATTTCTTCTTCAATTTAGCAACATTGATTGTGAAATTGTCTTTTTAATCTCCTTCAATCACTTATATGTATGCGCATTGTAATAACAAGTCCAATAACTTAGCGTGATATCGAAAGGGTTGATTCATAGGGGGAGGATGAGCCAAATCATTCAAAAAGTCAGATTGCTGCAATTAGATTTCTCCATCAAAGAGAAATTCATTCTTTTCTGTATACAATAACTCTTCCTTCTCCAAAAATGTATTCAGAACTAGTAATTGATTATCGAAGAGGTACTTGTTGCCTTACTTTATGATGGTTAAAAAGAAATCCAAGTATTAAGCCTTCCTTCCATTCTAGTATATTGCTTCCACGAATTTGTGAAACACCTTGTCATTTCTATTGATAGAAGATAACATCTTTTGATTGTCCCTATAAATCTCACAAATCAATGGAATTTAACCCACTTCAATGTGAATGAATTCGAAACTTGATAGACTTTAAGATAGTAAAATTTGATTTTCATGATTGCTTCGACAAAAATAGGTCAAAAATTAAAATGCATATATAAACAACTAAGCTAATCTTTATTTTTTTTGAATATTTTTATTGTTTTCCAAATGAAAGTCCAAAGATTGTAATTGATCTCTTATTAAATTTAGAATAGGCACATAGATCTTCAAGGCATTCATTAGGTTCTGCTTTTCAGGATCTATCTCTGAAGCTGTTGACATGATTCTGGCAGAAATCTGAGTGTCCTTGAAGAATCCCTATCTAAAATTATCGATGATTTCAAGTGTTTCATCTAAATCTTCGTACTTCGAGTTTTTCATGAAATCCGTTAACCACACTTCAGATCTATCAATTAATTAATTTAATCGATATACATGCTCACTCAAATACTCATAAAGCTTACTTTTAATAGGATCACTAATCAATTACAATTTTAATAAATTATTACATAACTCCTCTCTCTAATTGAACAACCTCATTATTATAGCCAAACATCTTTTTTCCAACTCCTCCTCGTGAATTTAGGAGAAGTTTGTAAATAAAAAGGGTAACACCACACCAATGGGATTTGAAATTTTTGTTATGTCTTCCTATGGTAAGTTGAGTGAGAAGTATTAATCCAAATCATAAATGAGCATCAGATTTTAGGTGAATATTTTAAACTCCTCAGATTCAAGTTTAGTTTCTGCCAGTTTATTTAGAAAATTTAAAGCTCCAATTCCGAAGGCATCTTTTTGTTCCTCCTTCTCATCTATGTCCTTAATACCAGTTTTGGCTATGTTTGGAAGTAAGCCCAACAAATTTGAATCTGTTTTAGCCTACACATACTGTTGTATTTTGATAATGTCAATTTCAGAATCCTAAAGACCCACCAGTAATTCTTCCTTGTCTTTGGTTAATTTCGTCTGTTGCATTCCATCTTGCATTCTCTCTATGATTTGCTTTTTAAAGAAGGAGAGCACATTCAACATTAAATAATTTTACCTCATGTCCAAGAATCTGTCCATTATATTGCAGAGAGTCAACTTGATCTTAATTTCCAATTGATTTGACCCAGACTCCTCTCTTATTAGAATTGTACTTTGCAATTCATTCTCCAATTTGATGAATCCTCTCATCAAGGGATTAGTATACATTTGTACATCATCAACAATCCCATCATCAATCTGTTCTTCATCCTCAGTATCAGATTTCTATTCCTCATCAGACCCAAAGATGTTATTCAAATTTAAATTCAAATTCATAGGATTAGCCATATTCATTAGATTGGCTCCTAAATTTAAGCCAATTCCTAAGGGATTATTATCTTTTCTTTGTTTTCTCTGACTGATTTCATTCTTCTATAATTTGTACACACTCTTCATCAATTACAATTGCTTGAAATCATAAAAAAAGAAGTGCACCACAATGTCGATAATCTATTAGTAATAATAATTGGGTTCTTTATCTAATAATGTGAAGACATCCAATTCCAAAACCAGTTGCATCATTTGACAAGAATTGTACAATAATTCATTAATCAATAAGCTTTTTTCATCATTACCATCTAAGACATCATAACCCCTGTTGTTCTCCCCATTCTCTTTGGAATCCAAAGAATGAACAATCTGATTCCTTACATCCTGCAAGTATCGAAACAAATCCTCAATCAGTGGTTTATACAAGTCCATATGTTGACTCTCCACAACTTGGTCAATACCTTTATACAAATTGCAGTATTTAGGCAATTGAACTCTATTCAAAGGGTCATGATCAATATACAGACTCATGGCGATCTTACATAAAGCAGCTTGAAGCACACTATAGGTTTTATTGCCATCGTCTTGCCAAATGTTTTAAAATAGGAAATCCTTACTAAAATACTGTTCTAATTCTTATTTCCACAAATAGTTCCTACCGAAGGAAACATGTGCATAGAATTGCAATTATTCATTGATGAAATACATTTCCTTGGGGTCATTTTGTAATTTAAAAGGGATGATTAATTTGCCATCCTTTAATGTAATTTTGTCTGGATCTTCTTTATCTTTGATCAATGCAATCTTCTTGTGATTATGTTTCTTCAATAACTTATAAATGGCTTCTTGATTTTGGTTGATTCCTTGGTTGTTATACACACACATTTCTCTTAGAAAAGTAAGATAGTCTGCTTTGTGAGGTTGATCATCATTCTCCAAAAGATTCAAGAAGAAAATAAGAAAGTTATTTTAGACTTTGTGATGCTGAACTTACATCTTCTCTTCTTCTGGTTCAAAGAATTCCTGTTCTTTGGGATTGTAATCAATCTTCATATTGGCAGATAATTGACTTAGCAATTCTTGGTTATTACCTATGATTGAAATCATGCATTTAATGGCCTCTGGAATATGTCTGCAGTGATCTAAGAAATGTCCAATCAAATCGAAGGTGTACTTTTCATTCTCTGGATTCTATTTGCAAATGGACGTTAACAAAGTATAGATGGATTGATTCATATTGATCTTGAAAGCAACATAGGCAAGTAATTCATGTTCCTTTAGACCTTGCTTCTTATTGGATTGCTCTGTATTGCTCATTTTCTCTTGCTGTTACTGAGTGTCTTGCATTTAAATGATCATGAACCTACGACTCCACATTACCAAATCCTCAGGCTTCAATTATTAAACCAAGATCTTCACTAATAAATCAATGTAATATTATTCTTTCAATAGTTTCTATCTAAATTGATTGATGGTTCCATATTTTTGTTCAGGAGTAGAATTATACAATCGATTATTACAGAAATCATTGATGTCTTCTATGCATTATTTGGTAGTTTATATTTTCAGTAAATGATCTTTCAACACTTCCTTGTCATTAGCATCATTCTCCCATTTTAATTGTGAAACATCTTCCAAATAATTCATAAGTGTCTTTACACAACTCAGAACAAATGAGATTTCCCATACATCATTACTACTACTAGCATATAATTTGAAGACACTCTAATCTGTTTTGTGTTGTTCCTGATGTAATACTGGTGTATGTATTTATGATTTCCCCCATTGGATGTCCACCCAATAATTGGTATTCTCCTATGCTTGATTCTCATGACATATGTATGCATAATTCCCTCTTGTTACTGACTTTTCTCTCATTTGAGTGTTCTTCAATTAACTAAAATAAAACAACGTCTATGTAGTCCTTTGTTTCTCCAAATAAAACCTCTCTATTGTTCCTGCCAAATACAATCCAGAGGCGAAATGCTTGAATCGATATTTCTTATCAAATGTTACTATCCCTCCTTCTTTGTAATCTTCAGCCTCAATTATCCACATTGAATGCGTGTCTCCTGTGTATTCGTCGTAGCTCTCCTTTGTTGAACCACTCAACACGTTCAACTCTACATTTTCAACTCCCAACCACTCCACCAAATTGAAAGAATGGAAGTTCTTCTGATCCACAGGCTTCCCTTTTCTAGTCGCTGCTATGGTTGTGTTGGTTTCACTATGATGCAACCATATGACGTCTCCACATTTCAAACAACCTGATGTCTCTGGCACGTAATCAGAATAGACTGATATTCTCCATTGAGTTTGGTTTTCCTCGTCCAAAGATGCATTCACTTCTCTCTTGATTATATCCTTCTCATTCTTGTACACTTACAAGTCTTCATCACTTTTCTACTTCTTCTTAGTTTTGCCATAATTGCCCATTTCTTAAGAGGCATGCAGAAATGTTAGTTTATTCATTAATGAAGTTGCTCTTACTATGTACACTATATCACTTGCATAAATTACTTACTCTCCTTCCTTTTGATATTTGTAAGCTGGCAATATCTTGAATAAGGATGCATCACTTGGCAATTCATCGAGAGTGATTTTGTAATTTGAACTCTCCACTCTCGCTTCCTTCTGATGACAAGCCAAAAATTTAGATGATGCCAAATGCAACAATTGAATGTGAGATTTATACGAAACCTTGTGAGATTTGCACTAACAATTACTATTACCAATCGTACCTTCTCGAAAGTGTCCAAATTGTATTTGAATTCCTAAAGCAACTTCTATGAAAATGATTGTATCTACTCCTTAGACATTATGGATTTTTCATCCGCCTTCTGTTGTTTCTGAATGCCATCCAGGATATTTTGAATTGCTGGTTGAGTTTCCTCCTCCTATTCCTCACCCTGCAATTCCTTCAAAATCTCCTATTTCGTATTGTTAGTGAATTTTGGGAATATTTAAAATAGTGTGTTAAAGTATGGCCTGCTTTTCATTTTACCCAAATTTTTTGCAGTCACCACATCGATATGATGCTTATGATAAATGCTTTTAAAATACAAAGTTCTTTAAACAAACAGAACGCTTCACAAAACCATCGGCTGTAATAAATGAGTGGTCATCTTACACATGAGAAATTGAAATCACAGATCCGTAAGTCAAATAATTTAGATCTTCTTGCTTCATCACTCTTGATAAGTATAAAAGATTAATTAAATAAATAGATTAAATGCAATCAAATTCAACATAACACTCATTGATCAATATTGTCCCATCCAACATGATCTCGTCTCCATCTTAACTCTTTCTTCACTCTCTTAGGCATTATATACCCCTTTGTATAATCATTCAAATTAACTACTTCCTTTGGACTTATCATTGTGAAAGAAAGAGAAATAAATCAATTTTACTTTGATATCATTAGTTGAAATGTATATTGGACAGTCTTTCCAATAGAAGACTCTCTAATCCCAATAATAAATTTCATCTTTTTCTTAATGTCAAATTGAATTCTAGTTTAATTTTCTTATTATTTAGAGTTAATTGTGCAATATAATTCTCCTCTAATGTAATTAACCATAGTATCTTCTCATGAGCACTTAGTTTTGTTGGGCTGAATAAGATTAGTTTATCACAGTGACAAAATAACATTAATTTTCTAATCTAACCACTGAATCATATTTTATAGTATTACAATTTCAATAATCTTCTATTTGATTTTTATAAATATTGTATGAATCTAGCGAGATATTATTAAAATAATTGATCCATTCGTAAGGGTCTTTTTTAGAAATTGTCCTATTTTCTTGATAAATTCAGATATCTAATAATCTTTTGCTTGGTTCTTCAAGTAAGGAGTCAATTCAATAAAGTATACATAATGCCATAGGATTACCCCAACTCTCAAAAAGTATATCAATTTACGATTATATATTTAAGTTCAAATCATAGTTTCTAAACACTAAGAAGGTTAGAGGTTGAGAATAAATATAAGTTTAGATTTTCCTCTTACATTTAATAGGTTTATTAGTTAAGCAGATATAAGATCTCATATAATGATTCATCTATTAATTACAAAATTTTTGACTTTATTATCACATCCATTTTTAGTACTGTCCTTTGAAGATTATATACTATTATTTAATTCTGTAAGAATTGAATCAGATACTTATTGATCCCAGTAGTCAAGTAATTGCCATTAAGTTTAATAATAATTATAAAATTGAAATACCTCAATATTACAACACTAAAATTGAATTTCACAAATAATACATAACTTATCATACACAGGCTTTTGATTTAAAAATACTATTTAACAATCCACTTTTTCAATATGAGGATAACAATAAATCCGCAAATTTATAGTCTTTTTAAATATTTAGATTTATTATCTTATGAATTTTTCATGTTATTTAAATCATTAAATTAGAAATTTATGTTATCAATTCTGAGATTCTGAAAAAAGGAGTTGATTAATATATTTGAAATGTGAAATTTAATAAAATTGTATGAAAAATCTCTAATTTTTGTGTTATTGACATTATGCTTAATTAAAATAAATAGAAAATATTAAATATTTAATAAACAACTAGAAGAATCATATAGTCATTGTTATAGTTGCAATAATCAATTAAACCTTTAATTTAATTTTGTAATGCCCCGGACAGATAAGGATGTGGTGGGTAATGTGTGGATTCAAGGAAATTTGGGTGTGTTTTTGCTTTAGTTTGATGATTATTTATTGTAATAATTTTGAGTATTAAATGATTAATTATAAACCAAATTATGAACCCGTTTTTTAGATAATTAAATTAAAAAAAAAATGAGAGCACTCATCACAATTTGCTTAGTGGCTGCTGTATTTGCCGCAGATACAAACAAATTTGCTGTCCTCCTCCAAACTGGTACAAGAGGAAATGATGCTGTTGAATCAGTGTACAACCTCTTGAGAGATCTCAAGACAGAGAATGTTAATGTCTAAGCTGCTGCAGACAAAAAGAATAACACTGATGAGGGTAAGCCTTATTTTATTATATCTTTCTAGAAATCTTCTCTTAAGTTATCGGTGACTTGACAAATGTCGCCTCCCTCAATAAATAATAATGGGAAGCCCTCGGTGGAGTTAGAGGTGATGTTGAAGCCTAAGTCAGGGTATGATTTATTAATAATTTCTCAAAGGATGGATATTAATGGTTGGCCTGGGCTGAAGGCAGACTTGCTGAAATCGAAAGAAGAAATGCATAACTCTAAGATTAAAGATGTTGGGCCAATGGACTCTTCGTCAGATCCCTTGCTGATCATGCTGATGCCATCGGAGTAGTCACACTCTTGACTCAAGACGTTGCTGGATTCCTCACAAACAATGCTGGAGTTGAACTCGTTGAAAAAGCCTAAACAATCGCTGACAAATTGTCTGCCTACAGTCACCTCTTCTAATAAGACGCCATCGAGAAATTCCAATCCCTTGCCGAAGTTAAGAGAGAAGGAACAACTGGAGAACAAGTCCTTTCAATCTTATAAGATTTACAAGGAGAATTGGAATCAACACTCGCCTAACTCTAAGAATAAGAAATCCACGCTGCTTTCGCTCTTGCCAAATACGTTTCAGACACAAATGCTGAAGTCGCATGGTTGAACTCCGAACACGAAAGAAGAACAAACCTTGTTGAAAAATTGGAAACCGTACTCATTTGCCTTTAATCTTTTAGTAACTCCCAGCCGTCTTAGCCCAATAAGCCAAGGCCCTCAAATTATGGAAAGATTCATTAAACGCCGTTGCTGGTGCCACTGCTGACTTGGAAGAAAAGAGAGAATTCTATGCCTCAGAAACCGTCAGAAGAGCAGGTAACTAATTTGACCTATATTTTTAGAGGAAAATGCTATCATTGATGTCGTTATCCAACTCTTCAAAGATTAAGTCAGATCATTAGCTTCATAAACATCCCTTAAAAGATATTGATGGGATTATTCATATAAGAATTTATCTTAATTCATTCATTCCCTTTGTTTCTTATCTTATTTATCAATTAAACAGCCAAATCAAGAGAATGTTCCAAAAATACTTATATATTAAATCGAGTTATTAATTATGAAATTTCAAAAATATCTATTCATTTTTATTGACTTTTCTTTATTATACTGTTTTTTTTCAAGATTTGACTATTAATTTGGTTAATATTTCTATCAGCAGATGATTCATCAGAGAGGAACCTATCAAATTGCCGCTTGTATTCCTATTGTTTGTTCACATATTGAAAGAATGAATATTATGTGGAATGTCTCGATAAGGATGATAGTTTATTGTTTGCTTATGCAGGGTGTGCTAATTTGTTAAGAGTTAATTTCGTAGTTTAGATTTGGGTATCAAACTTACTGATATTAGCTTTGTCCAATTCACGAGGGGATGCCAACATTTCGAAATTGCTTTTTTGATTGAATTGCTAGATTTTAGCTTAAGGATTTTCAAGTTGTAAATAAGGTGTATAAGTGGGAACAAAGGGCATTCTAGATTAATAATCATTGATGTCCTTGATGGAACTCATGGCTTCCTTCCGCTGATCCAAGACATATTTGAGCTCTAGAAAATTCTTAAATAATGCATCAACTTTGACATTCTTCTAAAAGTATTCTTTTGGAGGGTATGTGAGATTATGCTATTCAACTATGTTCTTTCTATGCGATTTTTAGATTTTGGTTTCTAATTTGTTTTAACCTTCTGTTTCAAGATCTTTGAGTCTTTACATAAAATCAATATCGCCTAATTAAGATTTCATGAGAGGATGTTTTATGATTTTAGGTTTTTCGAATTCTAAACTAGTTCTGTGCAAGACAGTTGCAAGGGAAGGCGAAATTGAATTAATATCAATTTTCATCCTTCTTAAAGGGGGTGATTTAAATTATTGGCTAACTTAATATTATGAGTTTTCTTCAACAATTGGAAATTTCTTGTGCTTATTTGGAGCTTTAAATATCCCTAAAAGAATCTAAGCAAATTCTGATCCTTCATCACTTTCTAATTTAGTGAATTTAATAGGATGACCAAAGAATTTAGTGGGTTTAATATATTGTGGTGCCGGAGCTGTTTTCTTTGTGCAATCCAAGAATTTATCTATGAAATATTTGTTAAGGGTAGTTTCAATATACTGATCAGATACGATTACTCCGTTGAGGGTGAAGGTGATAATGTGGAAGCAATCTAAATGAATCCTTTCAATTTTCTTTGTATTTAATTCATGAAGTTGTGGCTAGTTACAATAATTTTTTTGGGCAATATATGCAGCACAAAATATTAATGGATTTAGGTTTTCAACCTTAGAAATTTGTACAACTTTCATAAGAGCTATATAAGCATTCTTAAGTTTATCATTGCTTTATGAATTGTTGTAAAAGGCAACCAGACAATTGTAGCATTCATTCGTAAAGGTTTCAAATTGTTGAGTATAGAATGCATCGATTGGCTTAGTTATAAGTATACCTTAATTGATAAAGTCTAAAATAGCTTATTTCATATTAATTAATATGTTCCGAAAAATTGATGACTGAAAATGTTGGTAGTGGATCAGATGTCAATAATTCAATGACTTTCATTGAGATCAAACTATGAGAATATAACTAAATTGTATGGGTACAGAGATGGAAATCGTCAGCAAATAATAGTGAAATGACTTACTTGAATAATTTAAATATTTAGATTGGTGTAGATAAGAATTAAACAAAATAATAAGATTGATATAATTATAGAATATGCATATGAAGTAGAATATTGAATCTTTGAATAATATAACAATGAAGGATGAAATGAGTTAATTACCAATAGAAGCAGAATTATAGCTTAGGAATTCAAGACCTTTGTATTTAAATAAAAAACTTATTTGTGTTAATTATATGTCGAATGTTTATAAATGGTGTATCTTCTCCTATAAATTCTATCAATATATTATACTAAATTGTAGATCATTTACTTTGTAAGCCCTTTTTGTTAGGTCGTAATTGAGAAATCAATTATTAAGCTATCCTAACTAGATTGAATATGAATGTATGAAATTGTAAATTATTCTATTTTAAAATGACTTAATTGTATTGTTATTCTAAAAGAAAATAATTTAAAAAGATGAAGTGGATCTATTTAGAATGCTTACACCATTTAGATAGCATACACAGCAAAGATTATGTTATGTGAGACATCTAAGAGTATGGAAGTCAGATGAGCTATAGAATAAATGAAAATAAATATATTTCTATAGGATTAAGAGATGCTCAAGTACTTACAATTGAGTTGGCACAACGGATGCATAATTATTGAATTTCTCAAGAGCTTCGACAATTAATTATACCCCTTTAGAAATTATAATCAAAGAATTCATACTTATGTTATATAAATTATTAGCTTTTACTAAATTACCAAAGTAAGAAAGACAGTTATTCCCTATATTACAAAATAATCTTTAATCTCTATGAAGTTATTGCTTAACTTCAAAATATGTTTAAGAGATCTTATAAAAAATAGATTTATTCCAAAATAGAATACTCAAAAATCAGAATTAGAGATCTCTACTATATGTAAGGATTTATTATCAATTATTAATTCATTTCGAATGGAAGGGAAGGGAAGAAGACATGATAAGATTTTGAATTTTGGGTAGAACAGATATAATTATATACAATTATGGAGTCCTTATACTTAAACTAGTCAGGTTTTAAATAATGAAATCCAAATTATGATATTTTTATAGATTTACTAATATATCAATCAAAAGGTGAATAGTCGTATTCTGCCTTATTATGCATCACGAGTTGCTCTCCCACAAAATAAAAGCTGTCTGATTTTGTCTAGAATGGATTGTCAATCATTTCTTATCTCTATAATTCATAATCGTAATTGCTTACCATTGCCTCATCTATCTCTGGAATAGTGTAGATGTGTTCCCAAGTGTTTGTTGAGTCGGGAATGCAAAAGGGAAATTAAAATTCATAGCTTCTCAATAAGTGATCCTTGAAATAATGTCTCTCAATAATTGTAAAGTTTTTGACAGGCTTGTTGCCCACTGAGAATGTCAATTAAGCACCAACAGTCTTCAATTCAAAGAATTAAGGTCCGAAATGATATTTAATGCGTCTAGCCTCATCTTGATATTCTGGAGGTAGATTTTCTAAGGTATATCAACACACAATCTACCTATCGACTCTTCGTCTTGATCTCGCTCCACTTCGAATAGGGTTTGCCCCGAATCCATATCTCTTATTCTAAATTTCAAGAATTGAATATTGTAAGTATTAGCACTTACTGGACACAGAAAACTATTATATATCTATCAAATACTCTTGTGTGATTCCATTCAAATTTCTGACATATGCAGGAGTCACTTACTGCATTAGATTTAAATATTTATTATATTATTATTATTATTTACTATTCAACATATCATTTAAACATATTCAACTCAAAGGTGACATCTCAATTGTCTCCTTCTTCAATTCCAAACTGAACCCAACCCATCTGACACTCCTTACCAAACTTAAATAACAATACAGATACGAATCCAACAAACCTATCAAACTCCCAAAACCAAAAGAAATTATCGGCCAAACTGTCGCATCTACTTTAAATTGATTTATCATTGCTGGCTATTCTATTTAAATTGCATTCTTACCATCCCCCAACACACAGCCACCAAGAATGGATACAGAAATAATAAAAATATCTGTTTATTTTCTGCTAAGCATTTACTCCCCAGATGATCATAAAGTTCCTTTATCACGAGAGTAAATATAATTGCATTATAAATAAATGTTGACCAAATAGGTACATCCTAGAAAAATAAAATAAAATATTTTATTTTTGGCTTATTTGAATTAAATGAGCACATGCTCATTGGAAATGCTGTTGAAACTCCATAAGCATCGAAGGCAAACGGTCTTCATCACTTCATATTATAGTTATTTACAATAATGACATTATTAAAGGAAATAAAAATCCTATCGTCCAATATACCATCTTTCGATATGTTCGATCGCCATATTTAACTGTTCTGTAAAGATTGTTTGCAATTAAAGTTGTCCATGCTGTGCTTGCCAGCAAAGAATATTATAGTAATGTGGCTTAGCAATAGCAAATTGTTGGATAATCACTCAATTTAACTTCGGAGTTGTCTATCACCAGAAATGCTACTGCTGATGAAAATAACAAAATCTATTGTATTAGGTCGAATATTATGATGTGTATAACTATCTTTAATTGATCCGTTCTCAATTCATGAAATTTCAAATAACAATATATTACAAAAGAGCATCCAATCATTGAAAGGCCTCCCAAAACCAATATTTCTATAGCAATAAATAATTGAGGCATCAAATTAATTATATTAATAATTAATATAGTATTTGTCGCATTCAAACATGCATTACAATATCCAGTCAATTATATTTGTACATATTAATAATAATTATTTTAATTGTTGCACTCTAATTACAGGCATAGTCTAAAATTGATAATTGACTTCAATAAGTTGGAACAAGGCACTCAAAGGCGATATGCTGGCTAAGTTCCCAACCTATTCAGCAATAATAGATTATTGGACTCTTGTTCTCATGGTCAATTCTATAATCATATCACGATTACTTAATTTGATATAGAGATCTTGACCACTAATACATTCTCTATGTAAGATTCTTTGATAGCTACATTTGATTAAGTACAAATTTCTAAAGATTGATGATTAAATTCTAAATGATTTAATCATGATTGGAATCTAATAAGGGTAAAATTACTCTTAACCTATCCTCAATAATCTGGTTTCAAATACTTATGTTATTAGGTAACATTTGTTACAAGAATATTTGAGTTTAATTAATGATCTGCATAGTATAATTTTTAGACACCTTCACAGAATAATTTCAATCGAAATGCTCTCTTCAAAAGTGTCCAAATATACTGAATAATATGTTAAATGCTATATTCTAATTTGTTTCTCAAATATTCTATTGTTCTCATTTCATGAATAATTAAGTACTTGCAACAATGGTTAAATTAATAGTACAAATCAAGATTATATGTTGTAGAATATGAGTTTATTAAGATTAAATGATATTGATCTAAGGAGTAACGCATTAAAAGAAATGAAAAATTTTTCATCCCTTTTGGGATATTTAATCAAACAATAATTAATTATCAAAATAAATGTTAATTATAATTTCAAATTTCTATTTAGGTATTTATATAACCAATATTTTTCATTCTATATTTAATTAAAATATAAAAGCCTATTAGTTAAATTATAATTATGATAATTAATGAATAAATCCATCCACTTCTACTAGTTTATAAATCGGGAAGTTAAAACGTTAAGTCGTACAATCCTGATGAAATTTCATTCAAACATGAAAGATTCACATTAACCGTATCTTTATGTTTCTTGAAATGGCATTTTAAATTTATAGTATTAATAGGATAAAAAATTATAGACCCATTTCGAAATGCAAGGCACGTAGCATTTTGATTTTCTTTGTTTGTGATTAAAGCATATTCATAAGATATAGAGTTTAATGATCCCATCATCAAAATGGGCTCCTCCAATTTTTTCTTGAAAATTTGAGTTATATTATAAAATCCTATAATATATGTATTTTCTTATTGAAATTATCGAATTAGAAAACCATTAGAATATGCGAAGTTTGGAATTTGCTATAAGTTGCCATAAGCTGGGATTGTGGCGATAATCGATTCTAATTTGAGCAATTAGAACTTATTATTGGGTGTCAAATTAAAAACTACAAGCTACCCTAAACCTTCATTATTAGTGATTATCAAGAAGGCTTAGTTGTAAATTATGTACAATATCTAAATTTAAATAGCTCAAACAGTGTAATGTGATTTCCACATTAATTAATGAATGCCCCAAAATTCAATCAAGTTATTTCGAAATTTGAATAATTGGTAATTTACAATACCTTCTTAAACGTAAAAAATAATCCCTAAATTTTCTAAATTGATATCTATACTAGAATTGAATAGAGCTATTGAAATATCTTGGTAACTCTTATACCCAATTTATTGTATGCTGCCGCTTGTTGAATTGAATAAATATACTTAATAATCTAATTAATTCAAAGAACCTAAGATAAAATTCAGGGTTAGCAAATTAATAATTTTTGATATATTGGTAAATCTATTAGGAATCAAAGATATATTTTTATCAATAACTTCTCCTAATTAGTCAAAAGTAATGCTTAACCAATATTAAGCGGTTTAGTTTTCACAAATAGAAGACAAAGTATAATTGAAGGATGTCGATTTCAAGCAATAAGAAAACTTAAAATACTAATAATCGAAAGAGTAAAGGAATTATTTTTTCTAATTTATTATTTAGATTTCTTTGTTATTTTATAAAACAAAAAATGAGTTATTTATTGCAGTAACTAATTTGAAGTCGAGGATGTTAGGTTCACTGCTATAATTACTAAAATTTGTAAATTTACAAAGATTATTTGAAAAATATTAAACCCTAGAATTATCTTAATTATCGGAGAATTTATAAAGACTTACTTACCTATCAAGTATTATATCCATAGGTATTGTGAAGGTTCTTTCATTCAAATTTAAATCTGACTTAGATAAATTTAGGGTTTTAACTGTTACTGGTTAAAAGTATGTGAAATTCGATAAGTAAGTCTAGCTTTAATTCGGAGTATATTATAAAGCAGTTTCATTTAATAAAGAGGTAACAGAATAATTAAAAGTAACCAATGGGTATGAGCGTTCAAAGTTTAGAGATTAATTTACTTAAAGTTCAATTTTAAGTCGAATTGATAATGAAGAGATCTTGTTTTCATAAAATATTAAGGATTATATTTAACGTTCTCCAGTTGTTCCAACTGTACATATCAATTTGGATGATAATTCTATTTAGTAATATAAACTCGTATGTTCTGGAAGGTAAGGGTTATATGCCATTACAGTGTAATTTGCAAATTAAACATAAAAAAACAAATTATCTGATAGTATTTATATCTGATTATCGTAATGCACACTCATCATATTTTTAACAAAAAAGGGTTTTAAATAATTTTGGATATTCCAAACTTAGAAACAAAGATGAAACCCAGAATTGCACAAATAGGACAAAACTAATTATTGATTAACAATGTTTATTTATTTAATTTTGAAGGTTAAATTGATGATTGAAATTGGTAGAGGTTGATTATTCTAACTAATAGTAAGAATTATGACATTCTTGATATTATTGATAAATAAAAATGAAGATAATGATATAGTATTTGCAGTAATTTAAATTGGAGTAAAATGCAAGTCATCTAAATTAAATAATTTACGAATCAAATCTTAGTCAATTATTACTAGACCAGTAAAATTCAAAGACATGATTTAAATTTCTCTGTTTCTAAAAAGTGTTATCAAGCAATTATATGTAATTAAAAATTAAGAAAAATGTTATTTAAATCTATACTCTCTATACTCTTAAAATGGATTTGAATATATTTAATATAGATAGACGGTGTTCTTATCTCCTAGTCCTATTATTAATGTTTCATATATGTTATAAGGAACTTGTAATGACTAAGCCTATTTCGTAATATTTATTAATGTAATAGGTTTAAATATTTAATTCTTGATTTTGATATAAATTTATATTTATTTTTTGGCGATTCCAATAAAGTAGAGGTTATGTGGATCACCTTTTTTGGTTGTATATTTTATTTATAATAATTAAGCCAAGGAAAATTATTGATTTGTAAATTCGAAAATTTCTTAAAATGTATTATCTTGATATATTACATAAATATTTGTATCATTCTTATTTAAAATCGTAATAGAAATCTAAACGCTACACATTTTGTTAAAGCCCAGATCTAAGAATGAAGCATAAATTGTAATATCATATGTATTGGTTTAAACTTATTAATCTGTTAAATTAATTTATAACGAGGGTATTACTAATTAATAAACAATAATTTATTTGTCAAATTCAAATAGGTAGTTATTGAATGGATTGAAATATATTTAAGAATTATGTTGATTGATTTCAGTTTACGCAATAGCCCATTAATTATACTCTTGCTAATACAATTTTAGGTAGCCTTATAATTAAAATAAGACAAATTCATCATTCATAAAAATTTAAATGGGTTATTACTCCAAATAATATGAAAGCATTGTGTAATAATCTAATTAATTCTAGCATCCATATAAATGCTAATAATCTTCAGACCTATTTTTTTCTGAATCTTATTGTAAAATAAATATTTAATCACATTCAGATAAAGCTTAATAGTCATAATAGACATGAAAATAATTTAAGGTAATTTATGAAGTGGAATTATGTTATGAAGTTTCTTCAAAAGTAAAATTCTAATTTATGATAAATTATTATAAAGTTTATCTACTTAGGATATATATATAAGGGTTTATTCTTAAAGGAATACTAATTTATATGAATTAATTTTAGTAAGAAGTTAAATTTATAAGCTGAGATGAAAATTAGCGTCAGAATAGATGAATTCATAATATTGGGAATAAATAATGAAAGCTTTTGATTCATTATAAATTCCTTGAATTTCTGATGAAATTGGCTTTTCTGCTTAAATTGAATAAACTATGTTAAAGCTGGTATTCATTAATTGTAATAAATACAATTGTTTTCCATCATAACAATCAAGTAAGACTTCAAGATCAGCAAACAAAAGGATATTATTGCATTAATAACGGTCCTCAATGGTAACTATTTAACCATACTAATTCAAAGTCAAATTGTTCCATTCATAAAGAAGTACTTGATTTTCTGTTGTTATTGTTGCAAAGTGAGTTTAATTGGAGGATACTGATATAAATTCTACGATTATAGTTTTTATAGATACCATATCCTTCTATTTGTGTTATTTTGTTGAAACCATTTGCTATTTTAACATTTGGTATGATGGGTTCATAATGATAAAAATAACTATCTCCCCAAAATAAGTCTCTCATAGAATATTCTAAATACTCTCCATTAGTTGGATACAAACTAATGTGTTCAAATTCCTCTTCTACCAATAGACAACTTTAAACAAGAAATATCAAAGTAATAAATATCATTTTTTTACTATTATTAAAATTAATAAACAAAATTTCAGGTATGACTCAAAATCCAAAATTTATTAAGGGATTTAACATTATGTCATTCTTAATCATATTACACAAATTGAAGTATATTGTTAAGTTGAAATAAATTTATTGCGCTTAATAATAGCTTATAGTCTGGCAATAGTTTGTTTAACCAAGCCTTATAGTTTAAATTTTAAGGACTTTATAAGCATTTATTAAATTATATACAATAATTTAAGAATTAAATACTAACTGATTACAATATATATATAATTTAAATAAATGTATTACACTCCATCTAGACCTGCTGAAAATGATAAGCAACCTACTCGTCATTAAAGGCCTCCAGGTTAAAACCCTCAATATCTTCAAAAATTACCTGAAGATCCTCGCAGAGTTGATGATTATCATGGGCATCCTCAAGAACGTCCCCCTCCTCAATAAAGGCCTCCATATTAGGAACAAGGTCCAGATAGAGGCCCTCTACCTCAAAGACACCAAGATCACCCTTAAGATAGACCATAACCTCCATATGGGAACCTACCCAGAGGATTTGAACGACCACCTCCTGGTTTCAATCCGTAATTCCCTCCTCCACCTCCTGACAGATTCAATAATGCTCACTATGACCCTTCCTATGATGATGATCGCTATTATAGACCAATATCAGCTCCTTATGGTAGCCCATATGGACCAAGGTAACAACCATATGGAGAACCATCCCCTTAAGGTTTGAGAGGGCCTGCAAGAGCATATGACCCAAGAAGGGTTGGACCACCTCAAGATTTTAGAGGTCCTCCTCCTGATTATCGAGGATTACCTCCACCTGATTTCCGTGATGTTCCTCCTGAGTTCAGAGGACTACCTCCACCTGAATATAGAAGAGTGCCACCTTAAAGTTATTAAGGAGGAGAGTACAGAAGAGGAATGCCAGAACCAATGGGATATCGCGGCCGTATTACCAAGTCGAGATGTTGCATCTAGAGGTCCAGATTATAGAGGATTGCCTCCTCCTCCAGATTTTCGAGGAGGACCACCACCTGATTATAGAGGATTACCTCCTCCTTCTGATTTCAGAGGTGGACCACCACCTGATTTTAGAAAACCTCCTCCTGATTATAGAGGAATGCCCCCACCTCCTGATTATAGAGGAATGCCTCCTCCACCTCCTGATTATAGAGGAATGCCACCTCCTCCTCCACCTGATTATAGAGGAATGCCTCCTCCAAATTACAGGGGGCCTCCTCCTGAATATGGCAGAGGAATGGATCCAAGGGGATTACCACCTTAAGAATTAAGAGGATTGCCACCTCCAGGTGACTATAGAAGAGCGCCTGGATATCCTCAGAGAGGAGCTCCTTCCAATGAGTTTTATAGAGGGGAACATCCTCCTTAGTATCAAAGAGGAGGAGATTAAGTTTACAGGGGAGGACCTGGTGGAAGAGACTTTGAACCAAGACGACCTTTGTCACCATAAGCACAAAGAAGAGATCACGGATACAACGAGTTTAGTTCACCATAACAAAGAATTAAGCAAGCCTTGAATATTATATTAAAATCTATATATTATACTTTGTTTAGTCGTGATTATGAAGTGTTAATTAGGTAGAATAATTAAATTGATAAAATAATAATAAAAAGAGAGTAGAGATGCAAGAGAGTAAGAAGAGGAGGGTTGAAAGTGGAGGAGAGTAAGTTGTAGAGAGATGCAGGGGAGGTGGAGAAATATTTAATTATATAATAATATAGTTTTAAAATGAGTATAAATGAAGAGTTCGATCCGTTTTTAAATTAATATTAAAAATGTAAAAAATAGCTCTCTTAGCTTTGGTTCTTGCTGTGACCGCTGCCAAGTTCGTTGACACCCACACAACTTTGGCTTAAATCAACTCTGACCCATTCGGCCACGTTGTATTGAGTGCCATAAAAGCCCATCTTTAAGCCTCAACCCCAGCCAATGAAGTTAATATGTTATTGAATGGTGTTGGTGCAGGACTCGTCTAAGACTAGAACGACCATGATCATGCTTTTGAACTTGACACCACAACAAACAACAGAGTTGATTCTATTTAATTAATCTTTAGATCGTTGAAGATTTGGAAAAGGAAATTTTGTATCACCAAAACCAAATTGCCTCAAAATACCTAATTGAGAGATGACACAATCGAAGCACTCGCTGTATCTGAAGAAGATATCAGAGTCACAATTTCAGATATTGCCAACAACGAAGCTACTTATGCAAGAGAAGAAGCCACAAGAAACTAATAACACGAAACATTTGTATCAAAAGTTGCTGCTATCGATGATGTGATTGATGCTATTGATGAAGCCGCTAAATTGATCCAACATTTGAGCCTTGGAGCCTCATTTGCTTAATTGAAGAGCAAATACGATACACTCCACAAGAAACTTTCAGACAACACATCCCACACTGCATTGTTGCAAGTATGATTGATCACCCTACTTTAAATAGCCAGTCATCACTGCTCTTACTGAATTGGCTACCCACGGAGTTAACTAAAAGGCATTGACCAAGATTGCTTAACTCTTGAGCGAAATCAGATAATAATTAGTCTCAGAAAAAGCTGCCAAGACTGTATTCATTCAAATTTAATATTTAAGGATGTTGAGGATAGATAAGCTGCTCACTGGGCTGAATTCTCTGTCCATTTGAGCAATGAACACACCAGATTGGTTGAAAGAAAAGCTTAATTGGAAGTCTAAATCTAAGAATAAAAGGACACTATCGAAGATGCTTAATCATGGATCGAATTCCATACTCTTGAATTAGAAAACAGTGAAGAGAGACTTGCTGGATAATAAGCATGGTATGCAGTCTAATCAGAAATCTATGAAACCTAAACCGCTGAAAGGTATCCCATCATTCTAGTTTATTAGAACTGCCTAATAAGAAATTGTTGACAGACTCTAAGAGCACATCAGCGAGAAGTTATCCACCACTGCTCAATTCATTGCCAGCAGAAATTGATTTGATTATCAATACATCAATAAATAATTGGATAACATATGACAACTTAAATCCTCCACCTCTATATCTTATCCAAATTATAAAGACTTCTTTGTTAATTAGGGATTCTCCTCTTAGAAACTATATTCTAAGGAAGTCATTCTAAATAACCGAATTCCTTCTCAATTAAAATCTCTTTTCATTTACAATTAATGATCTTTGCATAATCTTCAGGCTGAAAGTAAGAAGAGATACAATGATAGATATTTATGAAAAAGTAAGGATGTATAGATAAGTCAATTAAAACTGAAATTGAATATTAAGGGATATAAATTGGAGATGCTGTTATCAATACTGTCTCCAACATATCAAAATCTCTCTACAAATATTCAAATTCTGGATTATGAAGAAAAATTAGGTAACATTTTTCTGGAACCAAAAGATAATCACATCATTTTTACTTCTAACAAGGAGATGCTAAACATTTATAAATACGTATTCTAAGCTTAGAAATAAACGACAATTATCGTTCTTTCTAATTAAAATTTAATTTAGTGTAGTAATTCTATATTGAAATTGATTAGCTATTAGCATCAAAACTAATTAAAATAAATATCTTGTTTAAGAATGCTTCCTATCATGGATGTATAAAATAGTTTGATCTATTTACATAATGTATTTAACTTATATCCAATAAATTTCTATTATAGTGACTTCAAACAGTAAAATCAATAATTATTTTATAAATTAGAACAATAATAAACCTACTCACATATATCAAAATTATCCAAAAGTGGAATAGAGTGTGATGTTAAGATATTTTAAAGAACACAATCCATATGATTCTAAATTTTACTAATAAGAATATCAATATTTTTAATAGGTTTTATAGCATTTAGAACTGTTTCAAAAATATTTAGAGGAATCTAATCTATTTTTGAAATTTAGAACTGCTCTTAAACTAAATACTTTAAACCAAGAATTAATAAATTGAAGAATCATAAACAAAAATATTTAATTTCAGTTGTTGATTTTAACAATGAAATTCCTTATTATACTAATTATATACAGTATATATTTTTGAAGCCTGGATTTGAAATTATTTAGAAAGTATATTGTTGCAATGTCCTTTCCATTTTTTAACTAATTTCTTGATATTAACCATTTCTCAACACTTAAATATAAGAATTAATTATTTTTTTACACCTTAAAGTTTGGTAAAGGATTACTTTATAATATGTATTAAATTAAATCATTGTATATTACTAAAGTACACCTTTTAATAAATAAATAACATTCTTTGAATGAGTTAGTAAAGTATTATATAAGCTAAAAAATCTATGCTTTCATCCTATTAAATTTAGTTTATATGGTTATTCCTATATTTAATTAATCTAAAATTAATTGAATTTTCGAAAAGAGTTATTTCATTATAAATTAATTTATAAGGGAGTAGTAGATATTGAGATAATTTGGATTGGAATAAATTATGATAGAATACTTTATTTATTAAAATCAATATATCGAAATAGAGGTTATAATTTAAATATTAAAATTTAAAGAACTTATTAGTGCACTTTCTAAATGATAAACGATATCCTTTGGATCAAATAATTGTGATTCGTGGATTTGAAAATAATTTTACTCATGATAGGTTGTTTAAAATGAGATTTTTCATGTTAAGTTGGTCTATTTGAATTTTATGGTTAATACCTGCATAATAATTATAAGGGTTTTAACTATTTACATTGATTAAACAATATTTATATTATTCTAATGCATAATTAATAATTTTGTGAAGGTAGGAAGATAGACTTGGGGTGGTTGACAGATGCAAAGAATGATTATCAGTCTCTTCTAATCAAATCATTTCGATAGTAGTTTAAGGAGGAATACTAGAATATAGCAAATAAGGAACTGATTACAGATGAGATGATTATGAGCCTTTGTTTGAGTGTTGATTAGAAGAAGGAGGAATTGGTTATGTAGAAGAAGAGCAGTGTAACGGGTGGTTATTTGGATAGATTAGTGAGATTTGACAAGCATGTCCTTTAACAACTCAAGGATCATAAGCCGGTCAAATCATTTCCTCTGTATCAAAAAGTTTACGTTGAAACCAAAGCAGCTGATTAAAAGACGTGGTTCAACAAAAATGGTGATATGGCAAGGCTACTTTTGGAATTTGAGAAAGGACACTCAGGTGTATACATATATAGAAAGGATAAAAACCAAGCTATTAAATGGTAAAGATACTTGATAATTGAAAAATTATTATAAGTGAGACCGACATTGGTGGAGAGGTGTTTCCAATATTGCTATAAGGAATATGAAGATAAATTTACAGTAACTTGGACATTAAAGTACGCTTAACTAATTGGAACTTATACAACATAGATGAATCAATTGAAAAAGTAAAAAGCTAAATTAGATGAAAACTTTTTGATTTCATTGGACAGATAAGTCATGAATTATCATATCAAAAAGTGGTAGGCAAAGAGTGATAAATAATATAAAGATGAATAGGATTACAAGGAGAAATTAAAGTAATTGTCATTAAAGGAGTAAGAATTATTGAAGGCTACGGAGCAATAGAGAGAGTTGGAAAGATTGGCAAAAGAAAAGAGGAGACTAGAACTATTACAATAGATGGTCACGCATCTAAAACCTAAGAATTAAGATGTCAAGCGATTTTATAGGTATTGGTTGGATAGAGCAATCCACATTCAGCAAAACAATCCAATGAAATTTAGTATATCATTTGTCAGCATGTACATGCAAAGCAATACGTAGTTGATAAGACCTTAATTAGAAGTAAGATTTGTGTCTGAAGTATCTTAATAAACAAATTATTATTTTAGAGAACAGAAAACACTCGAGACATAGAAAACTCAAAACTATTAGATGGTTTACAATATCATATTGAGTAAAATCCTTATTGCATTAAGCGGTTGTTCACTTAAATGAGTCAATAAAGAAGAAGAGACTTCACAACTTGGATTTTCAAAGATGGATTACTTGGAGCAAGTGGAAACACATCAATCACAATTGAGAATTTTGGTTACAAAGATTATCTTGACCTTTAAGTTATAGACACCATCAGTACTTATTTATTATTATTTAATAAGAGACCAATACAGCTTCTAAGGTTCTTAGAATATAACTATAGGATATGTTTCAATTTTTGCATGAAGGCAGATCATTTTGGGTGCAGTTGGAATTTGGACCTTCAAAGATCTTTGTGGAAATAGATGTATTGGAACAATCAAATTTAGATCCTATTTTTTTAGATAGATTGAAGTTCATAGAATTGAATGATATTCTCAGAAAAATAGTTGTAAAGATAATCGACCAAAGAACTCCGGTAATAATTATTTATCAAATTATCTAAGATTCCAATTGTTGAAACTGTGAGATTTAGTCTTGAAATTAATAAATATAGCAAAGAAATTCAAAACCTATATTAAAGATTTTATATCGAAAACATTTGCTTATAGCCTCAATGCATACCTACAGCTTGGTTTTCAACGTTGGATGGAATTGAAAGAGTGGTTAAACCTATCGTGGATATACTCAAGAGAAATTTCTAAGAATTCAAGGATAGTAGTGAAAATGTGCAAGTTTATCAAAAATTAAAATCAATTCCAAATTTGAACCTACCTTTGGAGAAGGATGTTAATGATTTTATTAGTAAATTGCCTGTTAATTAAGCAAATTAACATAAATAATTTCATGGCATGTTGATGACATTCTTAATTTATTGCAATCTCAGAGGAATCTAATTGAATGTTCAAATGCTGAATAGTCTATTTACAATCGCAAGTAAATTTATATGCATAACTCACTGTCACTTTTTCTATAAGTTATCAAATCCTGTGTTTGGTAATAAATTTGATTCTGAAGCTTAAGCCTTTTGGCTTTTTGTCTCTTTCTTGGATCTGATGAAGAATATTCACTTCCCATTAACCAAAGAAGATTAGGTATTTAGTCCTTAAGAAACAGTCATTTAATATTTGGAGTTCCAACATATGAATCTGATCAAGCATTGCAAAGTTTATGACATTGCTATTGATAATTTCATGTATGAAACTCTTTGTTGCCTATACACTAATATCGTTTAATCTCTGCCCTTGTATAATATTTGGAGTTTAATCATAAGAAAGATGTCTACAAATAAGAATGTCTATCTAATAGTGCTAATCGTATTAATTGAGGAATTAGGAGATAAATTGCTTATATGTTAAAATACAGAGGATTTTAAAAATGCCATCTGCTTGCAAGGTAATAAAATCATTAATATCACTTAGCCTAACTAATGGATATCCTCCAATTGGAAGCAGCTTACTCAAATTGTGAATCAACTTTGAATAGAATTATAAATTCTGAACATTCCATATAGTAATCGATTGAACACTCCAATATCCATGGCCCATTAATATAGGACCAATGATTTATAAATATAATTTTGTAATTAAATCATATTAAAATATTATATTTTTAATACTCTCATATAATGTATAAAATTAATCATCGTTTAATGTTTCTATTCTTTTCTTAAATCTATTGAATTTTATCATACAACAATTCAATATCGATTTTATCAATGAGTTTTGGTTCTTGAGCCCATTCACCTACCAAATATTCAACCCTTCCAATCATTTTGGTTCTTAATTCTCTATACTAAGTCTCATTTAATTGAACAGGAAGTTATCCTCCTATTTTCAGAATTGTTCCTTTTTTTCCAACAAATAAAGTTTCAGTTGGTTCAATTTCTTCAATGAGACCTTCGACATGTAAGGATTCAGCGACAGTCAATTACTAGGCTAAGTTTTAAATTTCTGGTAGTTCTGGGTTGAATCTAATTGATAATTTTGAATGAATTACTTTTATTCTTGGATGAACTCATCCCTCTCATTCTACACTCCCAAGATTAGTTCTGCTCTCAACAATTCTAATAGTTTCTTTTAAGCATTGAAACTAATGTAGACGTATTCCTTAAATTCAGTTTCAGATAGAATCAGATCAGGATGATAGATTTCCTCTAAGGTTTCTTATACCAATTCTTTAAACCATTATTAAATGGGTTAATAGCTGAACCATTTTTTCTTCAACACTTTTTCCAAATCTTCCTTTTATTACTATATTTCCTTTGGAGTTATTTCAACTTGTCTTTCTGCAATCAAATCCAATTACTTGAGTTAGTGATTTATTCCAATAATTAATCTCTTTCTTTTCTGTGCTTTAAGTCCTTGTATTTTGCCATATATCTCAATTTCCTTTTTGGTAGCCATATAGAGGTCATCTCTAAAATAGATTCGTCTCTACAATTAGCCTCTTTTATATTTTGGTAAATTTTATTTATAGAATGCACTCATTCTGTATTACTTATTTTCTATGGCACTATAAACATCATCAGGAGTAGTTTAACTGATGGGTTTTTCTTCTAATGAGGTAATTTAATTTTCATAGTGTTATTTGATCTTTAAACTTAAGAGATTAGTATAAATTGCTTTGGCTTTGAAAGTCGGATATTTAGTAGATTTAAGAGTAAGGATGTAATCTAACAATTTGTCTGATTAAACAAGAGTCCTTTATCTGTAAGTATTATATAATGTCGCAGCTGCCCTCAATTTGCCATTCAAATACTCTATTAGTTTTTCAAATTGCTTATAGTTTTAAATCTAAAATCCAAAATCTTATTAAAATTTCAAAACTTAGATCTCGTAATTATTACCTTACTTAAAGGAACAATAGATTTCCTCCAATTTACATAATAAAACATATGAGAAAGTAAACATAAGATTGTTCTCAATCACTTTGAAAGAATCGAAGGTTAATGCTTCATTGATCTAATCATCTATTATTGGCAATTCATTCAAATGTTCGAAATTCTTCATTCTCATCCTATAAGTTGAAGTCAATAGTTATTCGAACATTGCTTATAATGGCTTAAACTAATCTGGACATCTAAAGAAATCTTCCATTATTATGCTTAAATTGTTATCACTATTAATTAAACCTTCTAAAGTAGTTGGAATCTCTTCCTTTTATTTAAGTTGCTCTATTTCCTATTTCATTTGATTTATTAATTCCTCCTTATTCACTTATACTATGGGTACTTTTTTTAAATTAATAATGATTTCCTCCTTGTTCTCTTTCAATTGATCTAATATTTCCTTGACCTCTTTCCCTTCTAAATATTCCGATATGTTAGCAAATTTGTTTGATTGTGTGACATTTTAAACAACATTCCTGTAGAACTTATCCATCTATTAACTAAACTCCTGATAAAGATCTCCGTATCTAGTTTCATACAGTTTCTCTCTTGTAGCTCTGGCTCTGAATACTTGATCCATTTATTCATTATCCACAATCTTTTCTGGCAATTCATTTTCGTAGAAAGATTTTCTATCATCTTTTGGGAAAATGAGTAATCTCTGCATTGATCTATTCCATGCTTGTTGTTTCTTTATGGCTTCAATTTCATCATCTTCTGTTGTCAATTTGTGATTTAAAATTGAATTTCTCACTCTTGAAAATAATTCTCTCTTTGGTTTCACTGATGCAATCTTAGCCACATTGGCATATCCGTTAAATCTAGCTTAATTAGCCTTCTCAAAGAAGGAGTTCATTGTCTCTTCCAATACAGTTCCAAAATCTTTAATACCATCCAAATAAGCTTATCTTTCCGCTATATACTTCTTAAGGTTTTCTTCATATCCAACTATGCTCTTTAAATTGTCCATCTTAATTTTCACATCCCTTTTCAATTCAGCAAGTTCAACTCTCATTTTTCTCAGATCTGAAACTCTAATTGATCCATCCATCATGTGTTGATTATTCTTCATAAAAGCAGCCACATCTACTTCCTAATTGGCTCTGTCGATTAGTCCCTTTCTTAGATTCTCCTCATTTAAGAAGACTCTAATATTGTCAGGATACTCAGCATAAAAGTCTCTTACTGGTTCAAGAGCATCAGGTAAATAATCAATTGAAGGACTAACATGACTGAAAAAGGAATCGATGTTATCTACTCTTCCTTATTTCTCCATCAAACCACTGATAGCAAGATTCGAAGCTACATTGTGTTCAGCTACAAGGCAATCTCTCCATTATTATTTCTCTGCCTCTCTCAATAACTTGAATGTAAGGTCAAGAGATAATTTTGGCTATGCTTCCAACTCCGTTAAGATCTCCTTAGCAAATTAACTCTATTCAGCTCTCAATTTATCCATGATCTCCTACACACTCTCTCCATTGAAACATCTAGCAATCAAGGCCTTGTCCAATTTAACCAGATTCTCTCTTGATATAATTCCCATTTCATCGAGACTATCAATGTTCAGTGTTTTAAATTGGAGATATGGATTTGCGATGGTTTGCTTAGGCCATTCATTCTGATTTAAAAGATTCTCTTCTTAGAACCTTTTGAGTTTGTATAATAATTCTTATGCCACTTATTAAGCATCTTCGTTCTACATTCTAATCAGCATTTCTTAACTCAACTTGGCTAAGAATTTCTTTCTTCCATATTTGAATTTTTAAATTTCACGTTTCACCTATTTAGGGTACATTTTTGCAGTGGTTGGTGTCTTGTATTATTAGGTTGTTTAATCGATGTAATCAATGGCTTTGTTTTTATCTCTCAAATTTCCGTATATCAACTCTAAGTTTAATGCTTCGTCATTTTTCAACCATCGACCCGTCAAGGCATAATACAACCCCAATTAATCAGGCAATCTGGATAAATGATATGAAGCACTAAAATTCTTATTCATTTTTACCCTGCATGAGGGACAAAGCCCCTATTAACATCATTAAATCGTATTCCTCCTTTTTAATCAAAAAATTAGAATGGAGTTGAACATGCTAATGCTGCCATTGATCCGCTGGCTTCTCCAGTTATCACAGGCATCAAGACTTTGTTGTACTTTCCAAAATAGACTGCCAAATTTTATATTTGCCTCATATATTCAATCTTCTCTTACTAGGATAAGTGCTACAAGTCTAATTGTTATTAAAATTGTATACATTTCAAATCTGTTCCTTTGGATTAGCAATCCAACCAAATTATATTTATTGCTTCATCTAAATCATAACTTTCCAAAAATCTATGAATTTGATTTAACATTGTTGGAGTTAAGATGTTATGCTTATGATTATGATTAAGCTTGGCAAACACCTATTATCCAAACTTCTCCCCTAACAAATGCGATTGCTTGATTTCAGCATCAAATCTAACGACATTTTATGATCGAAGCACTTGAGTTGAGATATAGGAATACTTAATTTTAAGCATCATAAATAAAATCTTAATTAATCAAATCAAATTCACAAGACTTATACGGACTTTCATTCTATGCCTCAATAACTCTAAAGTGTATTTGTAATCAAATGGAATGTTCTCAATCGAATTATCTCTTTCATCAGCGGCCAATACGACTCATTTCGTATTTACTCTCTATTTTTATGCTTTGAAAAATGAGTAATAACGATCTAGATATGATTCCACTTCTAATTATTTTTGATTCAATATTTCTTTTTATTAATAATCTAGAAAATTTAGATTAATCTGAATTAATTAGTTATAGCTTTTTTTATATTTAGATATTATGAAAATGATTAAATTCAGGGTTTCTCATAAGTATTAATTGATTTCGATTATTCAATAAGGTTATAATTTATTATTATTATAAAAAGCGTATTCTATTTCTTATTATTTAGTTTGTTTATTTTCAATTCCAATTTTTTACTACTTATTTTCCTCCACTTCCAAAAGATTTCAATAATAAAGTTTTTGAGAATAATATCATTTATTTTACCTTCTAATTGAGTTTAGGTTGATTCTTTTCCTTCATGTTATTTTTATTTTTCTAGTAATCTATTTTTTATTAATTTATAATTGAATTTATAAATGGAATTTTCGATTGTTATGAATCCTTTATTAAGCTGAAGTGTTTGTATTTTAATATCATACAATATTCAGCACTTAGATTAATCTTTCTCTTTCCTCAACTAAACACTCATACCTATTAGCACTACTGATAAAAGAAAGAAGTGAAGTCGAAACTCTCTATTGTTATAAATAATCTATTTAGAACTCTATCAAATTTTGTGAACTATTATAATTTCTATAAAGTATAGGCAGCTTTTCATATTAGCATTCCTCTTAATCTCCTGAAAATGAATGGAAGGTGATTATCCATTTTGAATGCTTATAATTATGTTTGATATTTTTTAAATTTTATTTTTAAAAGTATAATCCTGAATTACTTATATACTAAGAATCTATATTTCTTGTTTTATTGATTATCTCACTCTTAGATACATTCCAAAGGTTATAAATAAATTAATCTTTTTTAAATACATTTCATATACTAAACTCTACTATGGCATTCTGCAATTGAAATATTATATATCTCTTAAATAGAACTTATTTGGTTTTCATAAAAATAGATTGTAAAGTATTTGATTATAAAAGATAAACCTAAAACAAATATAAAATCAGAAAGGCAAAAAAGGATATTCATTTGCTCCAATCCCGAAAATCAATCCATTGCAATTTATTGATCCCACAATACTTAATTCTGGAATTAGGATGTCTGCCAATGAGTCTAATTATGTTGAGAAGAAAATTACTTTTTTGCCATTTATATAACATTATGACTCGAGACCGGTTTTTTTGTAGTTCTTTCATATCTATACTTATATAACTCTAAAAAGGATATCAATTAATTTTCTTTATTATTTGCAACAGGCAATTATTCAGAATCTCCCCAAATTGAATGTTCCTCTAATTCCTAATCATCATCATTAAACCAAGAATAACAGGAATTCAATTGATGTCTTACAGGATTTCTCCTTATTTTTTGCGAGCAAGGCAGATCAAGTTTGCGTTCTGAAAGCATTCCATCACAAAGTTATGATGATAGTGAATAGGACTTCTGTTCTGATTTCAAAATTCTTTAACTAGTCGATTATTGTAAATTCAGATTGAATTGATCATACACTATGTCACTTTTAATCCTCAAATGCATCTACATCTATATTAAACCAATATAATATAATAAAATATAATGCTTGCCCTAATTTAGACTAAAATATCCTATATTTAAATAAACAAAGTTAGATAATATATTGCTATATTTTTAATGGAGGTTATAAATCCATCTTTATTAAGAAATGAAAATCGGTAAAGTTATTGTGAAATAATATATAGATATATAATTCATATTTTAACCCTCTTACTCACCTCCTCTCCAGTCATCCAAGTTTAAATTTAATTCTAGCATTTTACAAAAGTATCAAAATCAATGTTATCGATAACGATCTAAAATCGCTCCTTATTGACCACAATGAAGGCACTAGGACTATTAGTCTAAATGATCTAAACGATGCCCCCAATTTAATCGGGATTCAATTGTTTAAGATTGTTGGAAAACTCAACTTTCTCATTATGAGAAATGGTTTATTGTGTGTCTTCCTAGACTCCAGTATCTTCGGTAATTTTTTTCACTTTTATTGAGCTTTAAGGCAAATTAATTAAGGGGAGATAGTTCTTCACATATTTTTTAAAGGATTTTTCAAGTTTTTCAGATAATTTACTAATCCACTAGAATAAAATTGTATAATTACACTAGAGGGACCATTATACAACTTGCAGTTGTCCCAAATTAATTATATATCATCTAAGCATTCTTCCACATGCTTGTACTCTGAATTTTATAATTTTTTAGAGCAAGTGCCCAAGTCCATAGGTTTTTTTACGACGATCAAGTAATCATGCAAACCAAGAGTTTTGTGGTCAACAGGTTGTCGAAATTCTAAACTATCATTTGAATCTATGAGCTATTATAAAATTTGATTTAATTTTTTTAATTCCTCCTTATTTATGGGTGTTTGCGTTCCTTTGATCATTCAATAATTTTTTATTTATTTTCTTCAATTTTATTTCTAGATTAAATTTTTTATAATGTATTATATATATTTATAGTCCTGAAATTGAAAGCATTTACATGAAGATGTATTAATAAAATTGAATGATCCTAATTTTATTGTTATGTTATCGTATATAAATTAATTATTTATAATAATGTCTAAGTCAATTAAGGGATTAAATTTAAGTTAGGATGTGTTGGCATAGGAGTTGGATGCATAAAGAAGAGATAGGATGAAAGCAATATCGACTCATAAAAACATAAAGGATCGTCTTGATAGAATGTAACTTGTTGCAATAGGAAAATAGGGAATAGGAAAGAGATATGTTTGGGAATGAGAATTTTTTAGTGAAGAGGAGGTTGTCTGATGATAAAAGGGAATTTATAGACTTGATTGAATTTCATAAAAAGGAAAAGGAGGAGTTAAGAGAGGAGAAGCAAAAAATAGAGTACGAGTATGGGGTATTGCAAAGGAAAATGTTTGATATAGATGAAGATTATAGTAAGATGAAGTATTCATTCAACTAGAAAAAATGATGGATAAATAAAGACAAATTTTTGAGACAGATAAATAACCATTAATTGATAAAATAAAGTTTTTGGAAGCCAGGTTGGAGAAGATCGATGGTTTTCTTCAAACTAAGGCTGATTTAGAAAGCGAAAGAGAAAAACTGATCGAAACCTTAGCGCAAGAAAGGAGAGATAAGCAGAGGGAATTGGCAGATAAGGAGAAAGAGAAAGTCAAGGAAACAAGTATAGAAATGATTATGAATTAAATAGATCAATTGAGGAAAGAAATGGAAAATAAGGTTCAGGAAACCAAGTTATCAGAAAGAGCATAATAAAAAGAATAATTGGAAACAACTACTAGATTAACAGTTTTATAAAATTATTAAATGACTACAGAGTTAGAATACCAATCAAAATAGACAGGAAAATTATTGGGAGAAAGCACAAAGTTATAAGAGTAAGTAACAAGTTTAAAGAGAGATATCGAAATACACAAGTAAGTTGAATAGGAATTAGCAAAAAGATCTCATTTTTCTTAGAAATTAATTAAGAAATTGTCATCAAGAATCAAGGATTTAGAAGACTAATTAGAATAGAAGGAATTTGAACATTAGGAATTGAATTCTTAATAGGCCCGTTAAGAGATGGAGAAAATTAGGGAAACAGAAATTATGTAATTGGAAAAAAAAATAGCCTAATTATAAAATGATAATGAAATTTTAAGAAGTGAGAATAATCATTTACTTACAAAATTAGATACCATAAGATTGGATGAGAATAAATTTGCTAATTTATCAGCTATTTTAGCAAGTAATTTGGAATATTTAAAGAATAATTTTAATCATGACATTAGTGAAATTATTGATCTATCAGAATTGTATATCATAATTTATTATTGTATAGACGAGATAAGAGTGTAAGTCAATGGACATCGAATTAGAAAATAACAATAATGAGTATTTTATTAAGATAAACTTAATAATACTTGACAAAGAAGAATTTAAATATATCAGATACTAATTAGATTAACATTAATCATACAATGACTGAGAATGCTACAATAGTAGACAATAACAATAAGTCATTCTATTTTCCAAGTACTTTATAACTTAATTGCTTAGAAATTAAATCAGAGGAGGACCAAACAACCTAGTTAAGTTCAAAGAGATTTTAAGGAGTCCCACTTGACATTAGCAATTCTATTGTTAAGAGCAATTTGAGAGATTGGGGAAAGCCATCAGCATTATAGCAATCTAGTTAATTATTACGAAAATATAAGTTAAAATGATTGCTAAAATTCTTTTAAAATGATAATTTTTATATTTATACTATTCTGTATATGAATCCGATACCTTAAGTTTGAATTATGAAATGTTTTTAATTTGATGTTTTTCATTATAATTTATCTATTTTTTGCCTTTATAAACGTGTTTTAAAATAAAATTTAACGTAAATTAATTTAATATCTGTTTGCAAATACCTTTTATACTTAAAATGTCAACGAATACAATCAAAATGTTGCAATAACGTAATATGGACGTAGAAGTCTCATGCTTCGAGGATAAATTACAAATATCCCCCTCAAAATAAAACAAGGAAAATTCACATCATATTAAGGCAAAGACCTGCGATATGAGTGATCTTATCAAAATGTTAAATAAAGTAGAGATACAAAGTACTTAATAAGGAGGTATTGATAATAAATAGTTATCTTAGACTAAATTGAGATAGAATAAGATAGTACTCCAAAGAAGTAAGTTCAGCAAGGAAAGACTTGCAGATACATTCCCTTAAGGAGTGGATAGAAATAGACTCTGATTGAGGAATTCCAATATCGAGAGATCGAGGACGAAAATTAGGAACCTTAAAAAGGAAGTGATTATAAAGATTAAGGAAATGTTTCATTAAAGGATATCTACAGGATGCACGTATTTGGACAACCCTTATAAAATGAAGAGTTGCATTGGGAATAGAAAAACATCTTCAGATTCAATGACAACACTCCTTAAAAAAGGAATATCTTATAAGATATCAATCCTTCAGTATTGGAAACCTACAATAATTTGATTGAATATAGAGAATAGTTCTAAAATAGTTTGGATTACCAATATAGTCAGAGAAAAATAAATAAGGTTCCATTTAAAGTTTTGGATGCCCCTCAATTATAAGATGACTTTTATTTGAACTTGATAGACTGGAGCTCTTAGAATGTCTTATCAGTGGCTTTATCATCCTGTGTCTATTTGTGGTCAGCCTACAATAACAGAGTGACTAAATTTTGTGATTTTGGAAACAATGATGTAGTCTGTTCATTGATTTGGAATCCAATGGGTAATCAATTGGCAATCGGAACTGGTTCAGGAGAGATCCACATATACGATTAGGAGAAGATGAAGAGAATGTAAGTAATAGAAGGACATTCAGCAAGAGTGGGATCATTGGCATGGAGTGGACATGTATAGATATGATATTAATTTTAGACTCTTTGTTCAGGTTCTAAAGACAGATCAATAATATTACATGATCCAAGATAGAAGAGATAGACTGGTAAATTCGAAGGACATAAATAGGAAATTTGTGGATTGAAGTGGTCACCAGATGAATACCAATTGGCCTCAGGTGGAAATGATAATAAATTATTCGTTTGGAGAATGGGTTCATAGATTCCACTAGCTAAGTTCAGTTAACATCAAGCTGCTGTTAAAGCAATCGCTTGGTCCCCTCATAGACATGGATTATTATCATCAGGTGGTGGCACTGCAGATAGAACCATTCGATTCTTTAATACTTTGACTACTGAATAATTAGATTGGATAGACACTGGATCTTAAGTTTGTAATTTGATGTTCAGTAAGAATGTCAACGAATTCGTATCAACTCATGGTTATAGTATGAACTAGATTGTCTGTTGGAAATACCCTAGCTTATAAAAAGTATTTCTTTCTTTTAATCTTAGGTCACTACTCTTATGGGACATACTTCAAGAGTTCTATTTTTAGCTATGTCACCAGATGGAGAAACTATTGTTACTGGTGCTGGTGATGAAACCCTAAGATTCTGGAATGCATTCCCCAAAAAAGAATAGGCTCAACCTACTAACACTATTTTATTGCCTTAGATGATTAGATGAATTGTATTTTTTTCTACTTTTTTATAAACATTACAATAAAAAATATTTTAAGAAGTATAATAATTTGGAATTACCAAAGAGTATCCCTCCCTTATATTTTCAGGTAAAATGCATCATAACAAACCTACCTACTGAAGAATTTTTTATTAAATATTTATTTTTAGAATAAATTTGATATATGATTTACAATTTGACTTATAATTGTGTATAACATTTTAATTATTATTTTATATCTTATATGAGTAATTTTTCATATCAAAACAGTTTCTTTGGACTAATCTACATTTTCCATATAATGAAAACTCATTATGTTAATTTTGGTAGAATTTATTAAGTTTATTGATAATCCCTAATAATAGTATTTCTCAATCGATTGGGCATATCGCATTTTAATATTTTATGTACCCATTTTGTGAGCAACCTCCTTGCTCTGATTTCACACTTATTTATTGTGCCTGAACAACTTAAGGTTCTAATTTTGATTGGTACACCTCTAAACATATTCATAAATAAGAGGGTTGACCAAATTATATTTTTATACTCCCTATTCACTCTCAAGATAAACAACCTTGAAATAGAATTCAAATATTTTACTATTCAATTTGTTGAATCCTTTACCTTAAAATGAAAATTAAATATTGCCGGATCCAAACTAACCAAAATGGTATTCTACTTGATCTTTTATCTCAATAAATAAGTCTCTCTCTGAAAATTCCTACTCCTGATTCTCTTGAATATATTCGCATAAAAAGTATCGATTCTTAAACCTGACCATTTATAATTAAATTATATATTGATTTATATACTCTCACAAATTTGCTTTGATACCTAGATTCTTCTTCAACTACTCTCCAACCTTGATTATGAATTCCTCAGTATTCACATACTTGGTTCTCGAAACACTACAAATTACATTTGAATAAGTACTTATTATCATTATGTACAATGATGGCTAAATCCTTAGTCATAAATCCATTTTCTACTGTCTAAATGACACTTGATTCCAAAGTTGTACAAAACTTGTGTAATTCCTTGTTATTGTCTAATTTGGCTCTATGCAACAACCCTCTGGTCCAAGCAAAAATACTTGCAATAGAATTAGTAGATGTTTCTTTTCCTTATTAATGCATTCTGTAATGTCTGGTAACAGTTCCATGTGCAGCTTCTGCTTCCACTGATCCATCTGGACTGACTAAAACACTAGTCATCAATCCCAATGAACCATATCCTTGAGCCACAACATCTGATTGGACATCTCCATCATAATTCTTGCATGCCCAAACAAAACCACCTTCACTCTTAATCATATAAGCAACCATATCATCAATCAATCTATGTTCATACCACAATTTCTTTTGTTCGAATGTTTATTTGTAATATTTATCATAAATTTCTTAAAAGATATCTTTAAATCTGCCATCATACTTCTTTAGAATGGTATTTTTGGTAGATAGATACAATGGATAATTGCGATCGATTGCATATTTGAAACATGAATGTGCAAAATCAATGATAGATTCATCTGTATTATACATACCCATTGAAATTCCCTTGCCCTCAAAATCAAACACAGGATATTTTGTGATTTATCCTTGTTTGTTTGTGAATACCATCTCTAATTTGCCTGGCTCACTTATCAAAAAATCTGTAGCTCTATATTGATCTCCAAATGCGTGTCTTCCAATAATAATTGGTTCTTTCCAACCTGGCACCAATCTAGGGATATTCTTAATTATAATAGGTTCTCTAAACACTGTTCCGTTGAGAATATTTCTAATTGTTCCATTTGGAGATTTCCACATTTATTTTAACTTGAATTCCTTCACTCTTGCTTCATCTGGTGTGCTAAAGATAAACATTCAAGAGTTTACATGGTGGCACATTTAATTCCAACCTTATACTTTTTGATTGCATTCGCAGAATCAATAGTTACTTTGTCATCTGTTTTGTCTCTATTCTCCATTCCAAGGTCATAGTAATCTATCTTCAAATCCAAAAATGGGAAGATCAAATACTTTTTGATTTATTGCCAGATGATCTAGATTTATCGAAATGTATTACTCTAGTCATTTCATCACCATCTAATTCTACTACAGGAGTCTAAACTTAGATCTTCATACTATTTAATAATATTTATCAATTAATTAATTAACGGAATGAATGTATATACAGGTTCATCCTTTGAAAAAACAATTAATAGAACCACTACACATCAATACTTAGTCAGAAAATATGGAAATAAATCCAATGAATAATATTTCAATTTTGAAGAAATACTCAATTAAATTCAAGATGTTTTTTGCATGAGTTGCGAAAGTTATGTACCATCAGAATAAATTAACATACACACTCAAAATTGCAATGGAGAATGCGATTAATATGAACAAGTCGACTCCTTACAAGCAAAATTATAAAAATGTAATTTTCTTATAAATAAAATCAAAAAGATGCTAAAAACCTATTCATCTGATTAATAGTATATCATTCAATATTTATAAATGTTATGGAAATGTTGCAGTAACATAATCCTAGCTTCAGACCATAATGTGGTTTCACAATGCTTGGATGATTTAGATCTATTTCAATAATACTTCGAAAATCAATAATAAGACGTCGCTGTTGAATAAGTCATCCAATAGATTTTGACTATCATCAGTAAAGTTATGCAATTTTCGGAAAGAAAAGCTCGAATATTGTAGAGCAATTAGAATAATGTTATCAATCACCTCAAAGAATCAATTGCCACATCTTTGGCTAATGAAGGAGGCTTATAAAAAAAGCTTCAAATTCATGAGAATCAACTCAATAGGTATCGTAATCCATTTGAAAATGTTTAAAACAACATTCATTAATCATTAAAGGATGATTTTTAATCTAGATTCAAATAAGCAAATAGATAATCGCTTTCCCCAATTACTGAAACAAGTTTTATCGAAAAAAGCAAAATAGGAAACCTAACTCCTAGAATGGAAGAATCAATGTAAATATCATCAACAATGTTTCATAAAACTGAGGCTGAGAAAAAAAATCAATTCTTTAAAATTGCTGCTGGTTTAAAAAAGACATTTCCGAAAAAATAATCAGTTTAATAAGCCTTAATAATTGCATTATATGATAATGCAAATAAAAATAATATCTAGTAGCACTAATATGAAAATTACATATCTAATTTATATCAAAATATGTGATTAATTATTACTGTTTTTATTATTACAATCTAAATATTGTTATTAAATTGTAATTTCAATTCTAATTTGAACTTGAATAACATTCATTTAAATTTAAACTCTTGAGGAATTTAAAAATGGGTTAATAATATTATTCCGATATATTAGACATAGCAACTTTTTTTTTAATTGTAAAGAATTACTTTTTTACAAAGTATCCAGAAATAATTGTTAAACTATTAGGCATTTTAACTTCCAATAATATGGTAAAATGATTATAAGCAATTAGTCTTCTCGAAGAATTAAAAAAGAAAAATTATCATTCATTCAATAGGAATTAACATTTTTGAAGAAGGCATAAATGTCATTATTGTTAGTTTTTCAAAAAAAAGGATGCTAAAACTATTTGTAAAGTAAAGTAATTAGTGCTTATGTAAGGAAGTAATTGAAAAACATATAATAGCGTTACATAATGTTGCAAAGCTTTTGTTGTTACATTAATAGTATCAATAATAACTAAAAAACATTATTATTTTTAAAATAATTTTTTCATGAAATATTGTTTTAAGAGTCTAATAGCAATTTTTTTATTTATTATATTTAATTATAAACAAATTGTATATATATATTAATTCAAATAGGTTACCACACATAAACATAACCATCGAATGTTTGATTTTCTATCATATAATGATTTTTCTTTATTCTCATTTTATTGAAACCCTGTTTTTGATAAAATCTGGATGCGATTTCATTATAATCAACCATGTCAAGATATATATAAGCAATTGTTTTATTGGACTATAAGACGGTTTTTTTTAATTGTTCAACCATGTATTCTGCAATACCCCTTCCTCTGAATTCATTAATAACTCCTATAGTCATAATATATAAAGCATTTTGTGTTTAAAAGAATAAACAAAACCATTATTTCCAGGTTAGATTCTATAGATATTTAGTTTTACACTATCGTTATTAATACACCATAGCCCCAATCACGTATTTCTCCTTTCGACCTGTAGGATATTTTATCTCAATCTCTGCTATGAGTGAAGAAACACGGCCATTCAAAACAGAATTATAAAATTGCTCACCGTAAGTAATTGGGAACCACTCTTGCTAAAGCAATTTAAGTTATTCTAGATCTCTCTTTGTTTAAACTTTTCTAAATTTAATATCTTTAAATCCTATGTCATCTATTTTAACATTTGCTAATACACTGTGTATCTCAGCTATGTAACGAGTGTTATTTTAAGAGTTTGGGGGATATGCCTAGCTTAACCTCTAATCTATTTATTGCATCGTTTTACTAGTTATTTAAAATGTTTGTGATTAAATCGTAAATAAATTTATTTCTAAAATCAAAAAAGCAAGATGCTTTTATCTACGTCTAAGTTGACATCTTCAAGGCTAGGAAAGTCCCAATTATAGAGTCCACAAAGATCTACTGTTAACTATCTTTAATAAGACCTCGATTCTCCATCTAGATAAAGAATTAAGTTATTATCTGATAAATGGAATCATATCCAAAATGGAATAGATAAGGATAAATTAGAAAAGAGAGAAGTTCTTGAGGAGAGAATTAAAATTATAGAAGATGTTCTTTCATCAGAGAAACCAAAAGATGAATAAAGATTTAAAGTCCTTAAGGATCATGTATTAAAACTACAGGATCAAGCTCACAATGAAAAATCTGAAAGAGAGGTATTTCTTAGTATTAATGCAGGCCTTCGATGATAAAAAAGAAAAAGATTTTAGAACTCTCTCTGATAATGTAGCACTATCTTTTGATCAAGAAAGAAATGGTAGAGGACAAGCTGAAATAAAACTATAAAAATAAATCGATGAAAGATTCCAATAAATTACACTTACAATCACTAGAAACACTCATTAATATGAGGATAGAAGTTAAGTTAAAATTGCAGAAGTCTTGCAATAAGTTTAATTAGTAAAAAACTAATTAGATCAAGAAAGGAGATCAAGGTATTTTTAAATTATTTCTTATAGAGAAGAATCGTCTGAGTCATTGTCTGAATAAATTGATTCAGAAATTAATAAATTTTCAGATTAACTGTTAATTGAAAAGAAAGTTAGAGAAGAAACCTAAGGGAAAATATTTAGAATGATAGAGGATGTTCACGGAAAATTACAACAAGATATAAACGTTGAAAGAAGAGAAAGAGAAGCTACAACTGAAGCTTTGTTAAAATTGTTAGAGGATGCTTGCATCAAAATAGATAAAAATTTTAGATCCTATTGAGTTAAAATAAATAAAATAATTGCAAAATATACATAAAAAAATTGTTTAATTTTGAGTGAATATTAGGAATAAAAATAATTATTTTTGTTCTCAATATATTGCTTAATTCATATACTAGTGTAATTATTTATCTTCCAGACAGGACCCTTTCCTGTTTTGCTCAGAAAATTTTAAGTTTTGATCTAGGTTTTATTTTGAGAAGAATTCAAATTTTAGGGACTTACTTATTTATTTTGAGTGGAGCTAATTAATAATTAAGGAGGGAAATAGCTTTTTGTAGCCATAGGCAAATCAAGAATAAGTTTTTATTTAGTTTTTTAATTTTTTAAAGGTTAAGAAGACTTTGATGGCTATTTCTATAGATTTGGCATTAATTTCATCATCTTTATTGCTATTTTCTCTTAGTTTAAATAAGAAAGTTACATCAAAATATTCTTAAGTGGTTTAAAAAGACGAGCCATTGCATTTTGTATTGCTATTAGATTTATAAGCATGCGGGAAAAAAAAGCCACCACGATATCGTTATTTTTTCTTCTTCTCCTTACTTTCATCTGTAAAGAACTCTTAAATGATTCTTTCTACCTAACGAGATTCATCATATTTAGGTTTTTCAATAAATTAATTAGATTATTCAATTGAGATTTTTCTAGTTATTCTTCTTTTATTAGGAAAAGAAGTATTAATCATTCTCATTTATAAATTTTGAGTTTCTGGTCTTTCAACAATTTCATTAGGCATTTGATTCGTTGAGGAAGTATAGGTCTTTTTAATTTATGCAATTTGCTATTATATTGAATTATTTTGTTTATGCCAAGGACCAAAAAATTCTAGATCTTGTATTGAATCTAGAAATATATTAAACTTTTTACCATCTTTATAGTCCAAAGTGTCGAAGATCTAGGTGTCTCGACTCACTGGTTGTGTTTTTTACATTTTTAATTATAAAATATGGCTTTAGTAAAATTTACAAAAAAAATATTACAAAAATACATATATAAACAAATCATAAACACAGATCATAACTTAAATGATTCTAATTCTAATTTTTGAGTTAGCATTTAGTAAACAAACTGGCCTTGAAAGATATTAATTCAAAAATTACCAAATTTATATTATTGTATTTCCTATAAGAGTTATTAGTTATTAGTAATTTTATAATATAATTCTTTTTGGATTTCTGAATCGGAAAATTTTAAAAAATTTTGAACCACGTAATTTCCATAGGCATTAGTGGATAATCGGACAAATAAAACTTATTAATTTTTTTAATTTAGTAATAGGTCCATAATTTTTAGTTTAAATTAATTATTAGAGCATTTGATAGCGCAATCAACTACATTGCTAGAATTATTTAAGTTAATACCTTCCAAATTTATTCAGACTATACTCTTCTAGTTTTTCCATAATGATTTATTAAATTTGGTTTTTGATTACTAATGGACCATCCTTCAATAGCTATTAAATAATGTAATTTCCATATTGAGAAATGCAAAGTTCATAAGATAAGTTCATTATTTCAATTAAAATTTTCATTTATCTTTCTAGATGATTGTTAGATATTGAAACAGCTTTTTAGATAATTCTACAACCAAAAGAATTAATCACAAGCTTATTAACTTATCCCTCAATCCCGTCTAAGACCCATAAACTAATATCACTCTCCATTAATTAGATCAATTTCTAAACAACATGATTTCCATGTTGATCAATTACTAGCTCTCGTACTCTTGTTTTAAAGGTATCAAATAAACTTGAGAAATCAGGAGTATTGTAGGCATTTTAAAGTAATCTTTGTAGCACTCTACATCCATACGGATGAAATGCTAATTATGAAGAGTGTGGTTACAAAAAGATCAGTATTTTTTACTATTGGAATGGAGTTCCTATTATTATCAAGAATATTACCAAATTCAAGAAGATTTTAAATAACATAATTTCCAAAGACATCTTTTGAGAGAGATAAAAGCCCTTTTTCAAGTTTATTAAAGATTTATTCCTTGATGGCCTGAGAACTTTCTTAAAAGGCTTTTTGAATGCATCTAGCCCCATTCTAATCCTTGCATTTGGATATCTTAAATAGAAGGCAAATTAGTTACTAAATCTCCATCTAAAGAAATTTCATCAGCTGCATTAAATTATGCCTCGCTTTCATAGGATTTAGGTCTTGATGCTGAATTAGGAGCACTCTATTAGACTGGAACTTTGGTGAGTCGTAAATCTAAATCATAGGAACTTGACTAAATAAGATTGAAAACTTTTGTTTTTGTTGCACTTGAGGAGAATATACTTTAGGACAATATATGGGAGATTAATTGTAATTCTGATTAATTTGGAGTGCAGGAGGTCTATTTGAAGAATATGTTTTTTTGATCTTGCCCACATTTTCAAAACTGTCTAAAATTTGGAGAAAATTGAGATACCATCCAAAAGATCTCCTATCATATCCTTTTCATCTGGATCTTGATTCATTTTTGGTTTTGAAAATGATTAAATATATAAATTAATAAATATTAAAGAGATAAGTGGATAAGCAATGAAAAAACATTAACAAATAAATTTCAAGAGATATATAATTATTATATATTAATAATAATATCAAATAATCTTGGTTACATCATCTATCGTATTTCCTGGCCAAAAATATCTTAGAAAATATAGAGAAAGATAAAATACTTACAAATTATTTATAAATATATTTAATTATGGGTATGTGCTAAAATAAGGAATTAGAATAAACTTCAAAACAACCAAATTTTAAAGCCAAATTTCCAGAAGCAGAAGAGTAAGATGACACAAATGAAGAAACTACACAATTACCAATTGAAGGTGAAAGTGTTGCTTCCAATTAAAAGTTATCTATGCAAGATTTTGAACTAATAAAGGTCATTGGAAGAGGATCATTTGGAAAAGTGCTGCTAGTTAAAAAGCTTGATGATCAACAACTATTAGCAGTAAAAATCTTGAGGAAAAACATGTTGTCTAAGAAAAAATATCAGGATCAGGCAATTTAGGAAAGGAACATTATGTCCTAGATAAATAGTCCCTTTTTTGTGAAACTGAGATATGCATTCTAAAGTCCTTCGCGTCTATACATGGTTATGGACTTTATGCAGGGAGGAGAACTCTTTCTTCATCTGAAAAAGAATGTTAGATTTCCTGAAGAATGGGTACAATTCTATGCTGCTGAAATTCTTGTGGCAATAGATTTACTCCATAAATCCAATATCATGTATAGAGATTTAAAACCAGAGAATATATTATTGGATAAGAGTGGACACATAGTTTTAACAGATTTTGGGTTATCGAAATTGGGTTTTGAGAAAAACGAAATGACTTACACATTTTGTGGAACACCTGAATATGTGGCCCCTGAGATTCTATATTGTAAAAATTCAATAAACTTAGTTAGAAAGGGGACACACATTTACTGTTGACTTTTATAGTTATGGAGCACTGATTTATGAGATGCTTAGTGGTACTCCTCCACACTATTCGAAAAATAAAAAAGAGATGCTAAAAAATAGATGTGAAAAACCTCTTGAAATGAGATCTTGCTTTTCATTTTATGCAGCCTCCTTGTTAAAGGGATTATTAACCAAAGATGTATAAACTAAAAGTCTATGAGTAGCCAGGATTGAGACTAGGGTCTAATGGAATCAAGGAAATAAAAAAGCATAACTTTTTTAATGGAATTGATTGGAAATTAGTTGAGCAGCGTAAATTGTAACCGCCTATCATACCTAAGATATAATATGCTTAAGATCTATCTAATTTTGATGCACCTTACTTGTAATAACCTATAGTTGACACTCCAGAATCTAAATTAAACGAAACCTTTGTAGGATTCACATATCATTAGCAAATGTGATTAAAATCATATCAAAGTTGTTTATATTATAATATATTATACTTTATAATATTCAACCTTATTCCTAACCTACTTATAATTCTAATTCAGCAATTCTTCTTTGGAGACCCAGTAGTTATTGTTGAAGTGCAGTCTTCTCACCTTTCAAAGCAGTGATTTATTGTTGCAATCTTGAATTCTCAGCCTTTTGATGAGCAAAATGTCTAATAAGTAGAGATGAGACATAATACCTTTTCATTTCCTCTTCAATTCTCATGAGTTCATTTGTGAGTGTTTTTTTGACATCTTAAGTTTTCATACTCAAAACAGATTCTAAAGTGTCCTTTTCTGATTTGAGAATTTAGACTTCCTTCTTGTGGAAGTTCATCTCGTCTTAAATTCCTTTGATTGTTTCCTTTAATTGTATAAATCAACTTACCTCTAAACTCATAAGCTTACCCTTCAGAGATGCTGGGTTTTGGGATCCTGCAAAACTCTATCCAGTTTAGCCCATATCATTCTTGGACAATGTGTTTCCTGCAGCTGACTTAAATGCATTGCTCATTACTAAACTTATTAAATATATTTTATATATAAAATAAACAAATTGGCATACATGTACTTTACATAATTATAATATATTTTATCACCAATCTTTATCAGCTTTCTCTGCTTCACCTTAGTGTTCTTATTCTTCACCATCACCTTCTTATTTGACTTAGTTATCTGCAACACCTAATTAATCATTGGTAATTTCCTTGTGGTAGAACAAATCAACCAAGACATCCCATTCTTCATCTATAATTATGGCTTATTTGAATTACCTTGTCTCAATTCTCCTCTTAAGATCTTGACTTCTCTGGCCAACAACCAATAGATCATAGAAATTGACTTTGTTTCTCTGTTTCCAACTGGAATTGGGATATCAACATATTATAAGGGGTTGTCTGAATTGCATAAAGCAATAACTGGAATGTTGACGTAAGATGCTTCAACGATGGCTTATTTATCCTAGGGAAATGTTAATTTATATATATACCAAATGTGGATCTGTGACAATCAATAATTATGGTTCTTGGAATTTTCCACTGGCACTGTTGGATTGATTTGTCAATGTACCTGGTGTCCATCTTGCTGATCTAGTTGAGCTAGCATGAGTATAGTGAGCGAATTTAATGACTGCTCTTTGTCCAATTGGTCTTGATGAAACAACCTGAATTACTCATCATTTATAATACCATGACATCTTGAGGTTATTCAACTGCAGCAATAACTCTGGCAGCCAATTTGATGTGCTACCAGGTTTCCTCTAAATTGAGAATGTATGCACCATTATCGCTTCTGTGTGATACATATCTCTTCTAATCAAAATGGAGTTGCTTTGTTCCAATGTGGCACTAGAAGAAGTCATATACATAACATTTTTACTTATGAAGCAATCAATCTCTTAATGTCTTATTCTTTTCTGCTCATGCAATCAAATATAAATATCTATTTTTTTAAATATTTAACAAATCTCAATTATTTCTTAATCAATTATATCTAATAAGTTTTTGTGCATCCCAATGCTTATTCTTGACCCTTAAGAATGAAAATACTTCACACACAAAATAACAAAACAAATACCCAATACCTTTCTTAAAAATAATTTAAACAAATTTTAAATAAAATTAAAAAAAAATTGAAATATTTTTCATTTTCTCTTATTCTCTAGCCTTCCTAAAGAAGTAATGAAGTACGCAATTTAGAGGGATAACAATACATAAATTATAAAAATATGTTTCGCTTTTAATAATCTTAAAATAGGGAAGAATTAGTCTGGATAATATTATAAATTGTTATTTTATGATTACATTTTTCTTGTTGAATGAGCAAACCTTAATAGAACTTCATTGAATAATTTCAATCTCATCTATAATCATTTAATTTTGTATATAAATGTAGTTATGGGTTAAAGTTTACATTATTGATAAGAGATTGGCAAGCTAAATGAAAAAATTGAAATGAAACACACTACAAATGATGGGAAAATTCTAGATCCCTCTCAGAAACTTCATAACTTTTGCAATTTGATCATATGCATAGAAAGAATCATAAAGTTGAGATGTTAAAAATAGAATTCATTTATAATGATTCCTTTGTTATCTAACTTTACGCTGTCATATTGCAAGATTATGAATTATTAACTTATTAGACTGAAGTAACTGAGCTTGTTTTGAAGGTACATAGAGTATAAAGTTGAGGAATCTATGTTAGTTAGTGTTTAGATTACATCCTTTTGTGAGGAATGCGTAACTTTATAAATATCATTATTAATTTTACTTCAGTCATACAACAATCCATTTCTTAATCTAATCCAATTATAACCAATAATTAGTGATAGTATAAATCCTAATTCAAATACTAGATTTATAGAAATATTTGTACAATATTGTTTTTTTTCTATTATTGAAAACTATATTATATTAAATTTTTGTACTAATCTGTTCTAACTAATTTTAGAGTAAAATATAAAATACAATCTTAAATTATTATATTTTATTCTATTTTTATAAAATTATTATTTTAAAAATAAATTTAGTTTTATATTCAGATATTTTTAGAAAATGATTAATGCAGATAATGATTTGTATTTCTGAAGCTATACGCATCTTGATTCTTGCTATCTTCGCTTTTTTGTAAATTAGGTCCAAATATCATTTCATATTGAGCATCGTAGATATTGACTCTTTTGTCTGGACACATAAGGTATAAGTTAGCATAAATACACAGTAATATCACCTAAATATAATCGAAATTTTTGTTACTTTGATGCCAAGTAAGATGTATGAGATAATTACTTCATACATTTAGAGACCGTTTTCCAATTCAAAAAAGAGAACACTATTGGTTGTCCAAGGATTAGTGTAAATAATAAACCAAACAATATCAAAAATAATTGTCACAATAATCATAGCTGAGATTATTTTAAAGTGTAAGAGTGATTATAACTTATTATTATTCATATAGTAGAATAAACTATAAAATAATACTATTAACTATTATTAAAATAGTATTTTACATCTACAAACTGTGTCTTAAATAGGTTAGCAATTAGGACTAATACGAAGTAGATCAACGTAAAAGCCAATGCTAATTTAACCCAAAGTTATGCTTGAGTAGTATCATAAAATTGAAAATCATGGACCTGTTACACTGTGGATTGTTCAGTTACAAGATATTTCTCATTTGGTTAATTTTGATGTTTCTCATCAAATGGATAAAAGAGTTAGAGAATGTCACTTTTATATTCGTTGATATCTTAGGCTAAGTCATCAATAACTTATTGATTTTCTTTGATTGACTCTTTGAAATATTTGGTCTAAAATTAACTATAAATAGTACTTATGAATGGATCCATTGAACTCTTAAGTTTAGAGTGGAATACAGAACGACACCATACTTATCTTTCAACTATAATGAAATATCATGAGGCTTTTGATCGTGAAATTCCTTTAAATTGAGTTTTGCTTATCCGCCAATTTCTTGCTTTTCTATCAACTCTTCATCCAATATCACAATATAGATTTCCTCGTCTCCTGTGCTAATATTGAATTCAAATTTTTCATTCCAAGCTGGTGCTTGTCTATTTGCTGGTTTGGTGGAGTACTTCTTATCATCACAACCCAAAATGATTGCCACTCTAGAATGTCCTGGGAATTGAATTGCAGCATCGAAAATGGTAATTCTGATTTTGCTTCCTTTGCATATTTTGTGAGAGTTATATTCCTCCACATTTTGTAATTGCTACAAATGCAATTGGTCATCATCTAGTTTTAGTTATTTTTATGCAACTTGCTATTCCAAAATGGATAGTTTATTTTTTAATGATTATAATGCTTCCATCAAAATTGAAATGAATCATTGATTGTAATTTATCCGTTGTCAGTTTTCTGCATCCTTGAGTAAAGTTATTCAAATAAAACTCGATCATACATTTTATTTGATTGCTAATCCAAAAATCTAATTATAGTTTCTTTACTCATCGGCTGTGAGTGATTTTGGGATAGCTTATTAAATACTTGTTACACTTAATGAATTATTTGAGCTTGATTCATTTAACTGTATTAAAATTATTAATAATTTTAACGAATAATAATATTAAAACTAATGAGACCTCAATCTCCTAAGATGTTCCAAACCTAAACTATTGCTACAACTCGCGTCGTTAGTTCGCCAACCAGAGAATCACGCTAAGATTCGTGTGGTAGACTGGCCAAAGTCACAACCTGCCAAACCAGGCCAAAGGCTATTGTTACTACTTCAACTAATAAGCCAGCTATTGAAACAAGAACAGTTGTTCTTTGCACTGACAAGAAATGCTAGGGACATGTAAATTAAATTAAAATAAAACAAGGAAAATCTCATAGAACAATTAACCTAGGATAATAATAAATTAAATTAACGAATACATGAATTGGGACTTTAAATAGATAAGTACGACAGTGAACAATAGACCTGGATGAGCACTGCAATTGAAATTGAGAGTATGAGAAAATTGCTTGAAGAAACCTAAAAGAATCATCAACAAGAAGTCTCTTATCTCAATTCTGAAATTCTAAATTACAAGACTACCTGTCAATATTAAGAGGATAAAATTAAAACCCTTAATTCTTATATGAACTCAAAGCAACAAATCGAAGAAGATTATTTGACACTATCCTAAGAAATGGAAAGATACAAATTCATAATTCAAGATAAAGTTGATCTATTACAACAGTAGGACTACAGGATTTAAGATTATGAGAAGCAGCTTTAAGTTGGTGAAAATGTAATTGAGGAACGAAATTAACAAATATCATTGTTGTTAGGAAAAATAAATTAATACGAACAAGAGTTTGTCACATAAAATGATATCATACACTAATTGAAATTGGAGATCTAGTAAAAGGACATCCAAAATCAACAACTATTATAATAGAAGGACTCTTTAATTTCTAATTACAGAGAAAATCTTGATCTTCTGGAACAAAGAGTTCAGTAGGATCAACTAATTGATAATGAAAAGAATGAAAAGTTAGTTGAATTGCATAATGATAAAGAAAACTTAAATTCAGTGATAGCAGATTTACAATTGCAATTAACAAACCTCTAAGAATAAAATATTCATCTCAATGAATAAGTAACATTAAATGATCAGGCAAATGTTCATCTCCTATCTTCAATTGAGGATCAGACAAAGAATTTTGAGTTATAATTGCAAAGCCAAGTAGATTAACATTAATAAAGAAATTAAGAAATATTGGATTTATAAACAGAATTATATTAAACTAAATTAGAAGTTGAGAAGAAAGACAATTTGATAATTTCTTTAAATGATCAAATCGACGATCTCACTACTTAGATGAATGATAAAATAGAATTACTTCAATGGGATGTAACATAATAAATTGCATAAACAGTTTTGTATAATAATAAATAGTTGTAAAAGTATTTAATTATTAATGAAGAACTCAAAATAGAATTAAACCAAAGAAAAACTAATGAAAAATCAGCTTAAAATGATTTGGAGAAGGAGATAGAAAATAAAAATTAATTATTAGAATCCTTAAACTAATTAACAGCTTAAATTCAAGAATTAGAAAAATCATAAAACCTTTTAGAGAATGAAATATAGAAGAAATAGCAATAAATTGAAGATTAAAAATCTTAAAATGAAGAAGAGACTGAGAAGTTTTCTGATTTAGTGAATTCATTACAAAAATAAGTTGAGGAAGTCTTAGAAGAAAAATCAAATTTAGAAAACTAATTAACCTAACTTGAAAATGAAAAATAAATGAAAATCCATTAACTAGAGGAGAGTTTATTAGAGTTCAAGTAGAATGAAGATAAGATTGTATAGGAAAAGTAATAATCATAGGAATAATTATTACTCTAATGTTTAGAAGTGCAGAGACTTTAAAATGAAAACAAATTATTAAAGGAGAAATTCTAATAATAAGATGAGGAAATTGAAAAATTAAATCAAAAATCAACTTTGGAAAATGAAAATAAATTATTACTAACTAAGGAACAAGATTAATAAATTTGTGAATTTTAGGTCTAAATTAAAGATTTAAGCAATTAATGTGGAACACTTAAATCAGAATTAAAATAATAAGTAGAGCTAAGTGGAGAATTACAAAAGAAAATATCATTTTACTAGGCCTAGATATCACATTTACAAGAAGTCGAATCATAATTGAGATACTTAAATGAATAAAATACTTAGCAATAGAAAAATCTATAAAAGGAATTAGATGTAAAGAATGAAACAGAAAATACACTGAAATATAAACTAGATACTTTGTTAGAGGATATTAAGGTTAAACAAATGCAATTAATAGAATTAGACAGGCAATTATAACTGGTAGAATAAACTAATTAGAAGTAATAAGTAAATCTTGAAGACAAAATTAACTATCTCCAAAATGAAGTAGAAATGTGGAAAGAAAAGTTCGTTATTTTGAATAGAGATTATCACAGAGTGTAAGAGGACTTGATGATGGTTTAAGCTGAATTTGATGCATTCAAAAGGCGAGGATTAGAGTTAAAGAATATTAAGGTAGTTCATAAAATATATTATAGGAATCAACTTGTTTTGAAGTAAGAAAGTCCTCTTTATATAAAGAGAATATTGACATCAAAGGCAGTTAGACATCAATAGGCAGACTGTTTAAAGAAAATATTTGAGTTGCAAAGATATATACTATATAACAATTTCTATAACTAAACTTATTCTAATTAACAATATATTTTGTAATAAAAACATACAACTTTTTTCAACCTTGAGCTAAAAATTGATCCATTTTTTATGCATTGGTAAACATTTAATTACTGGCATTCTTCGAGAATACACTTTTTTGTTAGGTGGAGCTTAAATTATCTTATGATAGTACTATAATTCAGCATTCCCTGGCATTTAATAGGCTGGCATCAAGGGATTTGTATATCTTTTGCTTACAATTCCCTTTTTGAGTGATCCTGCTTGTACTCCTTCAATGTCTTAGACATTATTAGTCTGTCTGTAATCTTTTCTATCATTGGTTCTCAAGAAATGTTAAGAATGAGAACCTGCTTGTGCACCAACAATGTCTTAGGTAGTTAATATGGAAGATGCAAATTTATTGATGGTTATAGGATGTAGTTATTTACTTTTACTGCCTTCAACAAAACCGATTTCAATTTTCTTGCTAAATTAAGAATTCTTAAATACCCATCTTCATCCCTGTGAGAATAGACTGGTTCAATCGGGTTTGTATTTCTTATGTATTTATGGAGCATATCATTATTGATATCTTTGACCTGGAAATTATTAATTCCATCTACTGATATGGTTTAGGATAGACTTATTACCTTTTTAAACATGTAATTATTTTGAATGTGAGCCTTCGATCTCAGGCAAAGGGATTGGTTATTTTTTCAATCTTGGATTATTCATTGATGGCTAAGCTCCTTCGATGTCATTGACATTATAGCTGTCTCTAATAAATTTGGTTTGATAAGGTTCTGCTTATTCAAAGGAAGGAATTTTGTAAGTTGGTTCGAGTGGATTAATTGGTTATCGATTAGTCTAAAATTTACAGATTTATGGTCGAGTCCCTTTAATATCATCAATCATCAATTGATTATCTGACCTATTGGTATATCTTATTTAGGGTCTAGATTTGGTTCCAGGGATATCATCGTCTCTATTACAAAATTACTCTTTATTGATATATTGATAAGGCTTCAATTTGGGAGCAGCGCCATCAATACCTTCAATAGACATGGTGGATTGTGCTCGATTATCATAAACAAAGTCTCTTTTTTAATTTTCTCACTTATTGATTGATTTATACTTATAGTGGATAAATTCATTAGATCATTTCGATTTGGAAAAGGCCAATTGTAAGGATCTGATTGCATTAAGTTACAAGTCCAATATAAAAATTATTATATATAAGTGTTAGAATCAATTATTCTTATTTTAATAAATGAACTTCAGATTAAGCACTCTTCTTAAAGAAGAAAGCAAATTTACATATAAATTCCAATGTAGGTGAATTGAATACATTGGACAAATATAAAAAGAAACTTAGATAAAGAAATGGATTTGTGGATATAATGTAATTATTAATCAAATTCCTACTTTTGATTTAACATATGATTCGAAACTGGGTTAAGTGAGTAAACCTAAAGCCTACTTACTTATTTCAATTTCTTTGTTGTATTCAGACACAGTTCTATTGTACAAATCAGTTTCAGCAGCATAGTTATCGTTTTCTGCTTGTAATTAGGCTTACATAGTGGCTCTATCATCCTTTCTTTATCCTACATAGACGATGGTTTCTCCTAATTTTTCTATTTATTATGTTTATTTAGATACATTCATTAGCAGCTAATTCAGAGTTCTTGATCAAAACTGCTCTTTAGAATTCAGCAAATTCCTTTTCTAATTAGGCAACTCTCTCAGCAAATTTAGTTTCAGCTGCGTTTTCATCAGCTGTCTCTTGATTAAGAGAATCAACAAATTAGACTCTCAATTCGTTGAAGATTTTAACAAGCTATAATCAAAAGAATATTATTACTTATTGAAGGGATCCTTAATCAGCGAAGTTTTATTCTGTTGCCAATTCAAGAAGTGCTCTAATGATTGGTGCAAATGAGGAATGGTTTTAGAATGATGATTAGATTCTATTCAGATTTGTTTACACTCTCTTGAATTAAACAAGGGATGGATTTGTAATTTATGACAATAATCCAAGGGATTCATCGGACAGCACCAATAGCCTCGTTGATTTCAGCAATGTTGGATAAAAATTGCTCATGCTATTTCTTTCTGTTGACAGTTTCGCCATCAAGAACTCTTCTGTTTTCTTCAATATTGTTCTTCAATTATGCTAAGGCAGATTAAAATCTCTCTTTTTATGGGATAAGAACGTTGTCAATGAAATCTTCTCCGTTAAAGATGTCTAATAAATGTTAGATACTATTCGAATACCTCTATCAGCATCTTAGATCTCTTATTCTAATCTAGTCACATCACGATTGTGCTCGTCTGTTCTTTTAGAATAGGCATGATGAATATCATCCAACTCTTCTTCTAATTAATCAATCAATTGACTAATAGCCTCTACCAATTCTGTCAGAGCTCCTCCACTGGACAATTCAACTTCAGCAAAGTCAACGATGAATGATGCCCATTAGGACTCCTTTAATTTCTCAAGTGCTTATGTCGTGGCAACATTATTGAGAGAAATCTCAACACTAAATACGCTCAAGATGAGACAAGCAATTAATGCACTTTTCATTATTTTATTTAATCAAAATTAAAAACGACTATCATTTGCTAAATTAAATTGTGTAAATTTTATAAATTCTCTCTAACTTTATGATTATATTGAATATTTTCCTTAATCATTATTTTCAATTCCTCAACAATTTATGGCAATTCATATCTAATATGAACTCTACGTATATTTTTCTATTTTTATTGTAATTTCCTTCTATTAAACTAAGAGTTCTCTGAACTTTTTGATTAATCCTTTCTTTTTTAATATCAACAATCTATCTAGTTATTAAATTTACACTTCTTTCCTTCTATTTCTAACTTTTCAACAAATAACTCGATCTACTCTTTTCAAATAAGGCAATCACTTTTTCTATCTTTTATTACTTATACTTAATAAGCATTCTCTTCTTGTATTTGCTGTAATTACATACCGTAGCTTTAATTTAATACCATCTCTTTAAGTATTTCTCTCTTAAGTTTTTCAATTAATTTAATTATTATATTCATTCTTTAAACTATTTTTTATTATCAACTTTCAATCAAAATGTTATTTGGGAGTAATTGCATTTAAAGAACATTGAAATCCTGATTGTATTTAAAAATATCGCTTAAAGTCATTTTATTTGGTAATTATATAATTAATTTATCTTATTATGTAATTCATCCTTCTAAAATTCAATTATTCTTTATTGGAAACATTAATTATTAAGGTGCAGCGCTACATTCATATCTTTACTTAACTAAATTAGATATTCTATTCATTTAACCTTTGGATTAAATAATTCTTCAGTTAATAAAAGAATCAAAAAAATAAAATAGCGTTAATTATAAAATATCAAAAAATAATAATAAAAGTTTCTTGGCCAATTATTCGCTATTTAACTATTTTAGTTTTGTTCCTTAGCCTAATAAAGCCTAATTAAATCGGCTATACTATAGATCTAAAAAAATATTAATAGTTTTCATAAAGTAAAGAATATTGAAATTGTAAGATAAATTAAGATCAATCAATTATTTTAATTCTACTAACTACAGATATAAATTTTCAATCCAACTTTATCTTTAGAGATTCATTATTAGCCTTAGTTTCAGTATAGATTCAATGATTTTAATCATCCAAATTATTCACTCGCCCTTATTATAAGAATTAAAATACTTAGATAAATGAGACTATGCAAGTAGTCTTAAACTCAACTTTAAGACAGAGTTGAGTTCCTTGATAGTTGTATATTTAATATTCAACCTAATTTTTCATTATTTGAATCAAATCATCCTCTTCTACCTTTTTTACAAAATTTTAATTTAATGTACTTAGAAAATAATAGAATAGGGTCAATCGAAGAAATAGAATACTTGTAAAACGACATATTTCCCACTCTTCATACTGCATTGGCTAAATTAGTAGAATATGTAGAAAAGACTGAGGAAGTAAATAAACACAAAGAGAGATTGGAATAAATAAAGATTTGTGATAAAATAGAAAAAAGACGAGTAGAGAGAAATCGATTAAAAAGAGAGTTGGGATCAGATTTTGGAAGTGATTCTGAAGGGCAAGCTGAGAATCTAGAAAACAAATCAATCAATAATGACTAGTATGGAAAGAAAATAGAATAACTGATTCCTATCGAAAATGAATTTTAATAGCAATCATAACACCTAATAGACGAAATAGCAATGTAGGAGATGAAATAAGAAATTAATCATTTGCTTGGATAAATTTAAGAAGATTAGGGAGAAGAAGAAGCTCCTCAAAAACATGAATTAGAGAAATTAAAACTATAATTAAGATTATAGAGAGAAGCAATGGATTTCAATCCCTTAATATATTTGGCCTCTTTATTAAGGTAGTTGGCAAAATGAATATAATTGGTAGCTAATCTTTTGTTATAAATAAATTATATATTATGGATTTCCAAAGTTAATAATATTTGGTTACTATGTATTAATATCAAATCTTAAAATTAGGAATCTCTTAAATTTCAGAATCACTATCAGATCCATTTATTTACTTCTGCGCTTTGGCATTTACGATATATTTATTCCCCAAATCCACAGAAGAATCTCCTGAATCCTCACTAAAGTCTTCTACTTGCACTAAGGGTTTAGTTTATTTAATTATCTGTTAATGTTGTAGAATAGTTTACTGATTCATCTATTGCTAATGATGTTTTTATTCCGAAGTTGGTGTTAGTGCTTATTTCATAGGGGACACTTGCGCTGTCTATTTTTCTTGGTGGTTTAATTAATTTGCTTAATGATTCTAAGGAGCCTATTAGCCTGTAGTGATTGTTTGGTGATTTGCTGTAAATGGATCATAAAAGTTGCCTTTTCCAAATAACAACTTATATAATTGAGTATCTTTAATTGGGTCGTGCTTATTAGAGTTCATGGCATTCTTCATTTATTCTATTTTTGCAAGTGTTGATAACAAATTGTCAAGGTATTAGTGACTCTCACTTTATTAGTTGCTCAAGAACTTCATTACAGCATCACTCATCACTGATCTTGTTAAACTTAGATAAGTTATTATGGTTATCAATTTTTAAAAGTCATTTCTAATTTGTTCGAATTCTTTAATTCCTTCCTCTCTTATCACTCTTACTATAGCTATAACAGTAATATCAGAAATTCCTTTGATCAATTATGAATTCTTATTTCGATCTCCAGTTATAATACTATTAAGATGAAGGAACCCTGATTAGAATTGTTTCATAAACTCATTTTTCAATAGTGATGGATCAACTTTTCTTTACTCACTTTTCATCCACATGGTGATCATGGGTTACTTAGTACTGATTGCTTTTAAACCCGCCAACCAACAAAATTCAGATTCCTTCTAAGTAAATTACATGATAGATGGATTGTTCATTTTAATATTTTGTAAGCATACAATTAATAATTTTAATTATTTTATATAGTCACATAAGTCATATAATATTTATCTCATTATTCTACTTGTCTTAGTAAATCTTATCTTTATTTCTTCAATAGTTCATCGTACTTTTCACATGCCAACTACTTCATTCTCAATTCTTCTTTTAACTACTTGATCTCATGATCCTTCTTCAAAATGATCCTCTTTACGTTTTCTTCTATTTCTTCTAAATTTTATGAATGTTTGATATCCAATTCTCTCACTACATGAATTCACATACAATTACATGTCTCTTCCAATAATTGTTTTTAATTAGCCAACTCAAACTATAACTTATTGTTCTACTCTGTAATCCTACTCTTTTCTCTTTCATGGGATTCCTTTATTCCCTTGATCTCCAACGATTATTCCTCCTTAAATTAAGTTAATTTCTCTTTGTATCTAAATTTATTAATAATTTATTACATAAGCATTTCCTCCTTCAATTTTTTTTACTCTTTAAAATGTTTCTGATTCTCTTGTTCTTATTTCTCAATTAACCTTTACAAATCCTAATTCGACTTTTAAACTGCCTAATATTCACTACCATCTTTATTTTCTCTATCTTCCAAAGCCTTAATTTACTTCTTCAATTACTTAATCTCCTCGTCCTTCCCTGCCTATTAGTCCCTTAACTTTTTATCATATTTCATTTGAATATTCTACTCATACTGCTATTTCTCCTCCGCCAATTTTTACACTATTTTTTCAATTTTATCATTTCTATCCTACTCCAACTTCTTTTGAATCTTCTCAATCTGTCTATTCATATCAGCTTCTGCTCTTATTGTAAATTGCTATTTCCAAGCTTCTTAATCTCCTCGTAATGCTTCCTTCACTTCACTTTCCATATTAAAGTACTTTTCTTTGTATTCATCTATTTCTCTTTAGCAATCACTCTTTATGCGTCTGATCTCTTCAGCCTAAGAATCTGATAACTATTTCATCCTTTTAACATAGGTATCTGCTTCTTCCTTCCTTCTTCTTTCGCAATCCTCAATATCCTATTACATTCTTTACTTATATGCATCCCTCTCCTTAGCAAACTAGTCTTCATATGTCCTATACAATTCCTTTTACTTAATTAATTAAGCCTCTCTCTCTTTTTATTGCAATAATTCATATTCAGCAGCCCACTTCTCTTTGAATATCTACATTTTCATTTCAGACTCTTCGATCACTTATATTTTTTATAGTTCCTTTTCTTTCTGACATTTTTCTTCTATTCTTTTAATTTCTAATTTATTCTTTTCTATCATTCTGTTCAATTCAGGTTCCAATCCTTTAATAGTTTATTCTTTCAATTCAGCCAACTTCTCCTTCTCCCATTTCTCTCTCTTCTATTTTTCCTGTATTTACCATTACTCAGATTTTTGTTTAATTTCTCTTGCAAAATTATTCTTCAATTCCTCCAATTATCTCTTCTATTATTTATCAATTCCCTTTAACTCACTCGTCAACTATTCCACCTGATTATTAAGTTCTTTTTTGTCATTTATTAATTGATCTATGAATCCAAGATGTCTATTGATGACCACTTCTAATTCAGCCTTCTGCTCATTCAATCTGCGATTTATAGTTTCTTTAAAATTAGACTCAGACTCCTTCAATTTGACTTGCGATTTTTCTAGCAACTATTTTAAATTATCAATAGTTTTCTGTTATTCATCCAATTCAATTTTTTATGTTTAGACAATCCCTTGCAACTACTAAATCTTTGATTGGTATTCATGCTCCTTCTCAATAGCCTCTATGCTTCTCACTGGTTGTTATTGAATTTATTAACTTACTTGGGAAGAGTCAGATTCAACATTTTCCAAAAATTAGTAAATGTTTTTGATTTTTGTATTGGTGTATTGCTGAAGAGAATCTTTGGGTTTTGCTGAGCCAATCCTCTTTTCGATTTTCATCTAAACATTAGCAGATTCATCTTTGTTCGTAGATCCTAATCTTCTTTCAATTTTCCTTTCGACTTTCACCTTTGTCTGTTAATCCTTCTAAGTCTCATCCTTAGTGAGCTCCTCTATTTGACTTAATGACAAATTGATATTATTGAGCATGAATTATTAAAAAAATAATTTGTATATTAATTCTCATTTCAAAGAAGCATCAATTCTATCTATGGGTGAATTATAATTGTTAAAGTCACTTTGTTGTGGGAATCTATCTAATTTCCAATTTCTTTAAAGCATCCAAATACTCCTCAGCTATATTGAATCCTAGCCAAATCACTTGTCATGTCCCTTTTCCTAAATTAGTTTAATTGAATTATGCTAAAGATAAATTGTTTGATGGAGCACTATAACTAAAGTGGCTTGAAATGCTGTTCCATTTTATGTTAATAATTATAATTATCCTCAAATATTATATTTAAATTTTCATTTATATTTAAGTCCAGGTGCTTTGCCCACTTTACACAATCCACAAATTAAACAAGTCTATTAGTAATCTGTTTCATAGACACTACCATCATATGGACAAGATTTATAAGTTGAAATATTTTTAAGTGTGTTTGCTGAGTAGATTGGCTTTTCATTCAGCCATTATTCCTAGAATTCTATTTAAATGGCATTTGTATTCTGTTATTAAGAGGCTTTTTCATACTATATATTGTATTTCTATTATCATACTTTCTATGCATTTTGTAACACTTCAGGCTTTTGATTAACATCATTTTTAAGTAACTCAATCAATTTCTTGGCAATCATCTGGCAAGTGATAAAGTTCTTCTGTTTATAACTTATGCTAAGTGCCTGTCTCAAAGTTAATATTCTATGACCAGGCTATAAGTCGATGGTGGCCATTTTGCAAGCCATTTCTAAAGCATTACTGTCCTTTTTGAGTGAATCGCAACGCATAGCAATCATATAATTTCTACTTAAATTAATATATCGCTTGATTTCATCAACTTAATTCTCTTCAAAGTCTGTTAATAGCAATTTCTGTAAGACTTATTAAAAGCAATTGCTGACTTCACTAAATTTGGCATCTGTTGTATATTTGTAACCTATGATTAGAAAATACAGTTACCTAATTTAATCAAATTCTTGATCTCATTCAATCTGTTGATTTTAACTGGCAATATAGCATTACTCAGATATGGAGACATAGTTAAAACTTAAAAATTGGGTAAATCAGCAAGTAATTTGAATAGTGGTTGACAATTATTGAGGTTAATTTGTTGTTTTAGTAACTTGATACCAGTTTCAAAGTCCCCAGCAGCAAAATATTTAATGGCTACTTCTCCATTCTGATAGGTAAAGTTTCCTCTTAAGGCCTATTCATCAATGCTCTTATTTATTGGATCACCAACTTTAGCATCAACAAACTCTTCTATTGGTTCTTCTTCATCTAAACGCCATTATGTATCATTTTCTTACTCATCAAGAGTTGGTTCTTCTATCACTTACTTTTAGAATGCAAAGATGTCTTATGGTACAACAGCTTCATCAGTCACTTCAAGATTGATGATGTCTTATTCATTCATTTATAAAAGTGGCCATGGATCATTTTTGTATTTCATAATGGGAACTGGAGGAATCAAAGCCTAGCTACCACCTAATGCTTTGATCCATTCTATTGATTCCTTTTAATTTTCATCCAGTTTCTAAGGTGTTCCATTCAGATGCTCCATTATTTGAGCTACTTTGGGTATTGAGTTCTTAATGGCAATTTTCCTTTGGTTTTATGATTGATATATGAAATTAGGATTAATATTCTGTAATTTCTCTTACTTATCCGTATTGCCAGTGCATAGATATAAAAATGACAACCTATCAAATTAACTAAGTTGTTGATCGCAAATATCCACCAGTAAATGATTACCCTGTCTTAAGGCTTCAGTTCTTAGTTGTTCAAACAATTGTGGTTCTCTGATTTCCACTGCAGCTTTATATGCAAACTCCAAATTGCCGCTATCCAGAGAAAGTGAAAATTTAGCTTAAAATAACAACAATCAATTACCTTGTTTATCTTTAACTAATTTTAATGCTACAGATGCGAGTCTTTTTTAATACAGATAGGACAGGATGGCTTCATTTTGATTGTGTTCTACAAATTTATGTATTGAATTCAAGTCCTTGTTCATAATGGCAATCTTGAATAGGGGTTCTGAGATGTCTAGGATTTCTTAAAGATATTTGGCTGCATTATCAAGTGCTGTTAATTTAAGTTTACTTTATTATTATTCTTCACCTTTTACTAAGTATAATATGTTTTCAGTGGACTTTAAAACACCTGTGTCTCCATTCAATAGCAAATATTTAACTTGACTCTTTGTAGAATAAATTATAAAATTGTTGATCCAAATGAAAGACTTTATATTATTTTATTCTTGGATTTCGATTAATTTCTATAACTGTTTAGTGAAGATTGTTATTGACAATTTGCTTTGAACAATCAAATAGGACTCCACATAATGTATATATTTGGCACCTGAGAACTCAACTGAATGTAAACTTGATTTAGTTAGAGGATCAAATAACTCCAATGTTGTTGTTTCGTTCCTTTGAATTAATATTTTACCTCCTGGAGCAGGAAATATTTTGTTAGATTGTTTTTCATCTATTATTTAAATGGCTTCTGTCTCATAATTGTATAATTCTATTTATTGATCCTGATTAATTCTCGCAATCTTGCTTTTACCAATAAAACAGGCAGATTTGGCAAAGAATTGTTTGACTCCTGAATCTCCCTTTTATGGTTGGAATACCAATAGCAAGTGTCTCTTTGGTTTAGTTGGTTCAGCGAATGCTCTAATGCATCTAATCATCAATTGTGTTTTCTGTGTGTCATACGCATTGTACTCAATAAATTCAATGTTGTCCTCTAAGAGAGTAGGAGTAGGAGTAATAACAGTTGCTATATCTCTAATGGTTTATTATTGCCCACTAGTCAATTCAACAACCTTGAGAGTCTTTTATTCAGCCATACAGAGATATCTCTCATTAACTAAAATGAAAGGCACTCGATCCTTATGGAGAGTGAACACTTATAGCATAGTGTCAGAACCACATGCAAAGTAATTGTTGTTTTGATGACATGATACAATCCAATAACGATCAAAGTGTTTGTTCTCATAAACCCCAATTTGTTTACGAGTAGCATAATCCCAAATTCTTACAGTGTGATCCTCAGAATCTGAAATAATCACTTCTCCTTTTGGGTGAAATTCTGAACAACAAACATTGTTCGTATGACCTGATAAGGTGTCGTATTCCCAAGCCTTAGTGTCATTGTACTTCCATAATTTGATGTTCTTGTCATCAGCACTAGTAATGATAAAGGGTTCTGTTTTGTGAAAGGCACACCAATTGAGTTGATCTTTATGAGCATCCAAAATTGAAATAACCTGTACTTCTGCTCCTGATAGCACATACTCTTAATTCTTTTTTTAGGCGTATCGTTATTTGAGCACTCCATAACTCCATAATCTAGCAGTCTAATCTAATGAACAAGTGATTATCAAGTCTTAAGTAGGATGAAAATGACAAGCCATGATATAATGGGTGTGTCCTGTCAAAATTGCTATAGTTTGTCTGCTTTGGTAATTCCACACTCTTGCTGTTTGATCATCAGAACCAGACAATACCCATGGATTGATTGGATGAAATGTCACGCATCTAACATAATCCAAGTGGCCCTATAATATGAATTGGCATTGTTTAAAATTCCAGACCCTTACAGTGAAATCATCTCCTCCTGAACAAAATAAGTTGAGTTGCGGATGAAACTAAACTGATCGAACAGCACCCTTATGATCCTCGTAGGTTGCAATCCTTTTCTTGATTCTATAATCGATCATTTCAATGACTCCTGAATGAAGTGCACTTAATACCCAAGGACGATGAGGATGAAAAGAAACACTCTTGACTCGATCTGAATGTCTCTCAAATTTTACGAACATTTTTAATTATTATACACGTATATCATAATAAGGAATTGTATATCTCAGGACACATCGCATAGCTGAGCACAGGAAATGCAAAAGCACCTACACGTAAAGCCCCGACAGGATTTCGTTAAGCTAATTGAGTGAGCATCAACAACCCAATTGAACTGCCTAAAGCTATACGTCTATGCTTCCCCTAAAAGCCCATAATATAATTGTCTTTCAACACTTATTTTAAGCATTTATTATACATGCTACATCATTAGCCCAGATTGTCGAATGGATTTCAAACCATTCAACTCCCTCATTTATAAATTACATTTTTAATAATGAATTTCCTTATACCCTATATATAAGTCTTAATATATATATATATAAATTCAGTATTATACTGCACTGTGTAAATTTCTACAGCTTGTTCTTAACTAGATACTTATTTGGTTTTTTAATTTAATGGCAGGGTTCTTAGGAATCCTATTATATGAAGTTTACATCCCACTCTATATGTTAGAATCATAGATCAATTCCAATGGCAATCTAGCCACTTGAGGGACTGAATTGTATTGAACATAATTGTTTTATTGTATTTGCACTCTGTCCTTGCACCATGAACAGATTTGTTGAATGATTTCAAGAGGTCTCGAATCATTATGTTCTCCCTCTACTTTGATTAACTTCTTTATTCCTTTATGCTGCTTGTACAATTTTAAACTATTCTTTGCCTTTATGAGCGAATCCTTGTCACTACAAATGTAGAGTGTGGGCATGTTGGAATTACATTAAACTTGTATGTCATTCAATTGGAATCCTGCTTCTTCTTCAATTGTTCCTTTGGTTAAGAAGATGATTGCCTTAATTATGAACTTGGGCAACCTCGTTTATTTCTGAATTATGCTAATTGCTAATTTATTGAAATTTGTGAAACAACTATCCAATACCAGTCCCTTGACATTTGGTTATTCCTTTAACTAAATGGTAGTGGCGCCTAAAGATCTCCCCCACAAAATAAATTGCTTCTATTGGAATTGCATTTCTAATTCCTGCAATATTGATGTTATATCATCCTTCTCAAGATGTCTATTGGTTTAGATGGCTATCATACCCAAAAGTAATGAAATCTCCTTCTGAATGGCCACATGCTTAGAAATCGAATGTACAAAAGTTAAAGCCAAATTAAGCTACGATTGAAGCGTACTTTACGCCTTCTATTCTACATCCATTGTAGCCATGACAATAAACTATACAATTGGTAGTTCGCGGATTCAATTCAAAGTATGACATTTCTAATTTGCAATTTTAACGATTAGTAATAACCCTTTCATGTTTCCGTAGATAACCTTGATGTAGTTAAATGTATTCAGGACCTAACCCTGTTAATAAGAAATAAGCAACCTAGATCAAAGTAACTATAATTATATCGAGGTGGTCTCACGAATTTCTGCCATTCTCTTTATATTGACATTTTTAAATTATATTTACTTAACCAATTCACACACTTATTAAAACAAAATATATAAATATAAACAATGTCAGAAGAAGAGGAGGAGGAATACTTCAATGCGAAAGCTGAGCATAGACCAATATTTAGTTAACTTGAGGACAGACAACAACACAAAGAACAGAACAAGAAGGTTCTGCTAAATCTAGGCGTTTTTGCTCTCCTCACAGCAATTTCTTCCTTGATTTTTATGGGTTGGCTGTCCTAGAAATCAAGAGAAGATCAAAAGTAAATTATCCTGCCATTCCACAATCCCAATGATCGTTCTGAACTTTTATGTCCTCTAAATACGTCTTTCGACACTAGTAGATTTAGCTGTTTGGAATGTTCACAAAATTGTGAATATTGCTATCACGAGTACACTTAAAGATGTGTTTAATGTGCTCATCCTTATAAATTGAAATCAAATCATTGCGTTGAAGATTGTATATCAGTAGACAATATTTGCATAAATACTACATCAGACTTAGTGAATCTATTTAACTACTCCGTGGTGGATTTGGGAACAGAATTAAGAGTAAATCAGTTACTCCAAGTTGAAATTCACACTCATCTTTATCAACATCTTTACATTATATTCCCTCCACTTGGCTAATCATTTAACTTTTTCTACGATCACATAAAGTTGCCAGAAATGGCCTAATAGTTGAATGCCACCCTATTCGTGTTTTCAACTCCTTATACTGAAGTGTTATAGGTCTAAGAATTGTCAGATTCGATTGATGAAGAATTTAGGTTTATAGAAAGGGTGCATGAATTCATTAACCCATACATTTCAGAAGAAACAAAATCAATTAACATTATTGGTTTAGGTGAAATGCTTTTCTTTGCTCATCGTTTATCAACCTACATGTATGGAAAATAATTAATCATTTTAGTGTTAAGAAGATGCCAGCATCCACGGAAACTAATGTCACGGTTATTTTAATGCAAACATTAGAAATCCCATTGTATGATTCCTTAAATCTAAGCTTCCTCTAATTACAGCACCTACTCGCTTATATTGATTAGAGTTGGGACATATCACATAAGGAAAATAAGTCCAATCTTATAGCGAATAACGAGGATGACCTCTATTCTTAAATTCAGTAGTTTCTCTTGCATCTCAGCTTCAATAATTTAGTCAATCCCTCATACAACATGAACATTGATGTGGTGGTGATATCAGAAAGAGGATGCAAGGATATATAAAATTTGTATTAAGATGGGTTCAATGCCAAAAACTTTATTCAGATATTCTTGGATGACAATCACTTGGCCACTCAGTTCGCCAAATTAATAAGTTTGCAATGAGTTTGTAATTAGAAAAGGAATTTTGATTAATTCTGATTGTGTCTTTATATAAAAGTGTTAATATTTAGTGCTTTTAAATATCAAATAATACTATTAGAATGCAAAAACCAGAATACATCTATAATCACCAAAGTCAACCTTTGAATATCCTCTCCATTGGCACAGCCACTTGCAGATTCAAATCCATTCTTTATCTGAACAACAACATTATTCTACCCATTGCCACATCAATTGCAATATATGATGATATGTAAATTCATTGTGTAATTCATAGAACCTTTAACAAAATTACGGAGTTTTAAACAAATCAAAGTACAATCTATAGCTTGAGCCATAATGATGATTTCATATTTGCAATTGGACATGATGGAGATATTTGCTAATTGGATATCAAGACATATCAAAAGATCAATTACATCAATCAGTATCTTATAATTTCTATATAATCTATAGCAGAATAGGTTCATAATGTAGGTGGTCATCTATTGAAGGGAATGCGTTATTGATTAGCGCTGAACACTCAAAAAATAAGGGAATTATATAAGTCTTAAATGCTACTACACTTGAATAGATACAATCATTTGATGGCTGTTATTTCTATGGTTGTGTCTAGAATTAAAACTTTTATATGTTGAAATCTAAAAGATCTGGGAAATTAAGTAAAAACGAGAAGGAAAGCTTAAATTATAAGGATTTAAAAAAATATAAGAACAACAAACAGTTTTTATTTTCTCTTGAAGTGCACAGTCAAAATGGATTAGAAAAGGTTTTGCCCTTTGAAACCGAACCAGGAGATATTTTAGTGATTGCTTAAAGTCCTAAATATATTGCATATTTTTATTATGATAGAAGAGTACTAGTATATGACATTGAAAAACATCAAATTGCTATTCATAAAATAGAAGGAAATGGAGTTATTTAAGCAGCCTGCTTTTAAAATGATTCAGAATTAGTTTTTTAGAATTAGACTAAATAACTCACTATTCTTAATTTATAGACTTAGGAAAAGGTTGTATAATCATATAAGCAAGGATTAAATACACTAGTATAGGGTATTTATAAAAAGGGAGAAGTGTTAGTGACTGCATCTGAAGAAAATGTAACAATTTATAAGGGAGTTCATGTATTACATAAAGAATTTGGAGGATTGACAAAATGTGGTATAGATATCTATTAAAATGATTATGTTGTAAGTGGGGATTTCTTGGGAAATATTACAATTAATTCTCTGGATACAGGAAAAACAAGGGGTGAATATTTTATTGGATCATCTATTCGTTCAGTTTCTTGTAAGGATAATATTATCTACATTGGAACTATGGAAGGTCAATTGTATAAGTATGAAAATGAGGAATGCTAATAATTCGATTAAATTGAAGGTTCAATTACTTGCATTAGAGTAAAGAATGATGACTTGTTAATTTCAACTACTCATGGATTAGTGAGATTGTATAAGAATGAGAAACAGTTATTCACATTTTTAGCACATCCTCCAAAAGAGAAATCTGAGTTGTTTGGATCCCTCAATATACATGCAGATATTTGGACATGCATATTCAATCCTGAGTAAGATATCTTCGCAACAGGTTCTGAAGATTAGAATGTGAAGGTCTTCGATTATAATTAAAAACAAATTGTTGAATTGACAGGACATAAATTGGCTGTTACATGTTTAGATTGGAAACGCTCCTAGAATAAATTAATATTGTATTCTTGCAGTGATGATAGAACAATAAGGTTATATGATGAAACATATAGTCTTATTAAAGTTATCAATACCTTCTTTATTAACGAATGGTTTACATTAACATACATGAGTGTATATCAAAATCTTATCGCAATTGGATGTTAAAATGGATATTTTTTCTTATATGATTAAGAGAAGGGGGATTTCATTTTTGTTCAAAAGACGCATATGGGCGGAATTGAAGGATTAGTAATGAATTCTAAGTACATTGCAACCTGTTCGAGTGATGATTGTGTAAATGTGATTAAAATAAATTGATTTTGTTATCTAAATTTTTATTATGCTATAATAAAGTAATTAATACAGATAATAATATATATAACATCTTGAAAATAAGCATTATAAGTGATAAGCGTTATTAATTTTTCATGAGTGATTAAAAATCTAGGGGATCTTTTTATCATTTAATTAGCTAAAGTGGAAAATAAAATCGAGATGAAGAATATCTTTATTTTAAGATAACCTTTTTGGATAATCAATTATTTAATTTTATGTTAATGAGAAATATGGAAAACTATATTTCTCCAATGAATATAATATATTTTAATTAATTTTTATATATGTTTTAATAGAACAATGGCGAAGATTAATAAGAACCCAATCCATAACAATAATAAAACAATAATTAAGAAGGATAAGAGTTATAAAACAACAATCAGGATATATAACCCAACTAAGACCAACTTGAGATTTATCTTTTGCGATATATTAATAATAAAGAGTAATTAAGTTAATAAAGAGCTCAATTAGATATAGTAATTCAAGAGATAAATGGCACCCCAAATGATAGATTTATTTATAGATAATTTTTAGAAAAAATTTGTAATAAATTCTAATCACTCTCTATAAAAGAATATGATGATATTTCCAATTTTGAACAATTGCATCAAATGATTAAGGATTAATATAAAAAAAGAAGATAGGAATGGGAATCTAAATTGTCTCAAAACCAGAATCTTATTAATGATTGGAATGACAAAGTTAAGATGGCACAATATTATTAAATAATGAAAATTCTCAAAAGCCCGAATAGAAGCTTGTACCTAACAAAAGACATAACCAAAGAAGTTTACTTTGATGAAATTAAATAAGAACTAACTCCTCAAGAAAAAGAGTAGTTGAACTAGACAAATGGCATACCAGAATCTTTAAAAGAATTTGGTATTTTCGATAATTACAAAGTGTAGTCTTTAGAGGTATTCTAAAACCATTTAAATCTGATGAAAAAGGAGGCATCTCAAAGTGATGATCCTGAAAATTTTATTACGTTAATGCAATAGAATATGTGCTTTGAGATTTACAAAATATTAGCATTCCCTTATTTGTACTTTAATTAATGTAAAAAAATTGATGTTGAAGCTTAAAGTGTGCACTTTTAGCTCCCAAACAATATGTCTATTGAGGTTAGATCTAATTATATAGAATAAAGCCCTCTTTTGAATGAAAATTCAATAATGAATAGTATTCCGCCCTATTTACTTTAAACCAATATACTCCCCTTTCTAAGTATTATCGAAGTATTCAAATTGAGAATAGTTTCTAGATATTTTAAAACAATGTAATAATATTCATATTAGTTAATAGAGTTGAAAAATACTGGCATATTCCAGCAAAGAAACAGATTATCGATTTAGAGATAGCAGGAGAGTTGGCTTATAATAGTGCATTTTTAAGTAATTTCAAGATTGCAGCAGTAACACTTAAATAAAAATTGCGAAATTGTGTTGATATGATAATGAATTTTATCAATTGGCAAGAGTTGCATGAACTAATAGAAATAGATTAACTTTAAATTGAAGTTTATAGACCTCTAATTATGATGCTTCGATTATTCAACAAACAGCAATAGATCTCTCTACCATATGAGATTGATTGTTAATTTTCTATTAAAGAATTAGCAAAGGATATTAAATAACAGATTCTTGATTACCTAAATTTAGAATTTTTGCCTTTAAGTTTTAACTAAATGAAACAACTTTAGTCCTCTGCCTTGTCAGCACCTGAATTCAACATCACAGGGTTAATTCATCCTTAACTTCATTTGAGTTAATTACTTACATTTCTACTTTAAGGTCTATATTTTCATGGTTGGATGCTTTAAATAATAACAATCCATAAGGAATTATTAAAATAGAGATAAAAGTAAAAAATATCAGTTACAATATAGGGAACTATAAAATATGGATGAATAACAAATTTAAAATAGGGATTTTGTGAGATAAGCTCGCAAATTCATCTATAAAATGGTTGATTTCGAATAAAGCCAAGACACTGAGGAACAACAAACAATCATGACTCAAATAGTATTATACTCTTATCATATTTAGTATTATTAGATGAATAGTAGTTTAAAAGGATTCACTTTTTCTGTTAATGATGTCACTTAATCTCGGCCTTGTGCTGCAATACCTTATAAAAATGATGTTATAACAATCCATTAAGATATCTATTGTTAGATTGAATTATTAACATATATTTATGCTCGTACTTATAATTATTTAATAGGATAAAGGTTAATATATATAAGAAATGCAAAACAACAAATAGAACAGTAAAGTTAAGTAGGAAATTGATTCGAAGTAGGAAGAGCATGAATAATAAAGTGAAAAGATAGATTCACAGCCAGACTTATCTCATTAACAAAATGAACCTAATTGATTTTATATTTTTATATGTTTATTATGAAATCCTTATGAAATTTTAGAATAGTTCTTTAAAAATTAATAACTTATAAAATCTTAAATATAAAATATTATTCATTTTTTGGAAAATATCCTTTAGTAAGCATAAGCCTCAGACAAACAGAGACTTAAATCAGATTCCGACCATTCTCTTGTAGGTATTTTTTCTAGTAGAATCATAATTTCATCATACTACAATTTCTAAATTTTAAGAGAAAATTTCATTAATATTGAAATGATAATGAAAAGACACAACTCAAAATAATCTATAAATTATATAATAATTTACTTTGTTCCTCGGCTAACAAAGTGTCAAATAATCTAAGCCCAACTTCAAATTAAAACAATCTCAATAACATGCAAGTACTCCATTTGAAAATAAATGAATACAATTCCATAGCTATATTTATAAGATATACTTACATAGCGAAGTAGTGAGATGCTCATAAAGCTTTTTATCTAAAGCAGATAATATTTCTTTAAATTTGTTGAAGAAACGAACCAAACCTGGTTATGAGTTTGTATAGTTATCAAGAACACTTTCCAATAATTTACAAAGACACCAATAAGAGTCTGCTTCAACTTGCCGAATTAATCTTTAGTCTAAACAATCTAATTGTTTCTCATTTGTGAATTGTAGCTTCGTTGTGTCAATATCAATATAATCAGACAGGAAGACTATTAAGAAAGGACTGACTATATCATTCATTCCTTGCACATAACCGCATGCAGGATTTCGTATATTCCAAATGAAGAGGATCCTTTCTAACACAATTTAAATTGAAGGATTTCTAAATATTGCAGAATCTGGTATTGTGCGTTTAACATCCTCTGAAATTTATTTTAGGATTTTCTTCTCTCTTTCATCATACTATTGATTTTTTGCGAAGTATATATCACACATTTCAAAGTACATATTTCTTTTTCTCTCTATGATAGCCAGCTAATTAAATCCATTAACAAAATACATTAGCATCCCTATTCGGAGATTGATATTTCAGTAAAAGTCTCCAAACTGTGCTTCTGAGTTCACTGGGCACTCCTGACCAAGCCAAATGTATTAATTCATTGATAGGTATAATATGTTAATGCAGCAAATCTTTAAACTTTTCTAATATGATTATTTAGCAATACAAATCTTTGAGCCATCTTCTCTATCAGTCTCACGATTGCATGATTTGTATTCTTCGTTTCTGTTGTAAAGAGTTGCGATATTTACTTTCTAAATTGACAACATAATAAATTTTATTATAAGTATTTCATATAATTTCATTTCTAAGGAGACGAAAATTATCAATTCCATTTCCCAATGTTAGCAGAGTTCTTTCTTCTAATTACTTATTTTCAAATGTTATTTCGTAATCTTTCTTATGTGGTCGTTATTATTGTCTTGCCTATTATTATATCATTATTTCCCTTAACTCATCACCTAATTGTTCAAATTGCTAATTTAATTCTGAATCATCCATCTTTTCTATCTCTTCTTTTGTGATTTTGACACTTATGACATTGCTGATATTAGTTTTCTATGCTAAATCAAATAATTTTTATGCTTTTTCTAATCTATCAATTGTAGCATTGTCTGTATTAATTAATTCATGTAAAATATGCAATAGCAAATAAGTTAATTTATACTTGATGTCAAAAAGCTTAACACTCCCTTCCTTGAATACTCTATTCTAATTTTTCATAATTAATGTAATCTAGTAATTATTTTATGAGGATCTCAATTTCTTCAAGAAATTCTCACAAAGCCTTTTCACATTATCAATATTTTGACATAAGTTCAACATATCTCGAATATTTTCAATAATTTCATTTCTTACAATTCCATACTGACCAAATTGATAACCCAGTTATTCATTTATTGTTTATTGTAGGGGAACCTTTATATCGCTCGCTTCTCCAGAATTCATCCTTTTAGATATGAAACGAACACTCTTCTTGAAACTTTCATTCTCCCCTTCTGTAATCCAATAATGTTCAAATAACTCTTAATATCCTATTCTCTTTTTTGCATCCACTAAAAGCATCTTCTAAAATAAATCTCTTAACCCTTATGAAATAACTGTTTTGGCTGGAAATGCAACCTAACAATAATAAATATGACATTACTTATGACTTTTACACTATTTCTGAAAATTCCTTTAGAGATGTCTTAGGAGTAATGAATTACTGCAAATAACTGTTCCCAAAGATCATCATGTATAAGATCATGCCCAAAGACCAAATATCACATTTTTCATCGTACTCCCCCTTTCCACAAATTATCTCTGGAGCCATTGTAATTGGAGTTCCACAATATGATTACATATAATTATCGAAGTTCCTTGCAAATCCAAAATCCCCTAACTTTATAATCCATTCCTAATTTATATATATATTTGCTAGTTTGATATCTCGATGAACAACCTTCTGTTGATACAAATATTTAATTCCTCCGATGATTTATTAAAATATAGCTTTTACTTCAGCCTCTTGGAATCTATTTTTTTTAAATAATATCTCTAAATCACCATTGCTGCAATACTCAAAAATAATATAAATGTATTTATCCGTCTTGAAACTATCATACAACTCCACAATGTTTTTGTTTTTTAATTTCTTGCATATTTCAATTTCTTTTTCAATCATTTAATATTGTCTCTTATCCTGCACTTAATTGAGGTCAAATTTAGAAATGCAGATTTCTTTTATTGCTACTTATCTTTTAAAATTATCGTCCCACCCTAAATATACAATTCCGAATGCTCCCTATGAATATGTACAAATGTCTTACACTCCCTATTACTTTTTAAAAGTAATATTGATTTATTTTCTTAAAATGCTATTCTTACATATAATTTTAAATAATTATAGAAATATAATTTCTAATTTGAGTTAGACCTGATATGTCGGTTTCTTCATAATTTCTAAATCCAATACTAAATTTGAGTTACTCAGATACTCTTCATTATTTATTAACAGTTTGAATGTATATATATATATATTGATCATAATAGACTGGTTTGCATTATATTGATTAAATCTTATCAATTTATATAAATCTTTATGTGGTTTCTTTTAGGAATAAAAATCTGTTTTATTAACAGAAATATTCAAATTAATTTCTTCAGCATTTCCATTGCTGGTTCAAAAATTTAAGAATATATTTTTGAAAATGAAATATATTATATTTTTACATATTAGTATTCTCTGAGAATCTTCTCGTGTATTTGATGTCATAGACATAAAACAAATGCTATTTATTGAATATCTATGATGACCAATAATTATTGAATTCAATAAACTTATATTTATATTCAAATAAAATTCAAATTTTCTAGTCATCAAATTACTAGGCCCTTTGGTCTTTTGAATAGGGGAATGAGGATATTAACAATTTGTAGTAGTTGTGTTTTATGGATGAGGAATATAACGAATAAAATGGGTTAAGATATTTGAATTATATATATATATATAAAATGTATAATACTTCATATTTTGATATATTTTAAATAAAATTAGATTTATTTGATTATATTGAATTTTGGTATATTTAAGAGTGATCTTTGATTTTGGAAACAAATAAGAATTTAAATTTTTAAATATCTAAATGAGCACCAGGGAAGAACTCATCTATATGACCAAATTGACAGAATAAACAGAGAGATTCGAAGATATGGTCAATTACATCAAATAAGTGGTTCAAAATGGATAAGAGTTGTCAATCGAAGAGAGAAACCTTCTTTCCGTCGCTTACAAAAATAGCATCGGTGGAAGAAGAACAGCTTGGAGAGTCTTGTCCAGCATTGAAAACAAGGAAGAAGGAAAAGTAAAAAAAAAAATTTAAATTTTAGGCTCAATCCCAACCTGCCTCACAAAAAAATCTTGTCTTGATCAGAAGCTACAAGAAGAAGATTGAAGAAGAATTGAATCAATATTGCCACGATATCCTCAATTTGATCGACAGCCATCTGATCAAAACTGCCTCAACTCCTGAAGCCAAAGTGTTCTTCCACAAGATGAAGGGAGATTATCACAGATACATTTCTGAATATGCCTCTGGTGATTAACACAAAAAGGCTGCTGACGGTGCCCTTGCCGCTTACTAAGCTGCCTCCAATGTTGCTAATTAAGAATTAAAAACCACAAACCCAATCAGATTAGGACTTGCTTTGAATTTTTCAGTTTTCTATTACGAAGTCTTGAATGATGCTGCCAAGGCATGCTAATTAGCTAAATCAGTAATGAATCTTATTAATCATTTCTAGGCTTTTGATGATGCTATTGCTGACATTGAATAAATTTAAGAAGATCAATACAAAGACGCAACAACCATTATGTAATTAATTAGAGATAACTTGACATTATGGACCTCAGAACTTGATGATGAGGGTGGTAACGTTGAAAACCTTTGAGAAGGTTATCATTTATGATATATATATATATATATAATTATATATAAAGAAACATTAAGAAAATTTAAATCCAAATGATTCTATAGTTGATAATTAATGTTATAAACTAATAAAAACAAGAGGTCAACAATTACATTGCTATTATTTTTCTTTTTCATCTACCTTTTTCGACATAAGGAATTTTGGTTTGATCATGCCACCATCAATAGCTCCTTATTACAATAAATCTAGAGTTTTTGTTGTTATTAGAGTAAATGCTTCATTGACTTGATAACCAGTTGTAGCACTAGTTTCCACATACTATACATCATTATCTTAACAAAATTGTTTGGCTGTTTATTCAGAAATCACTCTTTATTACAAATATCATTTTACCTTTCTTTTTCTAGATCTACTTTGTTTCCAATGATAATAATTTGAATAGATGGCTTAGAGAAATCTCTCGCATGTTTGATCCACTCTCTAAGAGCTTCAAAAGAGTCTGAACTATTGTACTGTATATTTGTACTTCGTAACATCAAATACTATTAAAGCACCTAAGGCACCTCTATAATAAACTTTAGTTAAGGATCGATATCTCTCTTAACCAGCCGTATCCCATAATTACATTTTAATTTTCTTTTATTTTACCTAAATAATCTTGGCAGAAAATTCAACTCCTAATGTCTGCTTAACATTTGTAATTGCTTAATTCATCTTATAAATTACATTTCTCATGAATATAATGATAAAGGAGACTTGTTTTTCCACAATTGCCATTTCCAATAATTATAAATTTGAAGACATAATCACACTATTCCTCACTCATTTTACAAATAATATTAATTAGAAATATTTTTATCAAAAAATGAAAGATTAAATCATTTTAATCCTTTTAAGATAGGATTTGTACACACTTTTTTGTTTATTTGTCTAAAATATATTTTACAGATCTAAGAAAGTATAAGAATTCATTATTTAAAAAAAAGATTAAGTCAGAAGGATTTTGAACTCAATTATTTTTAATGGAAAATACAAGGATTGGTTCAATAGTAATCATTATAAAATTCAAATTATCTATAGATAGTAATATGAAGTATCAGATAATTTTGATATTTAATTAATCATTATAAAAATGACTGAATAGGATGATGAAATGCTTGTGGAAGAGATCCTTTGTTGTTAAAATGATGATGATATAAGAAGTCTTGTTGATTCATAATGTTTGGATATCATTGGGAATTCTTTATAAGATTAATTAATTTTGGCACATAAACAACTATTTCGAGTGATTAGACTCTTTCGAGAATTTTTGGATTCAAGTCCAAATCAAATATGGGATCAAAGAAAGAAGAAAGAACATAATTAAGCTTTATAATAGGATTACTTAATGATTCATCATGAGTTATAAAAAGAGAAAAGTAAAATCAAACAAATAGAGGAAGTGAATACATAACTGAGACTACAAATGAAATTGTATGAAGGGGATTTCGAAACAATAAGATCATAAAGTTTTGAGGATATTAAAAAGGTAGAGGATCAACTAGTTAAAACAAAAAACTCAATATCTCTTTATAAAAATTCACTGATTTAAAAGTTTTGCGTGATATGTTTGTAAAAGGAATATTGCATTGTACTGAAACCCTGTGGACATGTTTGTGTATGTGAAGAGTGTTCAAAAAGAATTGATTAGTGTCCTATTGATAGAGTTAAAGTTGTAAAGATGAAGAAAGTTTACTTATCATGATTTTAATAATAGATATTACAATTACATTTACATTACTAAGAAATATAGAATTTAATCATCCAATAAGTTTAAAAATTTATTACATTCTAATTACATATATTGCAAACATGGGAAATTTAATTTCGTTTTTTAGAATTATATGATGTTTTTCTATACTATCAGAAAATTGTAGTTTGAAATTATTGAGGAAAATATGAAGACATTTTACTTCAATAAAGAACCAACAAGAGTTATGATAATCAAGAGCCAGAAGGAAGAAAAACAGTAATCATAGTCAATTAGAATTTGCAATATTTTAAAACAGTATTAATAAAAAGTTTTAAAGGAGAAAGAATTTGAACTTTTTTGTTAAATCCAATCTTGGAAAATATAACTTCAGCCAATTATATAATTTAATTGATAGAAATTATAATTACAACTTTTTAAATGGGGTTTCATTTTAATTTCTAAAAATTTACTGGTTTTGTTATATCTAATGAACATTTCTAATCCCAAACTAGATAATTTGGGTGCAAGATTGTCAGGTTGAGGCAAATTTTATGATAGAGTTTAAAGATCTCACAATAAAATATCCAATAAATAAACAATTTTGTGTTTTGTCTTGCATGAATAATGTATGTAAAACCAATTTGCATTTTAAAATATGCCTTATAACTTATATCAAATTAATCCAATATATATTGATTAGCAAAATTATTAACGTTATCATCTAGAAAATATCCTTTGATTAAATTGAACTCCTATCCTTATAATTTAATATCTTCATATTCTCTTATCACTTATTGATATCTTATACTCAAGTTAATGTATTTAAACATTGCAAAAAGATTTTGCAAAATTAAAATAACCGATTTCAAATCATAGCAGATAATGATTATTACCATTTGTATACAAACACTAAAACGTAAAGAAGTTTCCCATGTGTTACATTTTTTCTTTCTTGTTAATATATATTATTAAAGGAATTTTAATTTAATTTTATTAAATATCAATTTCATTATAAAATGCAATAACATAATTCAGTGAGATATTGTATAAGTGTTAATTCCATAACCATATTATAATATTTTCGAAGTTTCAATAAATATGATCATTTTTACACAGTATGATAATAATATCTAAGCATATAGATGTATAGGAGTAATAATTATTTCATAATTGGTCATTGAAAATTATATAAATTTGTTTTTAGAAGGAATGTTCAATTCTTTTAAAAGAGTTAGATCTTGGTTGAAAAGGATTATTAATATCATTTATAAAATGGTTATTAGCTTTTTGGAAAATATATAAGAAGTTTAATCATTATTCACTGTTTTGATGGTCATGAGAGTGATTTAGACTGAATTCACTCTCATAAAAATTAATCACTCTTTATGGAAGAGGAGTGAATTAAGAAAATTTCTTAGACAGCCATTATTTGCACGTAATTGATTCAAACAAGAAGGCTTCAAACTTTTTCACCTCAGGCGATGACAGCATTTATTCTATTTCCTATGTTTGTCTCAATTGATTTATCTCATCTTAACTGAAATGCTGATCCTTTGAAGAATGAGTGAGCTTTAACTTCATTTTACTCATGTCTAATTTATTTTGCTTTTAATAATTCTAAAAATAAAATTATTAAGACAAATTTTGCACTGAAAGCATTATAAAATCAACCTAAATCAATATAAAAGATCATTAAGAATTCAATCCCAAATTTTGTGGCGAAAAATGTAAAATCAAAGTATAACTTTAGCTCATAAATATTTTTCAATTCATTAAACAGTTATAAAGAAATGTAATTCTTATTACCTCATTTTGAAGACTAACAAAAAGACAACCTAAGAATTTCACTCCAGTAGGAATTCTTGATTCAAATTAATTTAAAAATTATCCAAGCAGCAATAACAAAATCATCGACCAGTCCTTAATGAATTATGAAATAAAATTTTTAATCTTACAAAACTATTGTTAACCATCAAATGATTCTTATCATGCAATTTAGTATAGTCTATATTTAAAGATATTATATTATTTGTACTCTAGAATAACTCAGAACAATACAAACAAATAAGAAGCTAAATAAAGAAAGAGATAATTAGAAGTAATTTCTTAAAGAATCATTAATTCAGTCTTGAAAGGATAAATTCAATTTAACTTTTAAAATTAAAAATAATACCTTATAATGTCAATTAAGAGAGCATAGATAATAATTAACTTTCAATCATCTTGATGAAGAACAAAACGTTAAGTAAGGTAACAAATAATTATAAGATCAAAGGCTTGTACTTTAAACTAGTAGGATGTCCATTCCAAAATTAATATATTCATCAGCTAATAAAAAAATATGTTAAATTTGAACTTTAATGTTGATTGATGTATCTAAGATCATGGAAAATATCAAACAAATTAAAAATCATAATATCATATTTAACCATCCTTAATCTGATGAGTTCCATATTAAGTTTACTATAAAATAAATAAAAATTATAAGGTTTTAAATTAAACTGATGTTGCACAAAAAATAATTCCGAAGAGATTTTGCAATTTATTGAAGTTATTAAAAAGCGAATTACATGAAAACGCATGGCATCAAATTCATCAAGTCATTTCATTTATAATTAATCTAACGATAAGAAGATAATCAGAAATCAAATGGAAGATATAATAAATTTTGTTTTGTATTTCTCTTCAAGTTATAAATTATATGTTAATTACCTTTAAAATATAAAGAATAAATTATATATATGAAAAGTTCATCGCCCAAGAATTAATTAGTAATTGAAAAAAGAGGCTTGAGTGAACACGTTCAAGCTACCAGTATCCACTCAGGAAGTAGAAAGACCTCCATTGTGACTAAGGAGAGCAGTAATTTAAAGGGAAATCTATAAAGCATTTAAAAATAAACAGAGATAAATAACTCTTAACTTAAGAAGGTTTCAAGTGCTGGAAAATTACTGATACCTAAAAGTATGCATATTATATTATTTGTTAGGTGAATAATAATAGTAAAAATAAAAACGATTTTCATCAAAAGAAGGAGATGGATCAAATGTAATTAGATCAGGTTACTTATACAAATAAATTTCTCCAAAAGTTACGATGTTAGAAGATAAAATGAATGTTGTATTTGTTCAGGAACTTAATAAATATTAAATAAATAATGAGCCAACATCACCAAAATCTCCAAAATTAACAGATTCTAATTTATTTATGCATGGAATGACTTAGAACGGATTTTAATTAAAAGGTCCTTAATCCCCTCCATCTCATGATATACTTGCAAATGGTCAACTCAAAAATAAGATACCAAAGAGTGTTTTAAGTCATCATTAAAATTTAATAACAACATCTGGAAAAAAGATAACTGAATTAAAAACAAGCAAATAATATCAAAATACAGTAACCTACTATTGAAAATGATCTGTAATCAGAATAAACAACTTTTTCTATTATTATGCAATGTTATTTATAATTAATTTTATTGATTCAGATGATGTTTGCTACAATTATTAATTGAAATTCTTACTTTATGCATTCTAATATAAATATTTATTTTTAATGTTATTCGTTTCTGCAGTATAAAATGCATTGAGCTCCCCTAAATATAAATCAGCAGAAAAATAAAAGAAATAAAAACCATCAATTGATAGTGAATAATTAACCACTCTATTATAATTAGAAGCAGTCTTTCATGAAAGACTTTACAGTATCGACCATGTAACAAAATTGTTGGAAATCTATGGTTATTTGGTAGAATAATTAGAACCTAGTTTGCAAACACTAAAAGATTACTTCTTAGAAAAAATGGAATTTATATTGAGTAGACCAGAAACAATAGAGTTGATGATGGAAAATGATGAGAGATCAACAGCACTTTAGAATAGATATACAACCTTAATAAACACTTAAGCTCTTGATTAACTGAAACTTGATGAAGAATAAAGATTTAATAGGCCTTTTTTGCAATAAAACTCTGATTCCAATTCTAAAATGAGATTTAGTGTGTTTAAGAAACATTAAGCTAAGGAAAGGGAGATTTGTATGGAGGTTTAGGAAAGAAAGCAAGATTAAAAAGTTGATTTGAATTCTCTTTTGTAGGAGTATGATTAAATTTCAAAAGAATATGATTCTGTAGTTAAAAAGTAACTTTAAGACTAAAATAATGCACTCAATTAAAGAATGGCAATCAGAAAAAATAAGAAAAAACGAACAAAACAATCGAATTCACAAGAAAATAAAAGAACTTCAGTTGTGAATCCTGTTAGAACCACACTTTCTAAATGGAAGTTAATTAATGAAATACAAGAAAGTGCTCATTTTTGGCGTCAATCAATTAATAAAATAAAGAAATGATTTCTGACTTATTTTATTAATTTCTTAATAAAAATAAATGATATTTCAGCATGTTAATTTGATTTAAGATTCCACAATAATTAATTTTTAACCCAAATTACCTCTTCTAGAGCTTTTACTTCTGCTTAAATCGGCAGGTTCTATATAAAATCTACAAAATATACCTTTATATTTAACTACTTAACTATTATCTTATGAGCTATTTTTTGAAATCGTCTAGCTATTTATACACTTTTTCCTATCTTGTACTGAGACACTTTGTATTACATCTTGAATGTTTGATAGAGAATTATTTTTGCTTCTTAATCTTTACCCATACGCTCGATTAACTTCCTTTTATTATGTAGCTTTTTAAAGGTCAACCTTATTTGCTGTATTTCCCTAATTGATAATATTATAATAGTTTTATTTCAAAGATTATTATGAATTGATTGGTATCTCATTGTTTTCTGTAGTTATGCATTTTTAATTTTATTTAAAGATTCCCTTATTTTCTTAGAGAGATTTTTCATGGTTTTATTCTAATTTTAATTAAAATTGTCTACTTTAAAGTTGAAATGATTAGCTGATTGATTATTAATTAGCTTTACATTATAATTTTATATGGTCTCTTTGACTTAGATCTAAGGATTTTCTTCTATTTTCTTTTTCCAAACCGCTAATAATTTGTTTTAAGCACACTATTTCGTTTTTGAGCTTCTGTTAGACTTCATGATATGTTTAATTTTCTCTTTTTAAATTCTAACTATTTTGAATATTATTACGCTAATTAGTTATTTTGTTGTATTCAATAATTCAGTTCTGTTCATTTCGCTTTCGTCTAATTTAGTTTAAATTGACTCAGCATATAATTTTAATTGTTATTCAATCTGAAATAAAAGTTATTTTTTACCCTGATGTGATTACGTATTTCTACTTCATATTTTATCATTGTTTATTCTAATTTTTCATATTCTTCATCTGTCCTCATGCTATATGTTTAAGAAAGGTTAGGATCTAATTATTTTTCTAATTTGCTTTATTAGTGTTAAATTTAACTACTTACGAAATTTTTTTTTCTACTTTCATCATCATATTAGTAAATACTGCTTTTATAATCCCAATCAAATGGGATAAATTTTCATAATCTTTCAGTTCTCCCTCTATTTAATTAAGTTCTTCTTTAGTATCAATGAATTTATCAGCATTAAGCAATATTCTCTCGAGTAGGTCTTTGAGATTATTTTCTATTTGTTTTTCGTTAATGCTATCCTGACTCTATTTATCTTCTTAATTCATTAACAGTAAATTTAATTAAAATATTATTATTCATAACATTTTTTAGTTTGCATGATTAGAATAAATGTGTTACATTCTAATTTATAATCATTTTTTTATAATGACAGGTTATTTCTAATAAACCATTGAATAACTATGTAATAAATATATATTACTTTATTTAACTAAAGTATTTTAATATATTAAAAAGTACAAAATCAATAATAAATAGAATTAATAGATTAATATTTGAATTATATCATTATTGTGAAGATTTTTTACTTCTTATGATTACTGACAATTTGATTTCAAAATTATTAATTTCTAGTATTACTTTTCAGCTATTACAATGATAAAAAAAGGTTCAAAATGGTTAAAAAAAGATTTAGGATCGATATCATCTATTTAGATCTATTTTATTCAATTTTTTCAGAATTCTCAATCCATGTAATGAATGAATCATCATCCCATCAAGAAATTTTGAAACGACAAAGAACAACAATAAAACCATTATTTTTTTAAGTATAAATTTACCTTAAATAACACGAAATTTAGTTCCAATTATTTGAAGGAACAAGAAACATAATAAAATTTTTTAGAATTCATTAATAATCTTCTCGTTTAGACTGTCATTCTCAAATCCTAAAGCAGAGATTGCATCCACGATTATGCTACATGTATTATAGTGGATCTAAATTTATCTTTTATTATTATCATTTATTATAATGTTAAGGAGGAGCAGATAAAACCCATCCATAAATTCATAGTTAGTGATGATAATTTAATAACAGTGTAATTTATTTTAATAACGTAAATGTCAATGCTAAAGCTTTGTGAATAAAGTGCTGATATTTATATTAATTATAAATAAAAACAAAGATGTCCATTGTTACTAGATTTGCTTCTTATTTCATAAAGAGTAGAGTGATTAATTACTCATGTATGTACAAATTGAGATTTACTCTTCGTTAGTGTAGGTGGACAGAATTATGACCGAGATGTGTAAGGCTGGATTTTAAGACCCAGAGGAAGGATTCTTAGAAAGAGATCCTATGACATATTATGAATGCAGATTTTATTCTCATATAGCCAGAAATTGGACTCCTAGACTGGAATCTTTGTAATTTTATACATCATACCTTAGTGAAGTGAGTTAATATGAATTGGCAAAATAGAAATTTGTTCAATTTGAGAATCTATACTCATTCATCCTCGATTTGCATAGATTGACTTGGGAGTACAGATCTCTCTATTTGGAATTAACAAAAGAAATTGCAACTCATAATACTTGGTTTAGAAGTGAGTACACAACTTTGACCTATGAGCATCACTTGGAAGAGGCTATCAACAAATACATTAATCTCCTAGATCAATTAAAGGAGTACCCTTTATGGTAAGAAAGAGTAAAAGAAGAAATTGGATATTATTTGCATCTAATTTACAATTCCACAACACATTCAAGTTAAAGCAAAGAATTGTTTGCTAAATTTGTAATCTTTCATCTTTATATTTAGGATAAATTATATTTCTTCAAATGATAGCAATCCAATGAAATATGTTAGTAATTACAAAATAAATCGAATATATATATATTCTACCATTATTATTATTTTATACTTTTGCAATGTTGTCATCGCAATTAAAATGACCTAATCATCAATCATTTTTATATTTCAATCTTAAAGAATAGTGTCTTTGAAAAAATGTCATTTCAATCATAATTTACTAATATCTTTAAATTATATAAGCTTAAATTCTCTAAGATATCCCCATAGATTTTAAACATTAAATTAATAAATAAATGATTGAAGATGATGAATCTGAAGGATTCTTTCAACTCAAGCTATAGAAAAAGATTAAGAAGCATAGAAGCATACCTTTAAGGATTTAAAAGCATTATGAATCCTTAAGTTTGATGTAGACCAAGGCAACTGATTAAGAATAATTAATTCTCTCTTTAATCCAAAAGCGAGCGGAATGTAATATTTAGCAGTATTATCAATAGTCTATTCCAAAAATAAATAAATCATTTAGTGGAAAGAAAATATTTCTGAATCTCATTCAACTATTTTTGTTAATCTAATCAAAAGTGAATCAGAAACTTTTGAAGATAGCGAATTTATTTTCCAATAACCTCTTGATGAATTTCCCTTAGGAAGCTATTCGCACTGAATTCATTACAATAACAAAACAATGAAATATTTTTTTGTTTTTTTCCAAATAATCATATCACACTACTTAAAAAAATTTGAAGGTTTGTCTCTTAAATTTCAATTACAATCATTGTTTTCCCATTTAAAATACTCCCCAAAAAATTATCGATTATTTTAATCATCTCTATGAAATCTCAAAAAAATCATTAATTGTCTAATCCGTTTTTAAATGAAACACTCCCTTTAATGTAATAGACCATATAATGAAGTGAGTAGTAGAAGTATCTCAATATATTTACAAACTACTCATATTAAGATGAGTCTTATTAAGTAAAGATTAAATAAAGAATGACTAAATTTATTACTGAAGTAACAAATTTCGACATAAACATCTTTGATGATTAATTATTCAAATAAAATATTTATCTTGCTCAATCTGTCATACTTTTATAAAGCTATTTCCATATATATCTAAAAAAATTATAAAATACCAATAAATTATAAAATCTTACTATTAAATAAAGTGCTGCAGAGACAACATCAAATCATAAATAAACTTATTTGTATATGAGAGAGTATGCGTAATTTGATTACTATTGATTTTAATTGTCCTGAACAAGAAAATTGTAAATTAATTCTAAGATATTAATTATAAATTATGAGAATAATGCAAATGAATTGATTTTATTTCAATAAATTAATTAATATGGCCGATTTTAATCCTTAAGAGAGAGTAAAAAAAATGGTCAATGCAATTAAAGCAGAGGTGAATATTCAGTAATACTTATAGGCTACAGAGAAGTCTGAATAAATTAAAGATATGGCTGCTCAATAATTCAGGATTGAGAAAAATAAGCTTCTGAATCAATAAAAAGAAAGGATCATTGAGGAATATAAAAAGAAGATTGAATCGTATACTATTGAAAAAAGAATGTACGATATTGTATCACTATGATAGTCAACGATCCTCAAAGATCAATTAATCAAGATTATCAAAAATGCAAGCTCGCTTTGAGTTAATTCAGAGACTTAAAGAAGAAGTTCGTTAAAAAATGGCCATATTGATCTAAGATTAAAGTGTATATAAAGAATTACTGAAAAATTTGATTGTGCAAGGAATGATTAAATTATTAGAACCTCGTATTGAATTAACATGCTTGGAATAAGATGTTCCATTAGTGAAATCAATTTTGGGAGAGTGCCAAGAAGAATTTACATAAATTATAAAGCGAGAGACCACGAAAGACTTCAAAACAACACTTAGCATCAATCAAAGTTAATATTTGACTGAGAAAAGTGGGAAACCAATGTACTAAATATTTTGATGTTAGATTGGGAGGAGTTGTGCTTAGTTGTGCGAATAATAGAATAGTGTGTTCAAACACTCTTGATGATAGGTTGGAACTCTCATTGCAGGAGTTTTTGCCAGATATTAGAAATGGTTTATTTAGAAAATGATGGGAAAGTATATAGAATAAATAAAATAAATAAATATATAAACATCAATATGGCAAGTAGTAGCAAGAATCTACAAACATCTCACAATAATTTAATCTAATTAAAGATTACTATAATTCTTAATGTAATTATGATAGATTGTTAGTATGATCATAATTGCAGGCTCGAAATTTTTCAAGTATTTCTTTGTTTCTACCTATGATGTCATTGTACAAAATTTCCATTTATTTCGCATAATCATTCTTAGAAGAATATCGATCAAAGTTTTCTTTTTTCTTAAATCTAATATTATCATATTTATCTTGATTTAGTTTTAAAGTGTCAATAAAATAGATTTATTATAACAATCTTTATTTTATTTATCGAAAATAAGAGGATTGATTAATGCATGTTATTCTATTTTGACTCTTATTAAGAAATTGTGCAAAATTACCTTCGCTTTATAAAGCAAGAGTGAATTATTCAATAAAATAATTGATCTACACAAATCCATTACTGTATTCTTCGTTTTTCAATAAACTTTACATAGCTAAGCTTGGTAAGGCTAATAGTCTATATTAATTTGGGTGGATTGATTAAGTGAATGGTATGAAGAATCTTTATCCATAATAATCATAATAAGGCATTTTCGTATGATTTGGGATAAAAGATTCTTATTTATTGAGTAATTTGAAAGGCTGAATAAAAATTAGCAACTAAGGATTTTTGATTTTTAAATTTGTTAGGACATTAGTAATGTCAACCACAAATGTGTCAATTTTATAATCAAGAATTGAAAAAGCCCCATTAACTTTGAGTTTTTTCTCATTGATAAGATCTTTGAGAAGTTGTGAATAATTTAGAGTGTAAAGTCCAACTTAATACACCCTGCATATTGAATTGAAAAGTTCTTTAATGTTTTTATGAATATAAAAGGAGGAATTAGGAGTGGCCTTTTAAAAATAATGATCTCTTAGGACTAAATATTCTTCATGCTATTTACTGCCAATAAAATCAGGCTATAATCCAAAAAAGCTAGATTCATCATAGCCTAACACATTTTCGAATTAAATCATCACTAAATTGCTGACATTGTTTGGGGAGGGTCTAATTAATAAACATTCAAATTTCATTCCTTCTAATTTTTCGTCTATGATATTATATGTAGTTTTTTTAAAAGAATTTGTTGAATTGGTATTGTTCAGAGTAGATCTTCTTATCATCAGTTATTATTTAAGATCTTTATAGGGAGTTACTACCTGTTCAGTGTTTGAAATTTACTTATGTTTTTACCTCAGCTATTCAGAACTATGCTCTTTCTTTTTTGTACTTTTTGGACTCATTTAGGAATATCCAAATTCCTTTTTTGGATCTAAAATATAAGACTCTCCAATTTGATTTGAAGAGTTATCAAAATTTTTTAGCAGCGTTCCTTTGTAAAGTCTCCCTGGAATTTTATGAGTTTCATGGTTATGCAATTTAGAATGTTAAGGTGATGGAGTAGTAAATTTATTTTTTTATTTTTAGACAAATCTATCTGTTTTTGTCTATCTATTTGGGATATTTTCAAAACAATTACTAACATTTAATATCGACTCTGCCAATCGAGTGAATGATTATTTGATACCTTTTTGCTTAGCTGAATGTGGTTAGATTTCCTTGGATTCTAAATTCATAGTTCTTTATTTAATGAATGATTTATAATCCTTCTTCCAATATCCCATAATGAGCTTCCGAGGTGAATAAGATGTATTGATTCTAGTAATCTCTGGCTTTGCTATTTGAGATATATTATAGTCGTTTGAATAATAATACTCAACTGGGTTGTACATTATTATATAATTATTATATAATTGAATATTTCATTATTGCTACTGTTTAATTCCTAGGACATGATATTCAATAGCTTCTTTAAGTTTTGTGTATTTATCGATAAGTTCATCAGGGATCAGAGTAAGCATTCTCATTGATTATTGTATTCCAGATTAAACCTTGGCTATATAAGAAATCCACAAAAAGAAGAAAATTAAAATTAAAAACCCTACGAATCCAACAAAATTATAGATCTATACTTAATCTCGAATGTCTAAAAAGCTAATATCTATTATTTAATAATGTTTACTTATAAAAGCAAGTTTAGAATATATTATTATTCTCCCAAAATGTTGGTAAAATGTACTTACGCAATAATTCTTATATCTGGAATGCTTCCAAACTTTCTTATAAATTTGAATAAGTAGCCAACAACTCATTGTTTCCCAAAGAAACCAAGAAAATCGCATCTCTCAAACCCTTGGTTAAGAGTCCTCCTTTAACTGTATTACATTCTTTGGTTAGTTCCGATGAGGAGAATGTGTAATTCGTGAAATTATCTGTGGTATCAACAAAGACAAACGACTAAGTAATTAAGTCTAAAGTGTTGATCCAAGTGATATGCTCACAAACATTCAAGAAATTGATATCGTTAAAGAAAGAAAAATAAGCATCAAATGAACTGGGATAAGTATAGGTTAGAGTCTTGAATAGATCCTATTCGTTTGAATATACTTTCTGATTATAATATTTAGATAAGTCGTTTTCCATGTAAAATCTGGATTAACCATTATTGACTAAAGCTTCCAAAGTAAACAGTATATTATATTTAATAATGCTTGCTCGACGAGAGATATACAAGTAATGATCAAGGATTAACTTAGCATCACTAATAGATTGATCTTCTAAAACATACATTACAATATATTCAATCATTAAAAGAGAGCCAATAAATATAAATGAAAATATTAAAAAGTAATGAGTTCCACCTTTACTTTCATATATTCTTTAATGCTTTTCTTTTGTTTAATCAAATAGGGATTTTCTTTGATCTACTTCAACTTTTTATTTTGGACTATCCGCAATATCTTGACTTTGATCCTGATTTAAAGAGCTTTCAATTATATGTTGTTGTTATTGTTGTTGTTGAGGCTACTCAATTTAATTAATATCATCAGAACTTTTAAATTTCGTAATATGATCTAAAATAAATCTATCACCCTGATCAATCAAATTCTTAATGTCATCATTAGTGATCATACCAAAATAACTGATTAACCTTTTGCGTTCTTTGAAGATGCTCATAAAAATTGGTACATAGACAATTTCGCAAATAACAATAATTACCAAAGCAGCAATCAAAATAATTATAGCATTACTAGTTTGGGCATCTACTTGATCATAGTAAAAGTCATAAAATTTATCAGCTATTCTTTCAGATCCATTTCTGAGAACATCCAAACCATTTTCGACAACATAAAATAGATTTTTAGAAACACTACTAGAATTAGAAGTATCATTAAATTATGTTAGAGTTGCTTTTTTAAATGAAGAAGCTGAAGTGATATAAGCAAAAACAGCATCATTGAATATGTTCCCATAAGTTTTGGTTTCGTTATTTGAAAGCAAAAAGACTACATCATATTGATCATCGTCTATTTGCAAACCACTTCTGCTTTCAACCTTAATTCTAAACTCGATCATGTCGAATTATATTACTTATAACTTATCAACTAAAACACTTATGTTTGACTTGAATGCTCCTTCTAGAGCTGAAGGATAATGTCCGAAAGATGTTAAATATAAATAGCGACTGTATAAATTTATATCTGCCATTAAAGAATGTCTTCGATGAGCTTAACGAACTGCACTCACACCCTCATCCACCAGAATTGATTATTATAATGCCAAAACTAATTTGCTAATGGATAAAGCTAAGGTGGATAAAAATAGGATCAATGTTAGATATCTTAGATAAATGATTTGTCTAGGAGTTTTTGATTATTCTAAAGCACTTCTAATGTCTTTTGTCTATTTGTTTTCTTCTTAATCATCAACTGAAGATTAAAAATTCTTTTATTTATCTTCCTCTTCATCAATAGATTATTATTGGATAATCTGGTGCTTGCTCTCATCCAATTTCTGTTTTATTAAAGACTTTCCATAGTTGACTTTCTCTTAATCAATATCCTCTCGAATCACAATTGTATGATATATGCTTCCTCCTGCAGGCTGACCATCATCTGTTAAAGGAAATCTCTCCTCGATTAACTCTAATTTAACTTTGACCTTTTTGAAGTCTCCACTATAATTCATAATTGCTGAATCTTTAATTGATCCTCCCATTTTCTTATTATCTGAATCATGAATGTTTGATTAAAGTAGTTATTTAAATAGTTGAACATCAATAATAGTTTCAGCTGTATATATATCTCCTTCTAATTTATACACCTAGTTTTTTAAGGGTTAATCATTTTAATTAAGAGTATTATTCAGCACATCTCCTAATTCTTTAAACAAGTTTCCAAAAGTATAGATTGGTTATTCTTAGGCACTTGTAGTTGCAATATCCTCAACTCTGATTCCTAAATCCTTCATCGATTCACTAACATTTAAAATTTATTATGAAATTCCATCATATATCATATAATGAGTTCCAGGCAATTTTTCTAATGGCTTTAGAAAGCCAACCAAAAGGATGCCTTTTTCTAAATTTGGCAAAACTTTGATCATCAACTTACAAGGAACCAAATATTGCTAACTATTTTAAGCTAGCACAAATCTCTCCAATCCTATAATATTTGAATTGCTTGTTCTCATATAATTCTCAACTAATTAATTATGTTAATCACCAATGATTTTTGGCATGATCTTGCTCACATTTTATTCAAATAATTCTGAAGCCGGATATCCCAAAGATTTTTATATTTCATTATTACAACTGGCCACAATTCCGATACTACCAACATTTCCGCTCATCGTTATTATGATTGTCTCTTGTGATTCAGTTATTTTAGACTCTTGTCCTCCTCCTTGCTTTCTTTGATATATTGTTTTCTTAATTTGACTTATTTATTAAGATAACTGTTCATGTTGTTCCTTATCATGTACAACCATTTATAAATAAGCATTATAAAATTCTAAAAGATTAAGATTGTTATTGTTTATCTCCACAAGTTCTTGATATCCTTCATCACAGAGATCAATCTGATGTAAAACTTTTAATCCAATATTTTATAATTTTAAGATATTAGGATGATCCTCTTAAAGTTCTCTCCAAAATTCTAAATGCGATTCTGCACTTTTCTAAATCATATTAGTTAGCACCACCAATTGATTCTAAAAGAACACAATAGAGTTCACATCAATGTCCTAGGCCTTTTCAGAGTCTTCTTACATTTCACTCTCAATATGTTGTTTGAAACGGAATAAACAAAATTCATCTCTCAGAGTATGATCTTTTGTGTCTTCTGCCTTCATCATATAATGGAGAGCATTGTATTTATTTTTTAACTCGTCGTTACATAAATAAGAATAAAATATTTTGAATCTAGCATTCTCCTTAAACTTTTCATCGGCTATAATGTCATCCAAAATAGATCCCAAAAGCTTCATCCAAGTCTCATGTTCTTTTGTACCCTCTTCTTTTTTGTGATCATATGAAATAAGTGATTTACAAGCACATCCTGTTTTTGTACAATTCACATAATGCAATTTTAATACTCCCATCAACTTTATTTTGGTGTTTGGAGATTATCGATCCAAAATCAATTAAATTAGAGTATTTAAGTAGTTGTCTGCCTCTTCTTCGTTCTTTAGGTTTTTTATTTAAAATGTCATAGATTCTTTAAGTATATTTTTGAAAGCATATAACCCTCCAAAGACTACACATGGTATTAAAACAAATAAATATAGTAATCCCATGTCATCTGGTGCCCCAGTATCTAAAAAGTCAGTGATAATTACGCAAATATTGATCCACAACACAATTAATTCAAGAGTTATTTTGTAAAAATGTCTATTAATGTAAACATGCATAAATACATAAAATTATTGTATCCTGTTGGATAATTGTATCTTGAAAATAGGAGAATAAGATCTCCAACTCCAAATAAGACGACCATTTCACTATTGTAAGTACCAGGAGCATTAAAAATTATAAGAAAAGGAGTAACAAATTTGAATAGCATTCGTGCATATTCTGCATCAGATTAATAACCATTGAAAGGGAATTTTGATTTTGGACTTTTATCAATAATAATCTTTACTTTAGATCAAAGTACAATAATGTGGTGGAAAAATGAAAAAAGATTAGTAATACAATCCCAATGATAGCAGCTATCATATGAAGAATGTGAATGCCTTCATAGCAACCTAAGTCTGCTCCAGCTGCTGAATCTGATCTGCAATAGATTGTAGCCAAAAATACATTATAAAATGGAAGTGCCAATACTGTATTCAAAATAATTAGTAATAAGGATAACAATTTGAAGGTAAAAATAAGCATGCCTGATTATTGTTCTTGATATTTTAATTGGCTTAATTAATATTAGCTAGTAAAGAATATCACACCAATAATGACCATGACTCCAAATGAAATGTACAACAAAATTATGAATATTGTTACACCTTAATCAATTAAATAATTGTATTGAAAATAGCGAAGGATCATCCTGAAATAATTTAGTCCTTGATTATCCCATAAAAAATCGATCACTGGATGAATTGGATAGTACATCAGCTGTAAATTTTCAATGCTTAACAACACACAGTAAATGAGAGTGTTACATAAATTATTCTGTATGATATTATGCATGATGTTAAATAGTGATATTTTGAATTTGTATTCCATTTCTTAAGAAGTACCCTTTTCTAATTAAGACTTCTTGTGATTCATAATCGACATTTTTTAATTATATATTTTAAACTATTGATTTCTAAATCGCGCATTAGCATAAATCAAACACAATAACATTATCAACTTTAAACTATAGAAAATTTTGAAAACTAAAGGACTATCAGTTGCCTTCTGATTTTACCATGTTAACTGTATTCGGAAGTTATTGTCCTAAAAATACTTCAGGAATTATTTGGATAGCATAAGGAAATTATGAAAAATTTATTACTGATGGAGCAAAACCATTATATTAGCTATCCTGCCTTATCAAAATTGACAGGATTTGAAAAAGGAATTACTTAATTAATTATGGAAATAAATTTAACAACTAAATCAATCACAATACCAGCTAGATTTGAAAATTCAATGGTTAACAACTAAAAATATTTAAAACCTTAGTATTTTATGTAACCGATCTTTTTCAAGTCAATTCTGTTGTAATTCAATGTCTATTGCTGGATCATTACCTTTTTATTTACTAAAAGAGTAATTTTAGTAATAGCATTGTAATAAATGGAGGAAAGATGCCCAAATTAGAATAACGTAAAAATTATAATGTAATGCATTACTTTGCTAAATTGATTATTATTTTATTTTCATTTTGATAATATTAAAAAATGAAATGTTATTATTAAATTTATAGACCATAAATATACTCAAATGGATGACAATGTTGTACCTTAACAAATCATCAAATTGTTATAAGATAAAAGCTAGGATAAGAAACAATAAGGATGCCAATAATTAAAATCATTAGTTGAATCTTATGCTTAAAGTGGAAAGGAATTGCTAATCAAATAAATAATAGAGACTTTAAAAATAAAACTTACCTCTTAATCATAATTATAATATAAAAGATAAGGGATGGTTGCAATTTAAACTGTAGCTGAACTTCTAGTAAAAGAAGTAATCCAAAATTTTATAAATAGTTTCCTCAATTAGCCGAAAAATGTGTTAAAGACCTAACTTAGCCTATTTTAGAATGCCTAAACGATAAAGAGGATAAGGCGAGATAATATGCTGTTGAATGTTTGCTTTAATTAACAAAGATTATGAAAACTATGATCCTTCTAAATTTTAATGAAATATTCGATTATCAACTGGGAAGATCAGCAGAATAAGAATCTTCAATAGTTTAAGCCATGTTCTTATTGGATTAATTATTAAAGTCTTAGGTGTAAACAGCAGTTCAAGAGAAATTTTTAGATCCGGGAAAACAATATTATTTTAACTTAAACTCGTTTATGAACTAGTTATAAAACAAACTAAAGACTAGGGTAACATACGTTCGATAATTCCTGCTTGGATGGATAAAAGTCTTAAACCAATGTCATAATAATGATTTGTATATTTATTTTCCCATGATACTGGAAGGCATATTCATGATGTTAGGAGAGTCAAATAAGTAAAGCCATTCAGTATTATTAGGGAAGTTCGTAATGGAGCTGACTTGCAAGCAAATGAATTCTTGAAATAAGTAGAGATCAAAGTAAATCTAGATTAAAGAGTTAACGAATAAATTATAGAAATTTTGCTTAAAATTTGTTAAATGAAAGGAAACCAAAATAATTATGCCAAATTAAATTCTTTACTATGGATTTTTGAATATTTAAGAGTTTTTTAACAAGAATTAGAGGAGGAATAAAAATGTAGGTTGGGATTATAACATTCCCCATCACATGTTAAATCAGATGAATATTTGAGGAGCAATACATCTCCAATTTCAAAAAATTAAATATAATAATATTTGGGAGGATTTGAATCGCCCTTACGAAAAACTATATTGAACAGTTTAAGCTAAATTTTGGGTCCTATCCTAATATTATTATCTCATGAGGAGGAGGAAATAAGGAAAGCAGCTTAGAAGACAAATGAATTGTTACTAAAGGTTATGGATAGAATAAAAAATTAATCGGTAGAGTTTATCAACATTGTACCAACAATAAAAGAGATGTTAACTGATAAAAAGAGCAATACAGCTGAATCAGCATTAATATGGATGAAACATTTATTAGAAATGTATTCTGAGTCTCTTTTTCCAACAATAGAAGATATTTTAACAAAAGTATTTATTATTAGATTAGCTAGCTTATTGACAAATTGGCAGATTCTGAATCTGCTATAGTATAAAACATTATGGACGTATTAGCAAATATATCGATGCACAGCCAATATTTTGAAATGGTGATCGACAAAATTTTAATTATGCTTCATAAAAATCAAGAATAATCTGAAAAGAAAGGAGATTAAATATTTAAGAAGCTATGCTCACTTCTTAATCCATAGAAGGTTTATTTCACAATAACAGCGAAATTATTGGAAATATATTCAGAAAATGATGTAATTTTTATCAGTAATACTGTTCAAATATTAACCAACCTCTTAATTTCTGAAAAAGAGCTACAAAATCTACGAAATATTCTAAGGAATTTAAAACATGAAAAGGATGACAAAAAAAAATAACAGAATTAAGAAATCTTCGAAACGCTGTACAGGACATTTTGCTATAATTCAATGAGTGTGATTACTCTATGTTTATTATCTGAGGAATATGAGTTGGCTTATAAAATAATTATTAGTTTTTCAGAAGTGGAAGTTAATGAATGTATTTTATCAGAGATAGCCTAATTAATTAATGTTTTAGAAACGCCAGTATTCATTTGTAATATCAATAACTATTAAAGTTTTAAGGTTACAATTATTAGAGTATGATTCTCATCCATTCTTAATGAAATGTTTGTTTGGCTTAATGATGCTATTGCCATAAGGAGTTGCTTTCAATACCCTGAGGTAAAGACTTAAAAATGTTTCAAATACTTAAATATAATCCTTGCAATAGGACAAGAAAATTGAAATTGAAGAATTTTTGGATATTTAGAGATTGCTGTCATTATTTAGAGACATTCGTTTCTAGTGCATAAATTAAGAATCAAAATAAAAAGATTAACATTGATCATTATGTATATTGATATCATTCATTCATTAAATAATTATATAATCTCTTTACTCATTTGACTTAATTTTGAATACTCATTTAAATATCCTCCAAAATGGTCGCAACAAAATATAATTCTATCATTCTCCAAATTTTCTTAATTAATTTCTATCTATCTTGAGTATCTCTGAGAATAATGAGTTAATGTAATAACTTTTGCGTCAGCAAGCATGCCTACTTTAACAGCCTCAGAAATTGTAGAGTGCATATTTTAAAGTGCATTCTCTTACAAATCATCTGTAAAAGTGGATTCATGAATTAGAATATCAACATTTTATGATAATTTTATAAATCTATCACATGGTCTTGTATCTCCAGAATAAGATAAAGATCTTCCATCACATAAATTTAATCTTACTCCATAAGATTATGGGCAATGCTCAACAGGCGTAACTTTTATAGAATCTAATTCAAATTAATCCTTCAAACAACTTATAAGGTCTTCATAGTTTTTAATGAAATTTTAATTATCTTAAATTTATACTAATTCACCTTATCTAATTCGACATTAATGAAAACAATCCTTTATTAATTGATTAATATCTTCTTTAAAATCCTAATCAAATTATTACGACACAATAATTTTCCAATTACATTACTCTCCTAAGATTTCCTTGAAAAACATCAGCCAAGGAACTACTATTGCAGGCACAATTAAATATATTTCATTATGGCATTTACATAAATTATGAACAATTTATAATAAACCTAAATGATGATCGCTATGAGCATGGCTTATCCAAATAATTAGTGGCTTATTATCAAGAACTATATTTTCATCGCTGATCTATTTAAAAGTTCCTTCTCCACAATCTAAAATAATGTTAGATTTCAATTTTTCATTCACTAAAATAATCCCTGAAACATTTCTTAACTATCCTGGTTTCATAGAACAAGTACCTAAAAATATTAATCTTATATGATCGATTCCTTTTTATTAAAATTATTATTAATAGTTTTTGAATTAAATGTTAGTAAACATCTCAGACATTATTTTTGGGGAAAAATTCTAAACTGGTTTATACCCCTATTATTTCGTTGGGAGAATTAAATATTCAAAAAGAGGAATGTAGCCAAATATTTAGTTTACATCTTTAAAATCAATAGGTATGGGTCTTAATTTTAAGCATTCAATATGAGGAAAATTAAATGGATATTGTTTATGTAAAAAATTTGATAAAAGTTCTGATAAAGGTTGGATCTTCATATGTGTTTAACAAATCTTATCATCACTTTCCTTATAATAGTTACAGAAAATATGATTAAAGTAGGAATATTTTTTAATAAAGTCAATATAGTATTCTTCCTAAATTTGGTGAGATAAATGAAAAACAGCAACTAAATTTACCTATTTTGCTTGAAATTATTCCAGAGTCTTCTTGAATTCTATATGACCCATCAATTTCTACATTTATTCTTCATTTCCAATATCCAAAATAATTGCAACTTAAGGTATAATGTCAGGTTCTTTTACTTATTCAATTGTAACTATTTATCCATCTTCTAGAATAACTTTGCCATTCTTTGACAAATCTTGCATTTTATTAGCAGGAACTTTAAATTATTGTAATTTATCTTTATTGTAGTTACCTGGTTAGGGGAATGATGAAATGACATATTGAATTGTATCATTTATTTCAATAGCTTATATTTATATATTTTGATCCTTAAACAAAGTTGAATTTTTCATATAGATAGAAGCATCATTAGATTCTTTTGGATCAATAATATGCTCCTTAATTATTTTCAAGAGTATTCTTATAACTTACAATCGTTCTGCTGCAATAGTTCTTCTATTAGCTTTGTATCTTTTGTTCCCAATAAGCAGTTTCCATTAAATTCTTACACCGAATAAGGTAATGTTTTAAAACCTCCTATTTCATTATATCTTTTCATATTGATTAATTTACAAAGTCCTTTTGGCCCATAAATTTTTGTATTAACTCCACAATTTTATGCCAATAATGTTGATAAATATCCAAAACAACCAGTTGTTGTTTGTGTGCTCAATCTGGTAAAAAATATTCGAGGCCCTTGATTGATTTTTACTTAATTGTCTTTTGTGAACCTTTAAAATCCATCCGGAAGATTAAAAATATACCTAATATTATCAAAGGAGCAAACAATATTTGGAGTTTCTTAATTTTTAATAACTTAAAAGGAAAATCTCACCATAATTAATATTGCAGCAATATTTAAATTATAGAAATATAAAAATAATTGAAATCAATGATTTAAATCTTTATTCATTTTAATCAATTAATATTAAGTTTTTGTAGTTATTTGTACGAAAAGACGATCTTCATTATTTTGGGACTTCAATAAGCATTCTACTGAATTCCATAAGTATTTCATTATGTTGTACTTCGCAACAATAGTTAATTCATCATTGTCTGCTTTGGCGTCAGTGATATTTCTTCAAACCATACCACCTGTTGATATCAATATTGCACTTTTCAATTTCAAAATTTATAATGGTTAATAAAAGATTCATACTCAGTAAAATAATTGGTTTAATATAATCAATAACAGGTTTCCTAAGATGGCAATCTAAAGTCGAAAGAGAAATAAAAATATATAAACAAATAATATCATTCAAATATCAAAGGTTATAAAAATGAATAATATGAAAGATGGCTAACTAATTAAAAGAAACCCCAATAAAGGTTGGGTTTTGAATCAAATCTAGATAATCAAACACTCCACACACATGAAGCATAAAATCGAAATCAATTTAAACCTAAATTAATTAGGGACGAAGTCTAGTAATTCTATCCTAATAAATATTAAATTTGATTTTCTTATATATTATTGCATTTTATAAGATTCCCCTTTAGCTATTGACTAAACACTCATTTCAGATATTTTACATTTTTATTTTCAATAGATTCATTGTCTCCTTAATTTGTTACAGATATAGTAAAGTTATTTATTATGGTTGATTATTATCTATTTAACATCTAAAGAATGATTTGTTACAGATTGGATAATTCAATAAGTTCAAATATCAAGATAAGTACATAATTAAAGGTTAGTTATGTTGTAAAGTATATCTAAAGGTTGAATATGTTAGAATAAAGTTGTCTGATATTAAAATTTTGAGTTATATGATTAGGAAGATGATTTTTTGATTGCACCACTACAATGATTATGATACTTACACACCTTTCTAAATAAAATGGGCAACTTTATAATATTTGCTGATATTGTGTTTCTTATTCTAGCATTCTCCAGATCAGTTTCCTCATATAAAAGGAAATGCTACAACTTGTGAAGAAAATTCTAGTCTCTGTCCTTTATTCTTTAGAAGGATTCATAAGTGTGTGATATCAAGATATCATAAACGCTATTCCATTGGATGACTAATACATCTCTCAGATTCTATTATGTTCTATTTCTTTTCATCATCATTATTCATATTCTGGATTGTTATAAAAATATCATTAATTTATATTATTATAATTTATTTTGAAAACATTTCATTATAAGTTTCTCTATATACAAATTTAATTTTCTTTTTCCTTTGAGACTATAGTTTTTTGATAATTCGATTTAAGACTTAAAAGTTAAATATTCTTGCTTTAAATGATTGAAGTTGAACCTTCATAACAATATTACTTTGAGATTAAAATTCTAATTCCAGAAAAAATCAATAATCTTCATTTTCATTAGTAATGTATTTACATTTAAAGACCCATTAAAATCTAAATATTAAAATAATATATATTAATATAAATAAAGTTATATAGAATAGATAAGGAATTAATATATATGAAATTATTTATTAAAGTTACTTATTTTATTATCAATGCGATGAATTTATTTTTCTGATTTATTGATCAAATTAAGGTCTTATCTTCGACCTAAAATTAATTAATATTAACAAGAAATATGTTTGGCATAAATAAAAACTTATGATTTAACTATTGGACCTGCATTTTGCTAATTTGATAGCAATCTATGCAGTTTTCATAAAATGATCAATTCAAATAGATCAACACGCTTCTAGTTGTCGTTGTATTTAATTATTCTAATTAACTAAGCAGTACAATTAATTTTAAAATATGCACAAAAGACAAAATTGGAACATCAAGGTTTCCAAACATCTAACGTATTAAGATGCAGTAAAAAGTCTTTTATCGGTCATAGCACACACTTATTATTTATGCTACATTGTATCTAAATAGAATATAAAGTAGCCGTTTGTACAATAATTCTTTTGGTTGCTTGAATATATTTGATATCAATTACTACTCTTGGGAAATTTTGTTTATTATTATCCCAATACAAATGTTGAACCTAACTACATTAACACACTCTGAAAGTATTTTTGCATGAATTATTTGCTGTAACCGATTAGTTAGTACAAATAATTGCATTTAGATTAGTATATGGTAAAATGTATCCTCTATGTAGAAGATTTGCACCACAGCATCTAGAAGAACAAGTTTGAGACTATTGATATCCATCAACTCAACCTGTAAATAGAGTAAAAGTATGAAGGACCAGCAACATTCAAATAATAACCTTGAAAAAAAAGGCGAAATAATAAGTTCTGAAAGTAAAACTATTAGTACAGGATAAGGTTCATAATTATAAATCCATAAAATTTTGATTAGCTTGTGCTAAATATTCAGATAATTCGACTTTAAAGTTAAGGTTATGCACATAATTTTTCTCGTAAACATATTATTGGATTTAAATACTTTTTAAGAATTCAAAAAAAAGACTCACATCCTTACTCTATTATAGAGCTACCTACTGTTAAGATACACAAAAGGATATTTCTTAAAATAAAACTCTTAGTGCTATCTGCTTCAACATGTAATTAACTTAGAATAAATCTACTAAAGCGTTTACAAGGTTTCCAGACACCGACTCTGCTCTTCCTGTGATTCATGTATTCTGAGTAATTATCTTGGTCATAGTGCATCTTCCTCATCTTGTGATTGTGTAAATTTCATGATATTTTATTAGCATCTCACTTAAGCATTGTGGTGATTGCTTCTTTGGTCACACTTGCAAATTATATGCCATCATCTGGTGCATCCACTAAATGTCAGGATAGGTGGACAAATTATACTGCTGGCAAGGATTGTAAATAAGCAGATTTTGATACATTCTTATGATTAGCTAATAGTCATTTTTCTACCTTTGTTATTCTATTGTTCTTTCTAGACATTTCAATGCTAATGTAGCTCTAAATTTATATTATATCCACCCCTTTATTTGAAAAAAGCTGAATTTATGATTCATCCCTCCTAAAACCTGTAATTTTTTTGTTAGAAATGAAACTGTTGCATGAATAATGCTCTATTGGTTATACAACTTTTCATCAACTTATGATCAAACCTTTAAATGATCTTTAATTTATTAAATGAATCCTGATAGATTTAAATATTGTTAAACTGCTATTAGCTGTGCTACTAATTTCCAAGCTGTTATATCTCTTCTTCTTAATAAAAATACACATCATATCTACATATCTGCTTAACTAGATGCTTCACTTCTTGAGAATACACTCGATATATTCCATATTTCTTTTATAATAATACAGGTTATGTTCTATGTTTTTTGGTATTTGATCATAATATTTCAATAACTAAAACACATATTGATGGCTATACCAAATATGGCAGTAATGGCAATCAGTTTTATAATTGACATTGTAAACTTAATTGTTCAATCCTTTGCTATTATTTTTCGAATGTACTAGCGAGATCTAAATCTCTGTAAATTGTGAGCATTTTGCAAATAATTGTAATATTTATAAATCTTCATTTAAGTTTCCGTGTATGATGCTTCTTTTTGAATGCTATTAGTTAAAATATAAATTTTCAAGTAGTAGGTGTATCAGTCGTTCTAGATCCTAGAGACACTTGTTTTATTTATTAAACTTAATTATTTGCTGATATTTGATTCAATTATGCTTTGTTGTTTGCCTCATAATTAAATGAAAGGTTCTGATTGTAGCTTAACCCCAAAATCATGCTGGCTGAATTTAAAGTTGAGCAGAATGTGCATCTAGTGAAACTATGTTAAATAGTGCAGAACAAATAATAATTTGGTGTAACATTTAACATAACCTATCCTTCAAACTATTGTGGTTACTCTTTAAATGTTTGCACTTTTTCCTAATTTACATCTTGCGCTAGCTCTCTGTACAAAATATACATGATGGATTAAAGTTTGTTTTTAGTGTGGCATGAATTATTTTCACTGTTTTATAGCTTTCACAAGTTCAAATATTCATTATGTTGGACTTCATTTTTTCTAAATATATCTCAACATACTAGGCATGTTAAACTTAATGTAAGAATTAACCGCTTTATTTAATGTTAATGCATAATTAGATATTCTAATGTTGGGTCTTGATATTGTCCATCCTCTAGTTTTATTGGTAGATATTTCTAAACTCCCAAACTTGAACAGCTAATTATTTATTAATGATTCTGGAAATTTAAAGTTCATGTACACTTATGTGTGTCAGGAGTTTGATATTATACCATTCCTTCTCAAATCGAAAAAGCATCTTTAGAGTTTATTTTGTTCTTATTCTGAACTCCAGATTATAGTACTCTTTTCTTTTTTAATTTGGTTAGCTTCAATTCCTTTTGAATTTTGTGCATCAAATTTGTATTTTGTTACTTACAGTTTCTTCTCCAATAAACTATCATGTTTGTTGTTCCTGTAGTAGTGCCTACAATTCGACAAATAAATTACTTATCCTAATTTGGAATTGAATTATACCATGTGTTAAATGTGTATACACCTTTACTTGTAACTTATTTTATAAAGCTATTATTATACTAAAAATGCATGGTATCCCCTATGGCATTTCATATAACATGCCTGACACAATTTATTTATCCTGTAATTATTTTGATAAACGACATACCATACTGATTCTAGTAATACAGCATGGTACTCACATGTTTCTATATATTTCCTTCATCTTAATGTTTGCGTTGGCTGCTATATGTCCAAATTTGGAGATAGCCTAATTTGAATATGCTAGCATTCTGGCAATCCTAAAATATTTTTGGCTCCTTGCCTTGAATTTCATTCAATACTAATGGACATAAATTTCACTAATGGATTATCTATATTGCTTTAAGGTACACCAGCCCCTTCTAAACGTCTTCTCCCACTTTGCTTCAAAAATTCATTAGTAA